TCCTCCTTATTGTATCACAAAAGGCATATACTTCTTGCATGAACGATGCATAAGCGAACCACCTTTATTATTCCATCTTCCAAGCTACATCATGTGATCCACAAGCTAGCAAAGTCCAAGTACGTAATAAACAATGCTTTATTTCATTCTAGTTGCATTGCCGCCATCCTCGTCTTCGTCTTCCATCATCATCCGTATTGGTACTCGTACTTGTCTACAGTCATCAATCTGCTAGTCATCAATACCCAAAACACGCAAGTAGAAAAGAATGGGATCTTGCAGGCTTCCTTTTGAATCTCGTTGTCGTTATCATTGTCATTGCTGTGGATGTGGTAATCATCGTAATCGTCATTGCTGTGGATGTGTTAATCATCGTAATGGTCGTCTCTATTAAGTAAAAACACGCAAGTTAGGCAATCTGGTATCAGAATGATGACGATTTGGTATACCGTTAGGCGATCCTCTCCAAGGAAGAAAGCAAATCAGAAGGAATTCACAAACCAAATCACCACCATACGAGCAACGTCGGGCGATCCCTTGTTCTTGAGAAAGCACTGCACGAATCACACAAGGCCAGTTCGATCCATGGCAAGGAAGGACTCACTTACGTAGAGTCCAGGCTCATAATTGTTCTCATTCATCCTCTCCAAAGAAAGAATGATCCCCAATCCTTCCAATCATTTCCCGCCTCATGAAAAGAAATCCGCATGGGAAAGAACGAGCCTGTCACGAGAAGAGCGTGTTGGTTCGCACTGATGTCAACACATCCACGGCCAGGGCGACTACAAGCTGTTGCAAATCCCCTTTTACCTCAACACGGTGACCATGCTCTTCCAACAACCCATCGTCATCGACCCATCAACTCAACGCAGGCCTGTAGAGCCCTGGACGCGTTCCAAGAAGCCATTCCAGCACACTTGGCTAGTGCAGAGCGACGCAGCGGCCACTTGATGCAGGCTGGGAGTCGAACCCAAAGAGATGAAGATGCCCCAAGTTGCAATGCCTGACCAAAAACCTATTCAATTCATTATTAGCACACATACACAATAAGCACCCTTTTTCATTGTTTGTTTCATTGCACTTGCCTTTTCCATATACACAAAGACCCGTTGTTGTTGGTTACTGGAAACCCAAAAACCATGGTGTAGTGTTCTTGAGTCGAAGCAAAACGCCAAACGAGCCAACGTCTTGGAACCAAACTTGCTCTCTATACCAGCTAACACGTCAATGGAACCAATTCGGCTGCAACATTGGGCTCTGGATGTACATGTTGACACCAAGCCTAGAGCGGGAATAGCAACGAACAAGAGGAAGCAACGATATCGCCATGGCTACCACCCTCATTCCTCAGCACTTGGATACGCTCTCTCCCTGACAATGCATGTTCAGAACTGTATTAATACCTCACAGTCAACAAGAGCACTCTCTGATAACACATTACCTTGATTGGGATGTTGTGAATGGGGGAGGGGGGAGATAAAAGGAGAGGAGGAGCAAAAGAGTAGAGAAGCGTTGTGCTTCAAGTCGTGGAGCTGCGAGTCCCAAATTTGATTTCCATAGCGACAAGTTAAAACCTTACACTGGGAGCCAAGTTGAATCCCTCACTACGAGTACATTGAGCCCATTCACTCAACCCACGCACTCAACACACCCATCATCATCCTCATAATAGAAAATAGGTGTATGTAAATAAAAGGAATGATCCTCACTTATAGCCAAATGGAGATGTGATTTTACAATTTACATGATGATGATGATGATGATCCAACACCAACGCTTCTTACACCTTTAAACTTTCGGATGCAATGATCGTTTTTGGCTTATTAACCATACCGTATGCAATGTAATGATCATTTGGGGCTGTTTATTGTATATGGTGACATTACTATTTTATAAAGTATATGTATTCAAGACGCTGACCGGTTGAGTAAGCTGGATGATGTTTATAGTCTTTTGGTGGATAATCATGCAATTATTCTCGCTTCTTCACGGTCACCTTCATGCCATACTTCATGGGCAAAGTAAGCGATACTTGATAAGTGACTTCTTGGCCAGGGACCAATTCAAATTGGTACCGTTTCACCAAAAAGATAATAGCGACAATCGCTTCAAGTGTGGCAAGGTTTTGTCCTATGATAGATAAACATGTGAATACTCAAATGCTGGGTTGATGGGGTCCTACTATTATCTTACCAAGACATGTGCGAGGACCAGCGTGAAAAGCAGGCCATTGTCCTTGTGATTCACGACGCAATTCACCATCAGGTTTAATCCAGCGTTCAGGTTTGAATTCTCGAGCATCGGGTCCCCAGACTTTTTCGGAACGGCCTTGAGCAAATGGGGACCAAAGGATATAATCGCCCTTTTGGATATGCGTACCATCAGGCCAAATGTCATCCTCCAAGGCATATTTCATGTTGAGTGGCACGGATGGGTACAAGCGTAGCACTTCGTAGAAGCTATTAGATCATAAAAATAAGTTTCACCTTAGCTATGTCGGTGGATTTGTGTACATACAAAGCATGAGCGTATTTCATGTCCTTGATACGCTCATAGAGAGCAGCTGAATCGTGCATGATAGAGTCGTCAATGAACTCTTTAATTTCCTCATAAAGCTTGCGTTCGACACGTGGATGGCAGCACAACATGTAAAATCCCCACGATAAAGCTTGTGCTGTGGTATCACGACCAGCAATGACAAAGTTGAGCACAATATCGCGTAGCTATAAGTGATGGTGTTAAAATGTCAACCAATGGTAAATAAACAAGCTCATCAACTTACTTCGTCGTTGTTAAGAGGTTCACCCTTGTTATTGTGTGCCGTCATGAAACGGGATAAAAGATCACGGAACTCCATGCCGCTAGCCAATTCACCACGACGCTTCTCAGCAACTTCACGAGCGAAGGTGTCGACCACCTTTAAATGATCATCCATGCTTTGGCTTGTAGGGAACAAAACTTTGGATAGGGCATCGCTCACACGCCAAAATGGGTTGATGAAGCGCAAGAAGGTGTTCTTTTGAGCTTGATCAAAAGACTCTGCAAAAGGAACCTTGCCTTCAGTCTTGAGCCCATTGAGTTGCACACCGAATCCTAAACTAAATACAGGATAAGTGTTTAAGGCACAAGAAGCGATCACATGTTGTACGGCTGTGAAAAGATGGCAAGAGAAAACTCACAGGATGAACGAATCAAGCGTAAAACGGTACATGAGATCATGGAAATCGAGCACCTGACACTCATCGGCAGCCTTATCGAGAATGTGGTGAGACATGAGCTCAATTTCCTCCACAAAGACACTAGATAGTGACAAGATTTTCTTGGTCAGCCACTGCTGGAAATGAAACACGAGTCAATTGAACATACTCGGTGAAATGATCACGGAAATTACGGATGTTGAACACGTTGGATGCCGTTTTGCGTTGGTATCGCCATTCTTCACCGTTAGCGTTAAAGATGCCATGGCCAAAAAGATCCCCCAAAGCTGTATGGAATTCTGGTCCCTTGATGTAGTTTTCAAAGTTGGCTGATGGATGATGTTAAGGAGGATGATTAGTTTCGCGGTACATGCATGCCCTATCATCGATGAGATTTACTTTTGAGAAGGTGTTCTACATTCTGGGGATTGATCGTAACGATATAATGCGGCACCACACAAACGCTCATTTTGCTAGTAACAAAGAAGAAGTAGACCCCATGAGACATTCAATATCGGCATGAGAGGAGCAAACACAATACATACACAGTGAGTTGATCCATACGTGTGAATGCTTCAACACCAAATTCGTGAAAGTAGGGCACCCATTTAAGGATGATAGGGATATTACCAAGGATGGGCCAGCCAGGTTCTTGAGCAATATCCGGTCGCTTTTCATCAAAGGCTGCACGATCGTTGTAGACAATGCCTAAGCCCACCAAACCAGCTAATGCACTTTTGCCCAAATGTTGTAGTGGGTTGAAGCCTTTAAGTTGATCGAATGAATAGGCGAGGACAGATGTAGCCATTGTTAAAAGATTTGGGACACCGACGACGTCTTTTGGAAATATAAAGGTATTGAAAAAAGCTGGGAAAGTGGTAAAAGACCGGCCCATTTATATATAAACGTGAATACGATAGTGCTACAAAACGACGAGTATAGTAGGCGGGTGATGAGTATCAATGCATAGTGCATTGCTGCTGTCCACTAGTCTCCCACACGCGTGAAGTGTCAGATTTTCTCCCCAGCTATTTTCACATGCTTGGGTAAGCTACCCCGCTTTTTCGATCTTGGTGCCATGATGCACACCTGACAACCCCACACATACAATCAATGGCTCTATAAACCATGAGCTGGTTGTGTGTGATTTGAACTCACACGAACCCATGCCATCCCTTTTTCTTTGCTCTTTTTCCAAAACCCCACAAACACACATGCCTACATCTACACAATACCATGCTTCTCAAATATTCCATTACTCCCAAACGTTGGATTTCACACCTTGCTACATGCATTGTACTTGTCAATCTCGTGTCCTACCACAAAATTGCCATTGACAGCCAAGTCCCATCTATGGTCGTACGCATTGTGTATGGCATCAAAACGTGAGCCATCTATTGCATGACGTATAACAAATTCTGGGTCACCGGACCTTCTTCCCGTTTACGTTTCTTTTACCCCACTCTATCGCTTGAAAGTCAACCCTACATCATTTGCACGGGGTCATGTATACAAAAAACCAGGTGGCGGCGCAACTTTACACCACACGCACGCACACACACATGAGACAGCACTCTACGATGTTTCCATTCACCTAGATTCTTTTTTTTTCTTGTTTGTGTTTGCTAGCATTGAAATAGAGGGTGATGATAAATATATAAAAAGCTGAAGATGATGTTGGAGACCAATAAATGTGCAGGTGAAAAAGCAAGAGCCGGTTTTCATATACAACAACAATAGAAAGTAACATTTGGGAAAGGAAGAAAAATAACAATGGATAAACGAAGAGGCATAGATACACAGCGTTGGAGGGGATGATTGAGTAAGAAACATATAAAGAGTGGTGGTGATGATGATGGTGGATGATATATATGCATAGTCAAAGAAGACGCGATAAGTTGCATGTGTGTTTGTGCATGAACTAGACCCCAAAGAGAAAGAGTAAATGAGAGTAAAAGAAGTAGAAATGAAAAAGAGAAAGAGCGAGGATGTATGCATTACTATTGCAACAAGAGCCGTACAGTGCCATCTGGCTTGATCTCCCATTCCACGCCAACAACTGCTCCTTCGGTAAGGCGATCAGCAAGGATAGCATCGTTGACAACGACAAGGACAGTGTCACTGTTGTTGGTGTTGTTGCTGTTGCCATGACCACCGCCTGCATGATGACCTGCTCTTGAAGAGGAAGACGTTGGGTTCTTTGGTGAAGTTTTGGCAAGCGCATGATTCTCCCAAATGATGCTCTTGGGTTGTCGCCACAAGATTTCAGAAACTTGGCTATAATGAAGCGATAGTAAAGGTGACAGCTTTAGGATCAGGTCATGGGTGGTGATGCGATCGAGAACAATGTGCTGAAGCTTCTTTTTATCGTTCTTTGAGCGTGACGATGGCGACGGTGGTGAATGGAAACGTTGATGTTGGGTGGTTTTGACATTGACGTATAGCGAACGGCCTGTGCATCAATATGCATGTGAGTATGATCGTGTGCATGCATTAATGTAGTACACAACAACATACCTGTTGTAACTTGGTTGCTTGCCAATGTCTCGCAATTTTGCATGGCATTGCCCGATGGCGTTGTTCCTGTTGTTGCGTAATCAAGATATTGACCATGATCATCAGAGGTTGTCGCATCCAACTCGGAAAAGGTACGTTTATGGTGCAAAGATGGTTGTTGTTGCTGTTGCGAAAAATGAGATGGAAGTGTTTGCAAGAGCAAGGATGACGAGGTGAGTTGTGGATTGCTTGGTGGTGAGGATGATGGTGCTCTGCTTGTTGTTGATACTGTAGCAGAAGCAGATTCTGAAACGAGATGTTGTTGCTGTTGTTGTGGTGGTCTTGATAGCAAAGCTTCCATATCCGTCTCTGCCGAAGAATCTTCTGATGGAGGTGAGGATGATAACAACGCATCTTCAGTAGACTGCTGTGGTGTTGTTGGGATTTCATTAAGCACACTATATGGCTTGGGTTGATTATACATAAGCCAAAATGGATGTTGACGAGGGTTGCCTTCCGCTACATTATAGTGAGTACACAATGCCCCAACCACAACTTTGGATCATAAGCTTACCATACACTCGCTCCAAATGCTTGCCAATTTGCTTTGCATCATCCTTATTTTTGCGCTCAGCGCCCTGTATCACCATGCAAACAAGTTCGGGTCAGCTACTACTACTACAACCCCACTCATTCACTTTGAGCATGTCATACCTTATCCCTGAAAAGTTTGATTTTGCAATAGCACTGCTCAATGTAATCCTGTGTCGGATTAGTATCCTGCTGCTGTAGAGTAGCCGTGGATACCGGTCCTTGTATACCCCCAACTTTGGTCTCCATTTGTGCACGTAATGGAATACCCTTGACACCTTTGATTCTCGAAAAGTCGGTTGATAGGCAATTGAAGCGTACAAATATCTTGGCCCCTATTCTTCCGTTCCAATCGAATGAAATTCGATCAAAGCTGGGAAATCGTACATTGTGGATACCAATCGATTGGTCATGGTCTATGAGAAAAATGAGTCATTTGCTTGTAGGTGCATAACGCACGACTTACCTAACGTCACCGCTCTTGCAGCAGAAGGATTCTTTTGTTGACTAAGCCAAAACTTCCAATAGTTGAGAGCCACCTTGCGATGCGATGGTTCATGAAACATGATGATGAAAGTGCTGGTGATGATGGTGTCATGATCATAGGTATCCTGTAAATGCAATGCATACGCTTGGCCACGATTTAGGTAAGTGGTTGGAGATCCCTCACTAATCTGCGTAGCTGCTGTGGAGGCTAATGGGGAAATGTTAGAGCAAGTCAAATGAAATTTGATTGGATATTAAAGTTTTTACCTTGGAGAACGACATTGAACCTGAGAAGGGGCCTGCAAAGAAAAGAAAAAATTGCGTGATTAGACAAGCATGAATGGTGCATTTTGTGTGTAACAGAACGCTTTCATTGTTGTTCAACTCCTGATGCAGATCCTTTTGTTTTCGCAACAACAACAACCCCCACCCATATTAAGAAATCAAACCACACATACATTGGTGTTGTTCTTTGTTCACTCAACGCTGCCCCTGCAGAAGACGATGATGACGATGATCCTGGAAATGAACATGGTGATGGTGTGCCTGTAGCAGATGATGTTGGGGTCACAAGTTGTGCTGTAGGCGGTGGTGGTTGTGCTACAACAGGTGCTGCATAATGCTGCTGTTGTGTTGCTGCTGCTGCTGGAAGCGATGGTACAGGTGAATAATATATCCCATTTGCAGCAACAGCAGCAGCAGCTGCTGCTGCCATCATGGAAGGGTGTTGGTGATGATGATGCTCCTTGTCAGTCATTGTGAGTGACATGGCAGATGAACGGCGACGTTTGAGCACTTGGCTGTTACCCAATACGAGATTAGGTGGTGATGAAAGATCCGAACATGGGCTTGTGGTGGTTGATGGATGATGCTGTTGATGTATAGGAGAATAAAACGTGCATGGTGCCACTAGGCTGTCATCCGTAAAACATCCACCGCTGCCGCTTATTTCATCGACCATACTCATCACCACAGGCTGTTGTTGCTGTTGCTGCAAGCTATCATCGTTACCAACATCCGATTTAATCTCACGTCTTCGTGACCATAGGTTGCTTTTGTAAAGGTATTCGATCGAATCGTTTGGTGCCATCTCATGTAAAGGGGTTGTGTCATGATGATGGTTGTTGCTATTGGCATTGTTGTTTAGATCATAGAGTGATCTCATAGCTGCTGATCCCATCATCGATGTTGCTTCTTGTGGTCTCGGCACATAGGTCGTTGGATATGAATCTATAGCCAGCCCAGACATTTCAGATGATGACGTGCACGTGTTTGGTGGTAAAGGTGTGGATGTGCCTACGTTGGCTGAAAGCACACTTTGCATTGATGCTGCAAACGCGTCAAAACTCGCTGTTGTGCTGCTATTTGATCGATAATCCATAGGGCTATTGTATATGCATATGCATAAGAAGCTTGAATGAGTATACACTTTTCTGGGTTGTGCTCAAATATCGACATTGTGAATTACCGTGGTTCTTTAGACGTATAAGAAAAAGGTAATGTGCCGTGTGTTGTCGTGGTTGAAGAAGGTGCTGAGAAATGACCGGCAGAGATCATTCGCGTAAATGTAATCTGTTGCAGTGTGATTATTACTCAACTTGGGAGAGGGGCTATTGATAAGGGAAAAGGTTAATGAAAGGATTAGTAAAGGTGTTTGACTTCGCTGTACCAAGGGCGGGGTCTCGTTAATTTACCTTAGAATTAAGCTTTATGGTTCCAAGTGCACGGTGGTTGATGGTCTTTTAGGTCAAATGGCGTGTGTGCGTGATGATTTGACGCAAAACGCAAGAAACGAAAGACAAGAGTCAAAGGAAATACGTATATGAGTATATATATGTATGTTCAAAAGAATGGGAAAAGGGTGGAAATATATAAGAGGGATAGGATTGCTGGACCGTAAAAAGCGTACTGCAGGTAACAAAAAAAGAGGAGTAAAGAAAAGAGAAAGAGAGATAACAGGAAAAGCAGCCAAGGTCGGCGTCCTAAATGCAAAGGGGAATGATGCAAGGGAATGAGGAAACGTGTCGCTTATATATGTATTGAGGTACCAGTAATGAGGCGCTTAACGATTTGGATGGCTGCTACGTGTTATACATCCACCACTTGAACGCGGGAGAATGAATGCTAGTTACTGTAAATGCCAACAAGCTGGGGTCGTCGTCGAAAAAAGATTAATGTCGATATGCGGAGGAGACAAGAGGAGGAAGGGAATAATATAGGATCATGAATTGGCCATTCAACAAAAATAGTGCTATACACCTGTCTGCAATAAAAAGTAGAGAATGCACATGCAAAGGCGCAGCATGCTCGCTCTTCTTTTCTCTCGTTCACTTAATTCGAAAAGGAAAAAACACGCTGTAGTATAAATGCGCGTGATTGTATCAAAGAGCAATGGAGACATACACAAAAAAGTCCGTTTCTTCCCCTTCTCAAACCATGGGGCCGCCTCTTGGAGATCCATTTCTAACCAGTGAATAACGATTATAGGTCATCAACCGGGAAAAAGACAAGGAGGATCCACCTACATCCGTAACTGACATCCTGTATGTGTGTCAAGCAATTTACAAGGGGCCCAAGGAGTACATTGTGCAAAACAGAGATGGAGCATATCAAGGCATCACTAGTATAGTAAGGAGATGGGGGGAGGGATATATCAGGAGCAGGCACGGGGAATGGTAAATGCCAGTAGGTGCATATCGTTAATGACAAGTCAATAGAATGCACGAAAAACTCGATCGAAACCTTCCTCCTTTAGAAACGAACAGTGCACCCATGACACCAATGTCAATGAAAATCTCCCGCACAACTATTCACTTGCCCATCGTTGCGTATCATTATTGGTGTCATAATAGAAAACGCACATCAACGATCGCACGAAACAATGAGCGTATCTCGTTCTTGACCATGATTCAAGGAGAGCAAATTTCAAATGTATTCGCAACATTAGGTCACGCTCACGCAAAATGGGGGAGACACACAAAGCCTGGTTGTGGTTAAACATCCCCGGAAAGGCATCCATAAAGAAATAATAAGGAGTAGAAGCTGCTAGACATCTCTAGCATACTCTATTATTACCGCTTCGGTGGTGTTTGGTGAAATGAATAATGGCTACATTGCAAATGACCTTGTTCTCGGAATACTCAATGTACGTGGATGGTCATGTTTTGATATTACAAATGGCCATGGGCAAGGAGAAAAGAAGGGAAAGACGTAAGGAGAAAGTTTCACTGAAAGTTGCTCATGTACTGGAGCGGGATAGCGAACGATGTATCTTATGTGTGTGTATGTAACACTAAACAACTTTTTGATGCATCAGGTCCTAAGCGTACAGCTCTCTGCACCCAACAAATGCTCCCACCCATGTGCTTACCATATATCAAAGTCAAGGTGCTCTTGATGGGTGAAGCATCCTTGATTCGACAACCCCCCAGAAATATGTCATGTAAGGAAATTTGGGTGATGCACAGACATGTGTATCTTTTCACTCTTTTCTTGAGAGAGCTTTGGTTACCTGATGGCACGACACCCAAAAAATCCCAAAATGGAAAAGGAGTCCCACTGCACAGTTGATTTCTCTCCCCTCTATATATGTAATAAACATATATGCGAAAGCGCAGATCAGGCGGTTGCTAAGAATGGCAAGGTGCTATGATCTCTGCACAACAAGCATGTTGCTGCACGCCATCATTGTCATTCCGAAAACACTTGACAAATCGAAACGATCACTGCAAGGAGTGAATGTAAATGCCTATGTTTGCTGGCTAAAGGGTTACAGCAAGAGAAAATTTCATGTACCTTGTCATTTCTCCTTTTTCCCTCTTCACCTTTTGCTGATACACCAATACTGATTCATCACTATACGAGGATGCTGAGCGATGATGGTCCATATCTATAATCCCCTTTACATGTGCATATGGGACATCACCGACCGTGCTGATATGGGGGTGTGTGTGCGTGAGATACAGCTGCCAATGAGGAGTGTGAGCATTTTGGGGGATAGAAAGGGATTGGAGGAAAGGGATAAAGAGTACGGCAATAAAACCAAGAGGGCAAACGGTAGTAATAACCCTTATCACGCATATGCTTTGGCATTTTATTGTCGTGCATTGACCTCCCTCGTACCGCTGTTGTCAATCCAATCTCAATGTTTCACGAACACCCATCTTTTTTGTTACTTGATCGATAGAGGAGTATAACAGGACAAGGCTCGATTCACTAAAAGGAGAATAGTATAATGAGCATTGCCTTAATCCCCACCAAAAAAGGACATGAATTCTGTGATGCTGAGCAAGCAATGGTATTCCACCCAAGAGTAAAGTTTAATAATTGTATAAAGACACATGGGAGGGGTTAGCACTGCCGGAATAGAACCCGCTTTGTATAGGTCGGAAATCTCTTTTTCCTTGCTCATCAGCTACCCCGTATTTGCGTTTGGATGTTCCTCCTGCATTTGCGTAGTAAAAGAACCTAACCCCTTACATATATAGTTGGCTCTTATTTATACGTTGCAGCTGAGTTGCCTTGACTGTGTTCCTCCTTTCATCACATTTTTACCCCCCACCTCGAGCAGGATGTGGTTTATCAACAAAGAGATTACCAAGATCTCCAACCATTCATTCGACGCTTTTCACGGCTGAGCAATAGATGGCCCATATCTCCATGTTTGCACCATTTTAATCAACCCACAAAAAAGGAAAAGGAATCAATGAACAGCTCTTGCTGTTTAATAATCGTCGTCATGGTGATGGTTGCTAGGCAGCATTAACATCATGAAAAAGCCTTCATACAATAACCACATATATAGGAAACGCGAGGTCTTTTATACTTGTCTTATACACTATATGGGAAAGAGAATCCATGTAGCCTTCATCTTTCATTGCTATAATCCAAGCATTCGTTTCACGTGAGCACTCACATAGTGACATTTGTCGTTGACATGAGACGCATCTGACATTTCCAGTAGCCGTCAGATGATCCGCTTCGGGGTTTGCATCTGGATTAGCTTCGGCCCATTGTATGCTACAATACTACACGAACGTCTTTGACGTGCAGTGGTCCGTGCTTTAGAAGGAGCATCCTTGTTCTATCGGGATACCCAATTTGAGGCTGTTGATGGTTCCAATGCTATACACCTTATGTAAGACGTCTCTCAGCTATGCCTTCAATCATACGTTGCACAAGCCTTTTACTGCGAGAAACTTTATACGATGAATAAAGCGAGCGAGGTTTACTAGTAAAACCACTTACAGGCACCAATCATAAGCATGGTTGATATGCCCTGATTAATTTACATCATATGAGATCGCTCTATCGCTTATAGGTTATCGTTGAACGCAATGTTTTGCGCGCTGCTAAGCCGCCGCCGCGAAAGCAACCATGTGCCAGCCGATGTTGTTAGCTGTGTGACCTTTTAAAAGCACATGACAGAGCGTTTTCACATTCAAAACGCCATGTTGGATTGGCACCATCACACTGCTTACTGCCAAGACACGCAAAGAATCGGTATTGGCTCGTCACATGATGATGATAGTTGCAGCGGGGAAATTTGTTACTACAGGTGGTTGTAAAAGCCAATTTTGCAAAGAAACGTCGTGACATTCTAAATGCCGTAGCCGCTTTCCAAAATCTGATCGTACGTTTACAAAAGGCGATCTGCATGAAGATCGATGATTCAAGTGAAAACATAAAGCCAATGCGTTCCATCGTATATGTAAAGCATACCTTTTTGAAACTCGTTTCTTATTTGTGTACCTTCAACCTCCATTTGGAATGTAGAGCTGGACATGGTAATTAGTATGCAACCTCTTAAGGATATCAAGCCCGGCTGCTTCTTTGGTAAAAAGAGAACGAAGCTGCTGCATTTAGGTCTGAGACACGTACGATGCACCACCAGCGCATGAAGCGTAAAATATTTACCTGCCATTGCATAGATCACATGCAACCATAATAGCTTTTAGCAATACAGCATGGCCTTGACGCTCTTATGTGGGGAACATCTTGATGTCACACCCAAATTTCATGGGCGTTTGGTATTTCATTGTCACATTGATCGACAGCGGGTATTTAATCGGCTTCCCATGTTCTCGGGTTATCACCATAATCCCTTCCGCTTGTTCATTAACAAATCTTGCTGCCATCCAATCCTTAACAGTGAAATCATTTTCTCTCATTCGCAACCACAATGGCATATACAAATACTTCTCCTGATGGGTCTTCTTGTGAGGTGACCAATGATGACAATGCAATGATGCAAATGCTTGAATGTATTCCTTCGTCGTTGGCTCCTTCGGTTCGAAATCAGCAACCTATTACCACAGATCATGCAGCCTCAGCTAGCCCTCTTCATCCTCAGGGCAGCTATTTGGAGAGGGTGGAACATCTTTGTGCTAGTACTGAAAAGTACTCATACCTTTTAGCTGTCAATGGCTACCACCATCATCCTTTATTCATGCATTCACAAGGCCATGGCGATATAGACCAATCCCAGCTTAACGGCAGGTTTCCGTGTCAGCAAGGATATTATATCACCACCGATGGCATTCTTTTCTCACCGCCGTTATCAGCATCACCCGCCTTGTCATCACACTTTGATACAATAAACAACCCCACCACCACTACGACATCCACGTATCATGAAAATTGCGAACAACCCGATCCTCTCGTTATCCCCGATGCATCAACGTCTTCCAACCTTGTATCACTGTCATCATCCATCGGCATGAAAAAAAGTGGGAGCGATTTGCTGAACACGTGTTACAACGAAGCACCTGATCAACAAGATTGTGGTGGTGGTGGCGCGAATAATAGAAAAGAGGACTACCTCCTGTTAACCCCACCATCAGCAACCGATACCCCTCATCCTTTGCGTCATTTGTCGCCATCATATGATTTAGCAGCAACATCATCGAGTACAACTACTACTGCCAGTGGCAATAATCAACACGAACCACAATCCTTGTTTTGCCAACAGGTGTCTGGTGGTTTTGCTTGTACGACTACCAGCACCAGTAACAGCCAGTGTAACAAGCGCAGCAGCGGGTCTGTTGCCAAGAGCAATTCCTTGGAAACACAGCGTCCCTATGCATGTGGCATATGTGATGGGACATTTAAACGCCCACAGGATCTGAATCGTCACCTACGAAGTGTTCATGGACCAAGGATTCATATCTGCCTTGCATGCCAACGCACGTTTTCTCGTAAAGACAGCTTGAATCGACATCAAGAATCAGCTTGTAAAGGTAGGGCCAAGCAACATCGTCACCAGAAAACAGGACACCGGCTGTCAGGCAATAACAACATCCACGTGAACGTTCCGGAGCTTCGTCGCCTTGAATACATGAAATTTCGCACGCTTTGAAGCTATTCCTTGGAATTGCAGGACCCTGTTGTTTGACCTTTTTTCGCTTCATTAGCATACCCGCTTTCATTTTTGTTGCATCATAGTCATCATTATCATTATTGTTAGTACTTTATCACTTTTACTGATTAAATGTTTTTCAAATGTCGTGCTCTTTTGGATGTATACTGTCATATGACATATACATTAGTCCCATCATTGATAGCTGAGGAAGAATAAAGCCGTGGTGATAAGCCCAACTTTAATACCATTGCCCAAGAATACCATCGTACCACACAACAACGGATATGAGGAGGCCACTTTACTATATTGTATGCAGGAGCTCATCCTCTTCGTGGCCCATCTCATGAGACACAACAGCTGGTAAACCACGAGGGAAAGTAAACAAATGTCCACTGCTCATGGTGCATGCTTTTAGAAAAAGCTTGTTGTTCTACATCTTCCTGTCACGCATCTTGATGGCGGTTCCTAGCATAGATGGATCATGAAAACACCAATAATGAGCCTCCATTTTATGGGTGACGGGTGTGATGGGGTTGTTTCATCCGATTGATGTATGCAAGTGAAGCACCCAGATCCATGACGATCTGGGGGGTGGATGATTTTGGGGGAGGGGGTGAAGTGGAAACAAAGAATGTGGAGATGGCGATTGACGAGTCACATGCACGCATGTGTACCCAAGAAACGTATAAACAATAATACACAAGATTGGAAATGATAACGGTGGTGAACCCAATCAATCTTCCCATCATCAAAAGACTCGCAATGTTCATATAACAAGCGCATCAGATGATGCCAAAAGGTGAGCCACTTCATATGAAAATATGCAAAATGAGTGCTCAGCAATATAAACAAAGCATTACATGACACACTTCAACATCGCAGGTGCATCAGCCGTGATCTCATGAGAAAAGGCGTTGACTTTGTCAACAACATGATGATGACGAAACCGGAAACACTCTGAATCACCGTACTGCAGGAACGAATTTGCCTAAAGACCCAAAAAGGATAACAGGGTCCATTACCAAAATGTGAAGTATGGATGACTAGACCTCGTTGCTATGCAACGCCAAGTAATCGGATCTAGGGTAATGTGATTTTCGTGCATAGCAACAACGTGCAAATTCACTTGACGACTCGAAACGTACCATAACCATGGCAACATCCTATTTAGTACCTAGCAACGAATCGTGATGAATGGCCTCCTGGGATTTACGACCATCCCAAGTAGCTGATGCACATTGCAAGCTGATACCTAAAACGTAAGATTCATGTTTGCTCTAAGGCAAGAGCATAGCTTTCATGGTCTTGTATGCGTTGTGTGAGTGCAATTCAAAGTAGCTACATTCTACGTAATGTCCCTTTTAGAAAGCATCATTGGAGGTATCATCCATAACAAATCCACAATCGTATCACCCTAAAATATCATCAGGGCCTGGACACCATATACATTGATCGAAGGATACATGCAAAGACGTCAACAAACTATATAGCCAATCATTATCGGGTCAAGTAGTAGAAGCTATAGGAAAAAGACATCCTTAATACGATTCATTCCCCTTAATGGGTTTGGGTGACAAGTAATAAAGGCATTACTCATTCTCTAATGGGACACGACAACATCCAAGGTGTCATTCCGATGATCCCTGTTCAATGGATTACCCGAGGAAACGCTTTCTTTGTTACCATTACCAATCCTTACAATGATAGCATGTAATTCGCTTGGTGTTGAATTTAGCAGCATTGACAGTGACACCTCCCCATCAATGTTTGCAGGTTCGGCCACGTGAGCCAAGACTCGAAAATGTCTCGCATTTTCATCCCGCCATCTGGAACATTCATTGTCAAAGATCATTCTCAATGGGTATTCTTGGTGCACGACATGACATTGCTACTAAATAAATATCCTATAACGGATGATTGTGTAAAAGTCGTACGAAGCGTGAATATTCCCATTTTAGTGCCAGCAAGGTGTTGTATGGTAACAACGAACATAGGTACGGCAAGCCATTCTTCCTGTTCGGGACGATTATTCCCTTGGCCCGTTATTTTTAGTTTGCGACAATGGGAAGCGGTGTGCCATTGTGCTGCCATTTGTTTTTCCCCTCGACCCATAAAAAGGCAATCTAGATGCGTGTGTTCCATATTTGTGCTCGCTATGGGCTATGTATGACCTGGACCCAATAGGGATTGTAAAGCGTAAAAGGATGTATTATGGGCCATGACGACGACTCAATTGCGTCGGCCAAATTGCTTTGTGTGTGTGCGAATGGGTGTGTGTGTGTGTGTGTGTGTGTGTGTGTGTGTGTGTGTGTGTGTGTGCGTAAGAGCTGCTGCTGCACGAACCATTCGTATCACTTTGCATTAGCAATTGTGCCACCGTCAATAGGACTATTTGTGTTTTTGATCTCAGTGAACCCTGTTTTGTATAAAATGCCCAGGAATATCCTGCTATCCCACCTGTGGATCTCTTTGTAGTAACACAATAGCGCTCTCTTTTTTCCCTCTTTTATACCTTTTCTTTCTAGTTCTTCTTTTACTCATCCTTCTTTCACTCCCAAAACCACTCATATAATCACAAAGATGCTTCAATCAATGCTTGGATCCCTAATTGTGGGCTCATTGTTTCTTGTGAGCCAACAAGCTCAAGCGGCTATGGTTATTCAAGTCGCTGATGCCAATAACTTTTGCACCTTTTTGCCTCCCACTGATTCTACTGATCGTCTCATTGCCGACTCTGAAACGGAAGCTGATGCTTTTTGTATGGGCAGCACACCAAAAGCAACCGGTGCCGATTCTATTCCTTCAGGATTCATCCAATCTGCCCATTTTGTTGCTACAGATGATTACGTTCAGGTATGCTATTCTCGGTTGTTATTGCGTGTGAATATCATACTTATCATCAATGGATGTTTTTTACTCCCATGCTTAATATAGGTCACTGGTCAAATTGATCCTAGTAAAGCTAACTTGGATCCCACTGATGGTGGAGGGTAAGCATCATCCTTTCTTTTCTTTTTTACCCTGGGGGGGTTATTGTTGATGTAATTGGGCTGCATACAAAATGTTGTCGGACACCATCAGCGATCTATAGCTTTCTTTCCGCTCATATGACGACTTTTATTTATCACACAGACAGTACGACGTCAAAGCACCCGATGGAGCAAGCTGCGCTGGTTATGAGTATTTCGTGAACCTTATTGAGCCATCCTCTAATACCTATTGTATTCGCTGCTGTGTAAGTTTCATCTTGTGCTAAAAATGCCAACAACAGCCTACTCATGCCCTCTATAGAATTCAGAATCGGATTGCAACAGAGGAATTAGTGAAGCCGGTTGCGAACGTATTGTGCCTGGTGATTATAGTGGACCAATGGGTGCTGGTTCAGGAGAATCATCTGATACTCCAAACTCTTCCGCTGCACCAAGCAGCACCGATTCTTCGTCTCCATCTCCTGCTGATCCATCAAGAGGAAGCAGCAGCAGCGGTAGCAGCAACCCTAATACGCCATCCTCATCTTCTCTTCCATCACCATCATCATCGCCATCCAGTGATAGTGGCTCATCCCCTGCAGCTACTTCTTCATTGCCATCGGATTCTACCGCAAGTGCTGGTGATTCTTCTTCGTCACAATCCTCCTCCTCGTCTTCTTCAGATGAATCCGTTTCGGCACAATCGGTGGATGAGAGTGCTGCTAACAATATCGGTGTCCGATCCATGACATCGGCTTTGGTTGCTGTTGTTGTTGGTGTAGCTGTGGTGATGTTGTAATGACCGATAGCAATGTTTTCGTTGTTGCTATACAAAGCACATCCGATTTGGTGTCTGTACAAATATTATACTACAGTACTTAGTCTCAATCTATTTATTAAATCGCTTTAAGCTTTCTCAAAGCCTTCTTGTATAAGCATGTCTCTTGCATTTGCCTACTCTTTAGAGATTTACGTAAGAGAATAAAGGCTTCTTCATTTACAATGTCCCATATCGGATGTATACATTGCCACATTCTTGACGCAATTGCAAACAAAACAAAATTGATCGACGCTTGCTAGCTGTGTGTTACATTTGACAATGTCTGTGATACATAAATAAATCCAGCGGAATAGCCACACCAGCACCCAAGAAAGTAGCTTTTTACCACAACTGGCAGCATGATGTCTACTTTACATAACATTACAAAGGCGTGTGATGCTTACTACTATCATGGGAAGGCTTATTTTGACACAAGTTTGATGCTGGGATGCAATCATGTCATTCCACTCAACACCGGTTGTTAAATACCAAAGTAAACGTTGCTGGTGTTACATGCGTAATGGCTTACTTACCCCGCACCGATGCACTTTTTGTTAACTACGATCGTACTCATTACCGTACAAAGAAGGTGATGATTGAAAACGATTTCTTTTGATTATAGCATCATCTTGCTCGGATAACATCCACAGCCCTGATTCAACATCAGATATCAACGTGGGAATTGGCCACGACTATACTAGAGTAACGAGTGATTCATGGTCCCATGCATCATGAGAAGTGATGTAATACGCCACTAGAGAGCGGTAGTGCATTGCTAGCGTTACCCAATACTATCATCTATAAATTCCACATCTTTGAACAGCACGAGGAATAGATTTCAATAGCATTTTACTTGAATAGCGTTTTCTTTTATAAATGATAGGCATCTACGTGTACTTGCTAAGTGGTGGGGAGAGGTACCAAGATGGGTTGGCGAATGGATGATGCCGCATTAATAGAAGAAATGATATGGGATGCTGCTACACTCCTATATACGTACGTCATAGCCACACGCTTGTCACGATGTCAATGTTGCTTGGGGATGTTGCCATGACAGTTGACTGGTTGCCGTTCATCTTGTGTTTCTAGCTGCTGATGCTGTAGTGCGCTATCGTGATGTCGTATCATCATTGCATGTTGTTACATCATAACGCTTTGATGCATTTGACGCCATCCGATATGCATGGCTGTATCAATAGTAGTGGATGATGACAAATGTTGTGTGCGTAATGGAAAATGATGCCTCCGCATGATGAACCATATGGATCTTTTGAGCGTTCTTATCATACAAAACGTTGGTGGATGTGCTGGTACGAGTGATGCTTTACGTCGTCCACTACCAAAGACATCCTTGGGATCCTTATTGGCATATCGATAGTCATTCCTAGCACTGAGACAAGTCGTTCGTGGTAGAATATGGCTCCATACTGGCAACTTACAAAGAGCTTGGATACAGCGTCTTACGTTGTGCACCTGACGTGTTACGTGGCGTGTTACAAAGGGTTGTTGAACGTGAAGGTCAAGATGCTGCTGATGGGATGCTCAATGTCGATATGAATGGCAGCTGCAATTGCCTATGGACCTCGAATGTGCATTGGTGTCAAGAGTAAAGGAAGGAGAGGAGCCCCGTCAACAAGCGCCGTGCATGGCCTCACGTGGGGTATTGAGCGGGAAAAGCCGAGATCGATCATGCAGTTTAAAGAGGCGCCTCTTTCTTTCACACGCACACACACACTTCCTTGTCCTTCTACCGCCATGCCACGTCAGTTGAATTTGGCTCTTCTCGTTTGCGATACCCCTCGAAAAGAAGTAGTGGAGAAATACGGTGACTATCCCCATTTGTTTCCTCAAGTGTTCAATGGAGCCATTGGAGACCGCGATGTACAAATCTCTTGGAAGCATTTCGACGTCGTTCACAAGCAAGAGTATCCAGACCTACAAGACCTCGCTGACAACAAGACATTCGATGGCATTGTTATTACCGGTTCAGTGGCATCGGCTTACCTTGATGATCCATGGATTCTAAAGTTGGTCGACTTTGTCAAAGTGATGAGGACCGAGCCCTATCGTTCGCAGGTGCGTCTTGTGGGTGTATGTTTTGGCCACCAGATCATTGCACGTGCATGTGGAGGAACTTGTGTCAAAAATCCCAAAGGATGGGAGGTAAGTGTGGGTCATCATTCAATACAACGTGCTGTTCACTAACGTGTAATATGGGTATTAGTTTGGCGTCTTTGATATCAACCTTACACCATGGGGAAAGCAATTTCTGAAAACGGATAAATCATCCTTGGTAACTATCAAAAGGTGACAAAGAAAATACGCCGATCAAGGGCTAATATCGTTATGCTATTAGCGTATCCACCAAGTGCATCAAGATCATGTTGAGGAATTACCACCCAATTTCCACAATTTGGCTACCACAGCACCTCATACACCCTTCCATGGATTCGTTTCGGATGACTATCAATGTATCACCATACAAGGCCACCCTGAATATGTGCGAGGTTTCGTCAAGACCGTGCTTACGATTCGACGAGATGCAGGCATTGTACCCAAGGATTATGCTAACGAGCAGCTTGAGCGTTTGGACTCTGTGCCTGACAACACCAAGGATAATCTATGGTTGGTAGGACGCATGATTGATTTTATTCTAGGGAATTTGCGTTGTTAGAGTACCGATTTCGACAACTGGGCAAGCGCACGGACCCAAGAATGGAGTACGGATTGGCAATGACTAGATGATGATATTTATTCACATGATATATAAACAACACGATCCTATATCCACCACCATTCCCTTGTATCATTGTGTGGCTAATTGCTTTTGGGAGATTGTATGAATAAAAAAAAGTCTGGATCGATCTTGGATTTCGAATTGGCTGCTGAATTAGGCGTTTTAATTAAGGCAAATCGGCTTTGGGATTGGGCCAAAACGAGTGATCTATTGCCATGGTCAAATAAAAAGGGATTGCCAAGCTGGCAGATACATCTAATTGCTTGACATCATGAAGAAGAGCGAGTGGTAGTAATTGTGCTCTCCAGGGTTTTACATCATTGATCCGGTCGCACAAAGAACAATGCAATCGCACCAGTATCTTGGGACTGAGTAATGCCAAAAGTGTGTCAGTGGTGGGGGTCTGGAAACAAGCTGTTATGAGCACCAATCATTTCTTTATTGGGTTGATCACGATGGTGTAAATCACGAATGAAATCAATGACCACACATACACAGACTATAACAACAACAACAATAATGCACCCCATGCATGAGCATCTTATCTAATTTTAAGATGGGAGATGAATGCATGTATTCTTCATCTTCTTCCCCGCATGCCAAGGCCATCATCATCATATAAAGAATAGAGGCTGAGTCGTCGTTGGGCAACCAAATCGACAAAACAAGACATCTGGTAGGTTCTACAACTGATGTCATGAGGAGGACGACGAGGATCTAAAAATAGTGATTGCGTTTCCGGATAAGCGTTCCGCATCAGTGCCAAGGCACATGAGTGGCATGCTTCCTTTTCGCTGCAGGTACCTAAGTGAAATTTAAATTTCATAATGAGCATTTGATCAAGGAAAATGGGAGGAAGGATACAACGTCTTAAATAGTGAATCTAAGCGTGAGTTTACAAGCATGAAACAAAGTAGCAACAATCACGTACCAGGCACGGCTCCTTGTATTGTGCTCCGACTTTTGTTCCTTTGCCAAGCAAAACCCCGAGCAGGTGGGCTTCTTTTAAGGTTGTACAGAGCCAACTATATAAAGACACACCTTTTTTCTACTTCTCCTGGTTTTATTTTTCGTCGCTTTATCGTCTCCTCTCTCTCCTGCAATTGTTCAACATGAAGAGAGCTCTTTACACATTGACTTGGTTAATCGCATGCCTTGCTGCAAACGCGCTTCCTTTGGTTGCCAGAGATCCTTTGGATGGTGAAAATACTATTGAGTTGCCTAGTACGTGTCATTTTCTTCCTTACGTTGTTGTCCTATGCATTGACATTAACATGTTACTTTAGTTTCTGGACATACTATTTCCGTGCATGGTGTTGTTTTATCTATCATTCTCTTTATCTCTGGTCTATATCTTTGTTTCTTGGGAGGTAAGCATACTTTGTGGTCTTGGGTGGAAAGGTTTTACAAAAAGGACAGCACGACTAAGCCTGCTTTTTTCCTCTTCCCAATCAGGTGTGCATCAAAAGTTCACCATGTTCATTGTCGGCTTTTACGTTGGTGCCAACGTTGCATACATTATCCTCACAAACGCAAAACCCGATTATGGAAGCAACACTGAAACGATCCTGCTTGTGGTATCAGTGGTCGTAGGTCTATTGGCTGGTGCATTATTGTCATGCTGTTTCTTCCTTGCAGTGTATCTATTGGGTGCATTGCTTGGTTACCTTGCAGCATTGTGGTTCCTATCATGGTCTGATAATGGCGTTATCCAATCCAACTGGGGTCGTGCCATTCTCATTGTTTGCTGCGTTGTCGTTGGCGTCGTATTGATGGCTTTCCTTGAACGTCCCATGATTGTCATTGCCACTGCATTTATCGGCTCCTTCCTTATCTTCTTTGGTATCGATTTGTATGTGCAAACAGGTTTCACCACAGCCGTTGCTTCATTCCTACACGCACGAAATGTCGACACACTTATACAATCCAGCTCCGGTGTACGTGGAATGCTTGGTGGTACTTTGGCTCTTACCGTTGTTTCAGCCTTGTTGCAATGGCTTCATATCCGTCGTCGTCAACAACCTGTGATGGTTTGGTCCCAGCAATATCCCATGCGTTCAGGCTACGGCTGGCGTCGCGTGTAATCTTTTCCCTATCATCCTTCCTCTTCTTCACTATTACTCTTTACATTTCTTCACATATCCCCCCCTTCTTTGTGCCTCTTATATATATCACTTCATCCCCATCTTCACATTCCTTTGTTATAGTGTTGTCTATTGTATATAACCAACCCGTGCACATATATTAAAAAGAATGTTTTCGGTAAATCGGGCCGTTCAAATGATAATGGGTGGTGTCCGTGTCGTGTGGCAGATCCGACATTTTGTCGTTTGTGCAACTCGGAAGAACCTTATCATCCAAAAGTGACTCTTGCCGCTCATGCAAGTGCCTCATGATTCTTAATCCCACCACCGCCACTTGCCACAATGTGGCTTTCTCCTCCCTTTAAAAGGACCTACTACATTTCTTATGCCACCAAGGAATCTACTTTCAAGTATTTTATTTATGCAAAGTCACTATTGAGCAAGGAGGAAATAGATGGGGTGTATGTGAATGGAATGACAGTTACTTTGAAAAATGGTTTCGGAGACTGTCCTTGTTTGAAAATCGTTTGAAAAGGCCTTGTGCATGCCCTTCCGCAAGCAATCGTAGTTTGGTGTTGAACGTAACGAAGGGTTGCCGTCGACTTGTGTGAAATTTGATAATAGGAGATACTTTATTGACGCAAGTGGTCTAGGACAACCAAGCAAACGTTGATGAAGCGAATTCACCGTTTACTGAACCTCCGCAAGAATGGGAGGGAGAGATTGCTGGATTGCAAGACGTGGGACCCACAACATGTCGCATCGACTCCCAGCCCATTCGGTATTGGTTACGGCCGGACTTTGCTATTTGCATCATGTCAAATGCACCATGTCAATTTCAGCAGATGCATCACAGGAGATAGCTATGCCGAAAGTAACAAGGAGTAGCGCGTATGAGCAGTGACTCATCAAACAACATGATCAGGCTTTACCTTATTATGAGGGTCCAATATCACAATGACGGCCACGTTACAAAGCACTATGAATGTACACGAAGATCAGCACTTGTTCACTGGTTGAAAGATGCGATACACACAAACCTTGGACATTTGGCCTTGTAAGCAACCAAAGAAGTATGACAAGGGAAGAGACGTGTGCTGGTAGAATGATGGGCGGCGACAACATTCTTTTATTGTGCATGGTGGGCGTGGGTATTTCTGTTTGTTAGGAATGGTTGATAAATTGATGCATGAGCTGATATTAGTGATGGGGCGCAGATACCAGGATTAAGTCTGAAGAGCCTAGGTGTAATGTTGTCTACACATACATCGGCCAAACTATGGCAGGTGATAAAATTTATCAATGAAATCAATCACTTGTACCGCGTTAGGCGCATCCCCATTATTACAAAAGTGACTTGCCATTGTTGTCAACCTACTCTTAATATTGGTATGCATGTTCGGCAAGCTGCGATGATGATCCGATCACCTTTGATATCAGCTATCAGGTTTCACCGGCATTGCGTAATCGTGGTTTCCACATTAAAGTTGAGCACCATGCATCTTCTTTAACATTGCGCAATCGTGTTATGGCCAACGTATTCAAACGTGTTATACATCATAATGAAGGAAATGAAAGCTGGTCGCTGTACTTGTTTCCGGCATAGGATGATCCATCGCATGGTATGTATCATATTGAATCCAATAGCAAAGACTTTGCTCAAGAGCAGGGACGTGGATTGGTTAGTAAAATGTTTCCATGCTCTGGCCTTGTCTCATCTATGTAGAATACTCAGCTCGAGATGCTCACGTGAAACCAAATTAGTTTCATAGCAAGCCATGGGGATGGAGGGAATGCATACACTTGGGAGTCGTTGCTGATGATTCATCTTCTAGAAAGAACCAGTATTGTATTATTGCTAAAGCCGCCTATTCAATGTTCCGCTACAATAGAAATCTTACATTTCGGATACGATACTAGAACCCAGCATCATCTCGTCGTCGTTAGATCCAGAGCATGTATGAAACTGATGAGCGAAAAAGGTTTCACAAAAAAAGGCGCACACTCACGTCATATGGCGGTATTGTTGATTCATCATCTTTATCATCACTTTCTTTGGGGAAACTTGCTGAATCACAAAGTAAGTAATGATCAGCACCAATGCCATGGCAACTATACATCTTGTTATTTACATCATGTATCGTCCTTTATCAACCTCCAACAACGTTCGATCACGCCTTCGATAGGGATTCTTAAGAATGACCTGCTGCAGCTGCTAGTAGATGAAGGCGTCGTCGTGAAGGAAGTAGGCAATGTACCGACCATGCACGCTGTTAGCTTGTGAACTATTGCGTGACAACCAGCACTTGGTTTCACCATGCAGCTGCATGTACACACGAAAGGTGAGATCAACAAGGCCAACGGTGCATTCACCCAAAAGATCGTAAACACCGAAACGTATATCTTGTGATGCTGTTGTCACCCAATGTATAGATCTACACCCCGCATGGTTTCTCCTTTGTGGCCGCCGCTGATGATCGCTGCAACCAAACGGATTGGGTCAGCGTGATGAGACTGGTTTTGGACAATCGAGCCTGTTTTGGTTGTCATGGGTGATTGACAACAAATGACATGCATGCATCCAATGGTGTACATGGTGGTGGTTATATATCCTGATGATCTTTTTGTGCTAATTACTGGCTGCAGAGATGTAAATCGATCGAATAAAGTTTACGGGTCCGGACCGAGAAATGCATGCAAATGCACGATGTGGTGACACAAATATGTTTCTGTGTTTGAATGATGATATAAAAAGAGGACATCATCGATTCGAACAACACCCTTTGTCTCACGTCCTTTCTCTCTCTTTTTACTTTACTACTTGTTGTTTTCGACACACAAGCTTCCTCATGAGTTAGATGAATCTCCAGCATCTGGCCGATATTATCTCTCCTCGATTGCCCCTTGAGCTTGTATGGCTCATTCTCTCCCACTTGCCAGTGCAAGACATTATTCGCCTCGTCCAAGATGATTGCATTGACCGCCTTTTAATTGCCCATCCCTTTTTTAACGAACGCCATATACATGTTCTCTTGACGGTGGATCCAACTGCATTTCAAGCCTATCTCGTTCCTGGCAGACCCTTGCCCAACTTGACATACGCCGAACCCTGCGGCCAATTCTATTCCATAGCACAACCTCTATCATTGGCAAGCTTTCATTATACCAAGCATCGTATCGAATTTCACAATGATGACCAAGACAAATGGGTGAGAATTCACCCGCCATCATCAGCAACGACAACAACAACGACAACCAATGGAGTGGCAGGTGTAATGGGTATGGCTGTTGTGCTGGTTCACAATAATGTCATTATCAAAAGAAGTTTACATGCCGTCAATCCCGCTCGCACACCTTGGTTTGAACGATCTCAGGGATATTTTGGTGGAGGTGTTCAATTTGAATACAACAAGGACAAAGGAGGAGCAAGAGTAGCTTTTTGTACTGCCAACATGGATTGGTTCTGTTCTTGAATCTTCATGTCCACCTCCCCCATCTCCAAGCATTCCTCTTTTTATCTTTCTCTCATCCCCCCGGCCTTTGATATCATTTTATTATTACTTCAGTACTTGTTATATATAAACTACGGCTGGTTGTACATACCATCCTTTTGTCATTTCCTTACCAGTTGATTGGGTATGATCCTCTTCCACGTGGTATGTAATCATACTCCGTAAAGTTGGCACCACCCAAAATTAAAAAAGTCAACTCCCATTGTTCTATTTCTTCTTTCATTGTTTTTGTATTTACATAATAAACATTGATCCTTGTGTTGCCATGGTTACTTTTCCCTTCATTACGGATAGAAACATGTATATCATACGAATGACACACTTGGCAACCAAAAAATGTCTAACGGAGAAAATCACAATGACGTCGTCGTCGTCAACAAGCGCCGCTCCGTTTTTGAACATCCATAGACCAGTCGCGAACAAAGATAGGAATTGTAAAGTTTAGGCAATGATGGAGGATGACGAGGCAGAAACAAAGACTTGCCAAAACTTATACCAAAAGTGGCTATCTAACTTTCCATTTCTATCAAAGACAAGTCATTACATAGAGGGGGCGGCAAAGGGAAGATATTGTAGCGCGCTCAGGGCAACCCTCATCCTTTGATATGTTATCAATCGCATGCCAACCATGACATTAAATGACCCAATGAGATAGACTAAACTACCACTTGAATGATTGTTTATTGTATCCATGCATCATTATTCATAAAGAGTTTCAAACATACACCACTGAATTCATTCATGTAGGAGGGCGGGAAAAGAAAAATGCACAAACATGGGAATCTAAACTAGCTCGTCTCTTTGCTGCACACACCACACTATGCCATATACACGAGAGGAACTGGACCAAATGAGAATCGCCATGGAAGGTGAATCTGCTTGGGATCGTATGAAACGCAAGTCTAGAGAAGAACCCCTTGTCCCAGCAGGTACATGTTTTTGACCCTTGGTATTGAACATTGACTTAACGACAAATGGGCGATAGGCGTGGCATTGACTTGCTTTGCATTGATTGCTGCTACTGTGGGCGTCAAGACTGGTAACCGCGCTTATGCAAACAACATGTTCCGTCTTCGAGGTATGAAAAGATGACACAGGGTCAAGATGGATCATTTGACTCATACAACAACCCTTTTCTATAGTTGCTGCTCAAGGTTTTACAGTGTTGGCCATGGTGGGTGGCTCTCTCTATTACACCTACAAGGAACAACAGCTCAAGGATGCAGCCAAAAAGGAGTCGTCATCGTAAAAACACACGTACCACACACACGCACACCATTTTGCATGGCATTTTCCCCCTCTTCCCACGCACTCCATCCAACATACACAACATACAACGCTGGTCAATGTATTTACAAATATATCCTATTCATCTCCACTACTCTGGTAAACGCCATTCTCGTAGACAGACACGTCGTATCGATTCCTGATCATGAGCAGCAGGCCGATGTCTATTACATATGTGTGTGTGTGTTGAATTAGTATATAAATCACGTGAATATGGTTGGGCAAAGGACATACGGATCATTGATATAAGGCACCAGCGCTTCCAAAGCTTCAATCTGCTTGCTTGCGAATCTACATAACGATGCATCAGTGTATATGGTCTTTTAAGGACGCCCCGCTCGCTTAAAAATACCTTAGATTCCTCATCTTGATATAGTCCACGAATTCTTCATCACTTTCCAAGATGGCTGCAGGAATAAAGCTGCTAATCTCTTCCTTTTCAAAACGTTGATTGAGATCCGATAAAGCTTGGATTAATCGGGAAGGTTGCTGTGTAAGGAGATCCTTGCAAACAATATATCTCTCCGAGTTGGCAGGTCGACTTGAAAGTGGTTTGGTGATGCATATCGTGTCAAAGAGTTGATACAGGATCCACACAAGGTTGGCAGTGAATTGTTGCGACATGTCAAAAAACTTGCAGACAAAGCTGCCACCTAGATGATAAAGGCTTAGATCATGGAGCATTGTTATCCTCTTCTTCAATTACCTCGTCTCAAACATGTCAACATGGTAATGATCTCGCATAAGATTAAACGACGTGCCAGTTGTTCTTGATGCATTTCGCGTCCCGTAAAATCAAAGCCCTGGATACAAGGATGATTCATGAATACCCATATCAACGCATCCATCCATCCATCCATCCATGTCAATCACTTACACCATCAGCAACGACCAAATCAACACCTCGATCACGCGTGTATTGTTGTACAATGGATCCAAATTCTCGGATATTGGCATCTTGGTAGAGATCACCTAAGAAAATGAATGTCATTAATCCGTTGCTTTCACTAGCTTAGTAGAACACTTACCTGTGCCATCGACACCATCGACTTTGGTGAAATTCAAAGGTACATCAGGTCGAAACTTGTCCGTGTGCCAATTGAGTTGATCTTCATGTGGCGATGCTTTGAGGGTGATACCATAACCATAGGCTGATCCTCCCCAGCTATGCACTCTCCATAACAAGTATTCTATATGTATCCTATGAGTATACCCAATCCAAGCCTATTTCCAATCTTGACTTACCTGTGAATCCACCCGGGCCACCACAAAGATCGGCAAATGTAAATGTCTAAAGATCATGTCAAAGGGGGGTTGGCATTCATATACATGCAGGTCCCATCCTTCTATCCATATACATACCTCATTGCCTTGTGTGCGTGTCAAACCAAAGGTAGCATCCAAGGCAGCCAACTTTGTCGCAGCACGATTGATAAAGATCGACTTGTTGATACGTTCAAAAGGATTACTCTTGCCACGAGCCTCGGATGTGGCATCCTTGACACGTTCCTGAAGAAAACCCTGGGTTAGCATATACACTAATACACCCAAAGTAACCATCCTTCCTTACTCGTAAACGTGTGAGTTGATCCGTCAATTCTGGCATATCCCAAAAGAGTCCACTTGCCTAGGAGAAAGAGTGAAAGTGTATGTGAATAGAGTGATCTTGCTGGCATGGAAAAGGATATGCAAAAACTTACAGCACTACCAGTCTTGATACGAATAGTAGCCACCAAATCATCAGTACCAAGTCGTTGCTCAGGCTTGCATTGTATAAAGTCTGTGCTGATGCGCATATCTACGGGCATGGGTCGTGGTCGATCGTGATGCGTCGGCATGCGGCGTTGTTGGTGTTGTTGTTGCTGGGATCGATCCCATCGATGATCGCGACTAGAAACGCGTTCAAAGTCTCGTGAAGAAGGCGGTGGAATGCCTGATCGTGTCCTTGTGGATCGGTAATCGGGATCAGAGTCTACAAGTTGCGTGTCAGGAATGTCGTTTTTGGTGGGTGGTTGTTCCTATATGATATGTATTACCTGTGTACATGAAAGAAGATGAGAGCGCACATGACGCGGAGACACAATTTGATGTTCATTATCCCACCGCACTCGCTGAGTGATCCAAGGATCCGATCGTACCATGTCTTTATATGGATTCTTATCTTGCATATGCTAATAAAGGATACCCCACCTTCCGGGATCAAGGATTACACTAGAATTCAAAACATAGACCATATCCACTAGTAGTAGAATAAAGACCCGTATCATGCAATCCTTGAGTGTTTCATTGTCGCATCATGACACGTCGTAAAAGAAACAAGGATGCTAAAAGTAGCTCATCGTGGGGAAGGCGTACTTGTATGCAACAATGCTTTCATGACAAGAAGCCATGTATATCCACAAGGGGCTGCGCGCTTCATTCTTCCGAAGTTTCGGAGGTGCTAATGCTACCACGCAACGTACTGTGTGTGACTCATCGATGATCATCCTGTCAGCGTCAAGATAATGTGAAGGTGCATCATCATCCATTTTTATCATTCTTCTTCTTTTACTTTTAACATCATGACCCGCCGCTATCACAATCATGAGGTTTTACTCGCTACCTCTGAATCGGATAAGAAAAAATGCATGGATGTACGCTACCAAGTCTTTATTGTGGAGCAAAAATACCCGGCCTACATCGAAGTAAACGAGTACGCAATAATGCTTCATGTATCCGATTGCTGGCATTGCATATCAACAACATGCTTCATCTCTGTAGACCCATTGATCCTATTGCCGACCATTTCTTGCTTATTGCCAATACCGTGGATGGTGATGATTCGCAAGGAGCAGGAGCTGAAAAAGTACCCGTAGGTACAGTACGAATGCATATCAATGATGAAGAAGGTGTAGCCATCTTGAGTCGATTGGCTGTCTTGTCAGATGCTCGGGGTTGTTCCTATGGAAAGATTTTGGTACAAGCTGTCATTGAATGTGCAAAGACACGAGGCGTTCAAGCATTGACCCTAAGTGCGCAGCATTTCAAGGTGGATTTCTATAAGCACTTGGGCTTCCACATTGATAATGAAGAGGTCTTTTACCGATACGACGTTGCCCATTATCATATGCGACTGCCATTAGAACCATAATAATCATTGGAATACATAATAGAGCGATAAAGTCGTTTTTTTATTCGATAAGCTCTACTACTACGTTGTTGTTTTCTTCCATATTTCGTTCGACGACAATGTACGGTGGCATGTCCGGTTTGTATGTTGTACGCTTCTGATGGGTTGCGTAGCCATTGCCCTTACCATTCAGTGTATCGTTACGTTCATCGGTTAGGAACGTGTAGTAGCGAGACCACCCCCGTTCATCAAAAATCCGGTGCATCAGGATGGGTTGGGCACCAACAAGTGAGGTGACGAGCCGAATAAGAGATCATGTCATAAGTTGTCGTTGACGTTATTCATGAATGGTTTGATTCGATGAAATAATCTCGGCTTGGTTGATTTGATTGGTGTTGAATGTACCCATAATGCATATACGTCGTGTTATCACGATCATGCATACATGCTTGTATGCCTTTCTGATATCGAAATACAATAGCAGCCATCCTTTCGCCAACACTCCTGTATGTCCATGCAAAGATCCATTGTCATAAGTGCCTTGAGAGGTGTTATACAAGGAGATGATAACCCGATGGGAAAAATCGCAATAAGCGAACTGTTGTAGGAGGGGTGGTTCAGCCTTGGCTTCCTTGGCTTGCAGGGATGTCTCTTGGAAAATCATGGTGGATATATGTCGTCGGTTTGTTGTGATCAAATCGAGCCACTCTTCGAATCCTTCATTATCGTTCGCCTTCATCTGCCGTACCACCGTGGTCGGTCTTGTTGTTTGCTTCACAAAAACTCCTCATACACCGAAAACTCGCATGTCGACAATTTTGACAAAACGGTGACATGATCTTCGTATGAGTGCAATATAATAGATATAATCTGTACTCATGTTCCCAGGTATATAGATATCGCCGCATAACTCTTTTAGAAGGCAAATCACTAAACAAACACATATCAATATACAAGCTAGAAACATGGATACTTATACAAAAGGGAATACATAATCACACATACCACAAAGGATCCATCAGGGAATGGGGTCAAAGATCACACAAAGACAACAATGGCCATCAGTTATAATGAACTAATTGAGAATGTTGAATGAGTACAGTATCCTTCTATTGGATAGCAAAGAAAACTTATCATTGATACTTACAAAGCGATGGAACTCTTGATCAAATACACAAGCAAATAAAAGAAAGAGATGCTGATGATAATGCTGGTGACAACAGCCTTCTTTATACGTGCGCGGGCGTGGGAATTGTTGTCCATACAAGAAAAGGAGGCTGTGATAGATGACTTGATTAATCAACATCTTGGAGTGCTAGGTCGAACGAGCTGCAGCGCCAACAGCTGATAGATCAATCCATTCATAGGAAAGGAGACGTTTGTAGGTCCATCCATCTCTCCCTGCAGGTTCTTTTGTTGTATCAAGCCAAACTATGCGTACATCGCAAAAGATCTAGCAGCGTACGGGGTTTTGAAACAGGTCAGCACATTTTTCAGTATTGGCAGCGTGTACATCGGCTTACATAGTATGTCTTCTTCAAACAGGATGCGCACATATCCAATCGACTTGATCCTCTTCAACGCCATGGTGATATCGCCATCCAATACCATCTTTTCCAAAGCGACCCATTACTATCTTGCTTGTAGTCCACGTGTTTTGCTTTCTCTTACCTTCATGAACTTTATCACCTCCGTGTATATAATGAACCGCCCACGGGTAGCTTTGGCAGATGCTGATCAGCTGAGAGACGATCTTTGTGGTGTGCGGTATCCATCTGGGCCAACCGTAATTCAATAGCTTGCATTCCATGACTAGATTTCCATTGGATTTGCCCCCATAAAGTTTGTAAAGAGGTAGTTGCTGGGCGATTGTGTGGGGATGCTGAAAAAGCGATGATAATAGTTGCCGCCGTCGTGAGAATCTTCCAATCAAGACACAAGCAGAAAAGAATGACATGTGAATGGAATGTTGAACGCTTCCTTTCAGGTGCCAATGAGATGCAGGACTTCATCAAGCAGCAGAGTCTTGCCAAGAGAAGAGTAAACCATGCTTGTTGTGTCATTGTCGTGGTCATCGATATCATCCACATTCCATCGTTATCTTTGAAAGTAAAACAGGCACATTAATAAATCTGGTATTGGGAGGATGATGTTCAATAATACCTTGGGTGGCCATCTCTGTGGAAGAAGGCAATTTTGCAGGAATCAGGTAACCAAATCACCGTTCGGTGCCATCACTTTCATAATTCCCATGAGCTCATACTTGTATTCGTTCATCCTCTCCAAATCAAAGAATGATCCCGCCTTCCCAATCATCAAAGAGTAATCACCAACATACATATCACGAGAACAGCCCTCTGTTGTGCGGTGGTGCCAAATGGACAAAAGGTACAGGCTGGGAGTCGAACCCAAAGAGATAGCATGCCCCAAAGTTGCATTACCTGACCAAGAACCTTTTCAATAACATCCTCATTCATTGCCTTTGTTCACTGCACTTGCCTCTTTTAGATACATAAAGACCCTTTGTTGTTGGTTACAGGAAACCGAAATGGTACAGCGTACTTGAGTTGAAACAAGGAGCGAGCTAATGAGCCAATGTAGATGACCCTTGCCGTCTATACAAGCTAACACGTCAATGGAACAAGTTCTGCTTCAACAATGGGCTTTGAATGTACCTGGTGCACCAAGCGTGGATCGGCATGGACAACAAACAAGAAGAGCGACGATATCACCAAGGCTACAACAACCCGCTGCACTCCCTGCCTAACAGTGTTCAGAACTACATTGATAACTCACAACCAACAAGAGCACTAGAATGATGGGGATACCGTGATTGGAGTTGAAGGGAGAAGGAGAAGAGAAGCGTTGTCTCAAGTCGTGGAGCTGCTGTCACCCAAGTTTAAATCCCCCTACTGCTATTACACTGAGGCCACTCAATGACCCCACACACACCATCCACCCATTGTCATCATCACCCTCACGATAGACAATCGGTACACGTAAATAAAAGAAATGATCCTCACGTATAGCAAAAGGGTGTGTGCCATTTTACACTTTACATGATAACGATGATGATCCAACAACAGCCATTACCTTACTACCAGGTTAGCTCGAATCAAGAAAGTTAAATGATGGGCATGCTGGGCTGGAGCAAGACATTCGTTCGTATGTATTGGATTCGACAACAAAGGTGAATGGAAGGAATGGGCTATTAGCCGGCAGTTTGCAAATAACTTACCAATTTGATTCTTCTGATATTGGATGATGTTTCTGTGTTTGAGCATTTTTCAATCAAATCTCATCGGATCAAGAAAGTTGAATGATGGGCATGCTGGGCTGGAGCAGGACAATCGTTCGTATGCATTGGATCGAGTAACAAAGGTGAATGGGAGGAATGGTTTATTAGCTGGCATTTTGAACTATTCTTAAATAGTGTACAAGAATCATGCATCGCCTGTGCTGAATGACTCAAGTTACACAAACACGTCCTCTGCATCTTTTGCTCTATTATAGTCATACTGCTTTACATTAAACAAATACCACTTCTCATATAGCATCACCCTTACAGCATATGTAAAACATAAAGGTGCCTGTACCTCCAAACTTTACAATCAAACGTGGGCTCTTTAATAGATCAACGTGCTTGTCGGGGTCAAAGGAATCTTGTGTCAAAGTATGAAGTTGATCGTGGCCAATCCCAGATTTCGCAATGTCGCTACCCGCCAAACTGGATCTGGCGGTCGACCTCTTCGACCACGACGACCCAAAAAATATTTTTTGGGCTAGTTGCGACATTGAACGTGAAACTTTCACACAAGGTGCTGTTGACCAAGCCGAGCCCATTGCTCTAATAAAAACCCCACGTTTCATTGTAAAGTTCGGAGATACAGGCACCTTTATGTTTGTAAGCGTGATGCTATATGAGAAGTGGTCTTTGTTCATTGTCAAGTAGCTGGGCCCTGGAGAGCCAAAGATGCAGAAGGACCTCTTTAGGTAACTCAGCTAAAAAGTCCGGACTTCAGGGACGATGCATGACAGGTACGCAAACCTCATTTCCAGGCCATACATTGGCAGCTAACAGCCACTTTTATCCAATCAACATTGTTGCAAAATGTACGTGATGGGAACGATGCTCCTGCTGCAGACATCCATTTCCATGACTAAAGTAGCTTGATCCGAGCTGATTTGGTTGAGTTACGGTCGAACAAGGATTAATCAGCTGAGACATTCGAACGTATGCTGATGTCTGGATTCATGTAATCTCTCTTTGACCGTAGCTCAGCCAAATCAGCTCGGATCAAGATTGAAGCATGGAAATGAATGTCTAAAGCAGGAGCATCGTTCACATGCAGTGGATTTTGCAACAACGCTGATTGTGAGGAAATGGCTGATAGCGCGCAATATATGGACTATTGTGGATAGACCATAAAGTATAATCCATCAATCCTTCCAGTCATGCAAAGTAGCTGAGTTACACAAAGAGGTCCTTCTGCATCTTTGGCTCTGTCAGGGTCTAGCTACTTTACATTAAACAAAGACCACTTGTCATATAGCATCACGCTTACAAACATAAAGATGCCTGTATCTCCAAACTTTACAATGAAACGTGGGGTTTTTATGAGAGCAATGGGCTCGGCTTGGCCAACAGCACCTTGTGTGAAAGTTTCACGTTCAATGTCGCAACTAGCCCAAAAAATATTTTTTGGGTCGTCGTGGTCGAAGAGGTCAACCATGTCTTCCGCGAATTCAATCAAATCGCCTGATAAGGAAACAGGCACTCAGTCTCGTCCTCAGCGTCCATCCTATGCCAAGGTTACCAGTACTCATTCCTCAACACGTACTCATTCCCCAACGCGGGATTCGTTGAAAGCAACGGTTCATGACAATACTGTACATTCGAATGTGTGGAAAGCCGGTGGATCTCCTGCTTCTTGTACCAGCTTGTTCTTTGACTTCACTTCTCGTTCCGAAAATCGCGCTACGCTTTTGTGTCATATAAACGCAAGCTTTCCCAACAATTGTGGTGCACGCCTTCACTCGGATCATGCTCGCCGTATTGTTGAACTATTCATCGATGACTCCAACGTTTACCAAAAAGCTTGTACGTCAGGCCTTGTCTTCAAGGATGGTATGCGTATCTTGCCCAGTGTGCCTTTACCAGCTGATTCTTGTCTCATTCATCTTCGACTAAGCAGCCTTCCTTTTACCTCTCGTGATAAGCTTACCGATGGAATTTGTAAGGCTCTCTCACCCTTCGGTGATGTTCTGGATTATGGCATTCTTCGTGATCATGACTCCAATCTATTCATGGGGCATGGTTACGCAACCTTAAACGTCTCAAGTTCAAAGCAATCTTCGTCACTCTCACACAAGATTTCATGGCCAAACTCCGAGGATTGGTTTTATGCAACATGGGCCGAAATGCCGCTTCACTGTCTCCATTGTCACAAATCTGGTCATTCTAAGTCTTCATGCCCTACTCATCCAAGCCGAAATCGCCCCTGTTGGTCTTGCGGCCAAAATGGTCACCGCGCTGCTAAGTGTCCCAATCATCGACCTATTGTCAAGCCCACCATTGACCCACCCATGTCTCCATCGTCTTCTACTTCCACTGCTACCAGCAGCCAATCATCTGATGTCTCAATGTTTAGCACCGACATTTCACCTATCGAAGCCCATAACGACATGATTATCAGCAATCATATTTCAGAACCCACAAATGACAAGTTATTATCCAACTCATCTGCGGCTCCGCCAAGTCCTCATTTCATCAACCTTTTGTTGCAGCAATTTCCCATGTCTGATGAAGCCAAGGAAATTATTCGAACTACACCGGTGCCCATTTTATCCACCCTTCACACTAAGCTTTGTGACCAGGGCAAACGTTTTCCGCCAACAACAATCACTTCCAATTCCTCCGGGAGTGTCTCTTCTATGAGACTTAATGATTCAGATTAGCGCGCTCTCACCCTTTGTCTTCTTTCATATTTTCCTTTCCACATATTGTATCATTTTAGGGGTATCACTCTCTGACATACTCCCTTCAATAAATTCGGGGCATACCAGCCCCCATACAACGAAGAGGTCGACCGCCAGATCCAGTTTGGCTGGTAGCGACATTGCGAAATCTGGGATTGGCCACGATCAACTTCATACTTTGACACAAGATTCCTTTGACCCCGGCAAGCACGTTGATCTATTAAAGAACCCATGTTTGATTGTAAAGTTTAGAGATACAGGTACATTTATGTTTTACATATGCTGTAAGCGTGGTGGAGCTACTTTCTGCTAATGGATGGTGTCGAGAGTACTATGTATATGCAAGGTGAAAGACACACCGTGAAATGGCAAATGGTGGTTACACACACGCCTTTGACAGGTTGTTGCACAAATGGAATGATGCTGATGGTTTTAGGTAGCGTTGGCTCTTTATGCGCAAGCATTCAATGATGAAGAAGGTACCCATTATGAAAATGAGAATGACAATGGATTTATACAAGGATGCTGCTCTGTTTGGTTGGGGAGTCATTGTATTGGTTGGACGAGTTCAGGAGTGGAGCTGCATTGATGACGATGATGATGTGCACAGACATACATTCACGCCACCTCCGGCCACAGTAAACTCATGGATAGCTTCATTGCGAGGACTATGCTCAATTGAAAATGACTAGTGGTTATTCTTGTTGGCCCAAGTGTATAGGATGTTGTTGAGGTACATCTTCACAACAGTAACCATAGCAAGCGGGGTGGCGTGGAGTGCACAAATGGGGAAGTGGGAGGACGACAAGGAGTCCCTTCTTCTTCACTCCCTCTTCCCAAAGCAAGGTAAGAGTAACTCTATTGACAAGCTACAACGCATTAACAGCTGGCACTCCTTTCAATGTACAGCGTCAATTGGATGAACCGGTGGTCAATGGCGACACTTTCCAGTTGCAGACATTCAACAACAAGTACGCGTGCTATCTACCCATGACTCAAGCTTCCATTGCGATACCACAACATGTACGTTCAATCGCTGCATTACTTTATTATTCAAGTTGTTCGTTATTATACTAAAGCTGACGTGTAGTTTGCTGCTCTCTAATTTATACAAGGTCCAAGGGGGCCGTTGTGTGTATTGGTTCCATGGTTACCACACAAGGAAGATGCATTTACATTGCCACTCGTCTTTTGCGTATCTTGACACGAAAAGCGAATGAACTTCGTGGTATCTTACGTTGCATTTATTATGCCATAGCTTGAATATGTCGGATGATGGTACCTGTGGCAGCAACAAGACATTGACCTCAAAGCAAGAATGGAAGACACATGTTTTACTGGTATGCATGGTATTGGATTTACAAAGCAAGACCTGTTAAGTAACGAGCATTCATGAAACAGCAGCATCAGATTATGGAAGGGACGGAGATGCGGTTATTTGAAGCAAGAATGCTATTGAGAGATTCATTAAGGTAAAGGGTTCATTCTGGGATTTGTCGAGTCAAGTGAACTTACGAAAAGAAGAAGGTGGCAGGCTCTTTCTCGGCTATATCCTGTTATCAAGAAAGCATGTAAAGCATGTCGTTTTACTGTACTGGCGAAAAGAGACGACCATGTTTGTTAGCGGAACTTGGTGCGACTCATGGTGCTACTCCACTTTAATGCATCCACTGTTCGTACGACGGACTACCAGGTATAGCCTCCATCATTGCACGACTTTTGCTTTCCTCGACTTGGAGCAAAGATGGTATTGACAACATGCGGGATCCACGGCTCATAGTGGTGTCGAAGTTGGCTTGTGAATGCCTCATGGCAAAGGGTTACTGTTAAATCTGGAGTTTCGGATTTGGTTGGATATCTCAGCAGCAAGCAAGCAAATGATCATCATGTGGATGTGGTTGTCGATTATCGTTACGATGCTCTGGAAATCAGCTACATGCAGCTCGTCTCTGTTACTATTGGTGGATCGTCCCATCGCAATAAGCAGTTCGTTTCAAGACCCCACCTCATTACCATATGCGAATGCCATTAGTAGCACAATCATTGAATTACATAATAAAGTTTATTATTCGCTAAGCTATACCACGTAATTGTTTCCTTCCATTTCCTCTGCCACGATGCATTCCTCGTCCTCGTCCTCTTGCTCCCTCTCTGAAGGCTGATGGTTCACCAAAAGTTTCCATATTCAGCTGTTTCTCGTGCCAGGGTTTCTTACGATAACTAAAATAACAATAGCAGTCAATACCAAGCAATGACATATCACTAATAGAAGAATAAAAGACTTACTTGGCTCCCTTGTGATCTGCTTGCTCTTTTGCTTCACACGAAATGTCATCAAAGAAACTTTTGCTCTTATCATAAAACTGTGGCACGACTCTTTGAGTATCCTCTTCCTCCAAAAGATGGCGTAGCTCTTGCTTGTCAAATTTGGCATTGGATGACGCAAAATCGAAATCGTGGCAAGGCACTGGTATCTTTTTCTTTCGCTTTGTTCGGACACTGCTACTACGAGATGGTTGCTTTTCTGCTGTTTTATGAAATCATACGTTAAAAAGTCATTCAACATGCGATAAATTGAAAGCACTTGCCTTTGGATAATGATCGCCGCTGCTCTTTCCCAATGCCAAGTTCGCTCACACTCTTGGCGAGTTGTTCAATAGACGATGCCATTTCCTCACATGATTCCCTCCTGTTGTTGTACGCAGTCGTTGATGGTATTTCGCCATTCTCATCATCCTTGAGATCGGGTTTACGGACGGGTTTCATTGATATGGGCTCTTGTACATCCTATTCAAAAGACTCATCAATATAAGATCCCTCCCAGCACAAGATAGACATGTGACCTACCTCGGTATTAGCTGTATGCGGTACTTGAGTTGTTGGTGTTGGAGGCATTTCTGGTTTGTGTATCATAGGTATGGCAGGGATTGGCATCTGTGGACCATCGGTTATGAGGGGTTGATCATTATAGTAGCTTGGATAGTTGAATACTGTTGGAGTTATTGTTGTAGGACCTGGCGTTGGATAGGGTGGTTGCTGCGGATACTCAGTGTTGTGGAAATAGGGCGTTGCTGCTGGTGCTTGGATATGTGATGAAGAAGATGGCGGTGGTGGTGGAGGTGGGTAATAGTAGTAGCCATACTGTTCTGGTATCATCATCGGTTGTGGAGGAGGATGGTAGCTATTCTAATAGAAGCCTTATCAGCCAATGTTGGTTGCTTGTGATATAAAGAAAAGGACAATACCTTGGCATGTGATGGTGCTTCAAAGACTTGAAGATCCTTGATATCCGAACCACGAAAGACAATGAGACCGAATACAGCGTCTGAAGGAGGTACATGCATATCACCTCGTCTCCCCTCAGTACCATAGGATACCACTATGATTATGCAATACGTTGGCAACTGGAGAACCAAGTCCCACTGCAAAAAGCATACCTTGCTCCAAGGACAATGTGGCATTCGTTGGGTCAATGCTGTGTAGAATCCCCACGTAACGAATGTCGCTTTTGGACACGAGCTAAAGGACGACGAAAAAAGATAAGCTCATGGGCCGTGTACCTTTGAATGACGGGACTTACCGAGATCTTTGAACCAATGTAGCGCAATTCGCTCATGGCTTACTCGCGTCCGGGAGGTATAGTAGTAGAGTGAGGATAGTGGAGGAGAAAGAGGGGTGGGTGATAAATATGGGTAAAAGGGAAGGGAACAGAGATTGGAACAACCTAGGCCTAACAATTGGTCTGTGACACAAGGTACCTCTTTCTTTTTAAAAAGCACAGACCCCCACCTCCCTTTTATGCATTTGCTGTACTTGCCACTTCCTGATTTGTATTCTATCGTCCATTAAACAAGATTATAGTAGCCGTATTTTATGCATGATATGGTAACCATGAATCGGCATCAGCAGCAGCAGCATCAGCAGAAGCAGCAATGCGGAATGTGACACAAGCAAAGTTGGCTGTTGACTAACTAGGATAACAACAATGGTTCCTTTGTCAGTCAAAAAGGACATCATCACTCATCTTGGATATCACATGCGATATGAATACGTGGCATGTTTGATCAATGTAAACACAGCCGCAAGTTGCACATTTACGCTATGTATCAATCTTGTACAACAACTAGCTGCATAAAATCAGAGTCGCAGTTTATTCCACCACCACCACCACCACGCACTCCTTGGCCTTCTTGGCAGAAAGCTCCTCATGAGCCCATTGCACATTGCAGTGTACCTGACCCCATAGCTCACAGTCATAACATAACGTAAATGAAAGAATGAGGGATGCTGTATTGGGAAGGATGATTTTTTTGTCCCCTGCATGATGGTTATTAAGGCTTTGTTTCTTTTTTCATTTTGGCTTTTCCTTTTTCTTCCCTCTCTTTTTCACAAACGATCACAACCAACGCATCTGTCGATCCAAAACATAAAAGTATCATTCATTCGCCCCCCGTTTTCAGCTTCTCTTTTTCCTCTTTACATCTCATGGAGAAGCAACAACATCCACCAAGGGGCTCGCTTGTCGACATGAGCTATTCAGTTGGCATACATCCTCTTTATGATACATCATCATCTCCTTTATGTCGCCCACCACCATCCATTGATAATTGTACTACATCATCTTCATCAACGTCCCAATCACGACGCAATTCGAATGATAACTTTGAAGAATCTGGCTTGTGTTCAGTGTTTGACAAGTTAAAGGTGGAGGATCGCAGGTATAAATACAACTGCTGCTACTACCATTGATACCATCATAAGCAACGTCCATGCTCAATGTCGTCATTTATATGATAGGAATTCATGCCCACAGGATTCAATCAAGCAGGGTGGTAATGGTGGAGGTCATCGTTCTATGAGCGTAGATGTCGGATCAATGCAACACAACAAAATACCCACCAATAATAGGGCCATGTTGGATACTCCTACGCCTTCCAATCTCCTCTCTACTAGAAATCACCACCTCCTCTTTGACGCTGATCCACGCCAACTAGGTAACATTTATTCACACACACACACATACACACACGCCAACCGGATTGGGAATTGACTGTGCAAACCTTAATCTTACATCAATCATAGACATGCATCACCACCCTTTTACTCCTCCTGCTCCTCCACCACCTCCTCAAACTTTGCCACTCGTTGATCCATATCTTTCCTCACGCTATGCAGGATCCACTGACAAGTATCATTCTCATACGACAACTCCTACTGGATTGGTACGTATGATGCTTCTACTTGTCCATACAATGACTTGAATGAATGTGGCATTAATCATGGGGTATATAGTTTTCAACGTCACCTTGTCTTGATTTTACATCATCTCTTCGGCGTAATTCTTGTCGTCAAAATAGAAGTGTTGATTCTCTCAGAAGCAAGTCGTGGGCGCAATATTTGGAGAATGCATCTACATCATCATCATTCAGCCCATCATCCACAGAGGAGGATTCTTCTTATCTCCCTACAAATGCACGTGCTCAAGCTGCTTTTTATGGATCACCAAGACGCTTTTCGTACGGATGGCCAGAAGCGGGGAATGGCAAATACAACTGCTTACCGACAAATATGAAATCCAAAAACAGCAGCAGCAGGCTGGCTACCTCGCATTCTTATTCGGATCTTCATGGCACGGCTTTACGACCCTATCATGCCGATCATGATCTGACACTACTACCCTGTCCACAGTATCATCAATATGGCTTTTGCATGTTGCAAGAACGATGTCCATATACTCATCACCATCATGACACCACCACCACAACACCATCCTCCTTGGATACAGCTACTGATCATGTATCAAGCATGGAGCAACAACTCCCCTTTTATGCTTGTTATCCTCATTCCATGCTACAAGGCCTTGCCACCCATACAACAAGCACTACACCAAAACAACTCAACAACACGAGTAGTATGATGATGCGCCCACCACCACCACCAGCTGCTATGCTTGGTCGACGTACGAGTTGTAGCCCAATCACCTCTTTATCATCAACAACGGATGAATCAGCAGCAGCACGCTTTGCTGGTGCCACATTGGATGATTTTCGGGGTCAACTTTACGATTTATGCAAAGACCAAAATGGATGTCGCTTTTTACAAAAGAAATTGGAGGAACCAGATGATCAACAACATTTGCAAATGATCCTTGGTGAAGTCCAGCCTTACTTTGTGGAGCTGATGACCGAACCTTTTGGCAATTACCTTTGTCAAAAGTTGATTGAGCATTGTGATGATAATCAACGTAATGTCTTGGTGGATACGGTGGCACCGGATATTCTCAGGATTTCACTCAACATGCATGGCACACGCGCTGTACAACGCTTGATTGAATTTATATCAACACCCCATCAAATCTATACGATCATTGCAGCACTCGATCCCAACGTGGTCACCTTGATCAAGGATTTGAATGGCAACCACGTGATTCAAAAATGCCTTCATCGTTTGTCTGTGGAGCACAAGCAATTCGTATACGACGCTGTGAGTGAACATTGTATCCAAGTGGGAACCCATCGTCATGGTTGTTGCGTATTGCAACGTTGCATTGATTATGCATCCGAGGCACAAAAGGTACGTATATCATATCGTAACGAGGATGATGAGTCCGTTCACTGACATGGATCACAACAACGTGTAGGATCAACTTGTCAAGGTCATTACATGGCATGCTTTACCTCTTGTTCAAGATCCATTTGGGAATTACGTTGTTCAATACGTCCTGGATCTAGGTGATATTACCTACACCGATACCCTTGTGCGATGCTTCCTCGAACATGTGTGTGATTTGAGTGTCCAGAAATTCAGCTCCAATGTCATTGAAAAATGTATTCGTGTGGCCGAACCTGAGACACGTCGGCTATTGGTAGCCGAGCTGATGAACGAATCCAGCATTGAAAAACTACTTCGAGATTCGTTTGCCAATTACGTTGTACAAACATGTCTTGAGTATGCCGACGAGGATCAACGTTTGCATGTAAGTTAAAAGTGGGATAACCCTTTTATATACAAAGCATCACTAATTTAAAGGATGTCATATACATAATAGCTCATTGAACTCATTCGTCCACTCCTCCCATCCATTCGAAGCACTCCTTACGGTAAACGTATTAGTAGCAAGATCCAACGTGAACAAGCAGCAGGACGACATCATCATCATCATGGTACTACTAGTATGCGTCAACATCAGAGCCTTGGATCGCTTCGTTATAAAACTAGTACTACCAACAACAGCAACAACCATCCTGGGGCATTTGCAGCAGGCGGCAGCTCCTCCTCCTCCATGTACAATCATCAAAGTAATGGCTATGGCAATTCGCTGGTTTTCGGGTTGCCACTGCTAGGCAATAACGCTTCTCGTTATCCATACCACCACCACCACCACCACCACCACTGATTTGTATTTCTTTCCATGTTGTAATTCCTTCTTACTGTATGTTTTATTTCAAGCGTACAGGTTTATTAATGTTTCTTTCTACTTGTTGTTGTCATTCTCTCCCGAAATTTGATGTAGCTCTATTAAAAAAGATGTTCTATTATAATATCTCAAATGAAGACGTATAGCTTTGTGCAAAGGAAGCATGATCGGGGTTCAAGTCCAATTTCCTGGATGTGGTAGCCTGGCAACGGCGACTGTGGTTGACAGCAGGAACGTTATTAATATGGAAGGGCAACGTGTCCTCAAGACGACGGCCAATGGGTGTTGCATCGTTCTCGCATTTCTCTATGTCGTTGGGTTCTATCTATTTCGACAAAGCCAAGACAAGAAACTCACACGTGATCACCCTATTGTCATTCGCAAGAGGATCCAATCGGTCATTGTAGCGAGTTTGGCTTCATTGGTTGTCGTTTGGGCTGTTGTCCCATCACAGGTACGATGATAAAAGAGCTATGCAGAACACGGGTACGACTAATACGATAGTATCATTTGATCCAACTACTAGGAATAGCATTGCCTCGTGGGTCCGTGCTTGAGATGATTGGACTTTTTGGACCTGTTGCCCTTACAGCAGTGCTCTTTCTTGGGCCATTGACACAGCTTTACTATGAGCAGCAGTTACCATTCCAGAGCAACTTTAGTTTTCAATATGATGTCAAGGATGTGGTCTGTTCCTGGGTTGGACAACGTAATTACATCGTGGTGAGTTACTTTTGCTATCGCCATCAATGCATATGAATTGACGATGGATGTCCCAGGCGCCAGCTACTGAAGAATGGGTCTTTCGAGCATGTATGATTGCACTTCTTTATGAAGCTGGCCATTCTATCTCATACCTTATCTTTGTATCTCCCATGTATTTTGGTCTTGGTAAGTGGGCAGTAAATAAGGGATCATCCCCTCGTTCGTTTGTTTCTCATCCCCCCATCACTATGCCATAGCTCATCTCCATCACGCTTACGAAAATTATCATCGATTGGGAGCTACAAGTGAAGCATTGAAGATTGCTATTTTTTCTTCGACCTTTCAATTTTGCTACACGACGATCTTCGGATGGTACGCTAGCTTTGTATTCCTGCGAATGGCAAGTATATGGCCACCCATTCTATGTCACTCGTTTTGCAACGTGATGGGATTCCCGGATGTGAGCGAAATCAGTGAAAAGAGGCCATTGGAACGTAAAGGCAAGTATCCACCCCCCACTCCCCCATTTGATTCAATCCAACACCATCACTCTAAACCTTATCCCAATCCCACTAGTCATCTGGTGCTGTTACGTTGCCGGCATCATTCTCTTTATTGGGTTATTATATCCTTTGACAGAACCTTCCCATGTTGGTGGATCGTTTTACTGGAAATAAAAATGGATGTTTTATTGATGTTGTTTTCTACCAAAGTTCTCGTCTTCTCTCTCTGTTCTTCTTGATCAATTGACGTCGATAACCTTCCTCGGTTGCTGCTGCTGCTGCTGCTTCTGGTTGTTGTTGAGCGGCACGTTTTGCTGTGGGAGCTGCTATGCTGACAAAGAGTTCGGAGCAACCAAACTTATCAGCCAACTTTTTCCGTGTCCAGGTGCTGGGATCTTGTTGCCGTAACTGACGCATTTCAGCAATTTGAGCATCGGAGAGATTGTACTTTTTCTCATAAGGTTGACGAAGAGGAGGAGCTGTTGCTTGCACTTTGGGGGTCACTGGTGATTCGCGTACAACGAAAATGCTGCCGTCGTCCAGGGTCATTTCTTTGACGGGTACACGAGCCTTTGTGTTGACATTGCTGACCTTGGGCTTTGGCGTCTTGGTCTTTGAAGCATAGGTGCGTCGAGCAATGGCGACCGAAGCACGGCGAATGGCTGGTAATCGAAGCATCGAGTGTTGTGTGTGTATGTGTATGAAGTGTGTAGAGAAAGTTGACAACCAAGCTGGGTTTTACCAACCACCCCCTTCCCTTCTTTCCCCTTTCCTCCAATCCAAAGCCACACACACGCACACAGAGACAAACCTGTCAAAATTCGGGGATCTCCCACACATATATACATAGAGCCACATGAAATGAATGCTTTTTTATTGTACAATTGCTATGCTATGCTATATATATATATAAAGATAAATCTACTCTTGGGCATGAAGGGTATCACCTGATGAGGATGGAAATGAAACACTACTAGGAGCAGTGGATAAGGGTCGATGTTGAGGTCCTAATTCCTGTACTACTCGCTCAAGACCTTGCCAAATAGTAGCACATCGTACAAGGAAGCCATAATACGATAACAATTTGAGTCCATCCACTGAGTGGGAGCTTTTGCTCATTTCAATGGTTTGTAAAAGTTCTCTTTGGATTTGGATAGTGCCATTCTCGACTCGACACTGGATCATGGACCACTCGGATTCTTCGCTCAGCTTGCGTCGAGTATCTTTGAGCATCTCACCAAGTCGTCGCATCACCCATAAGCTATCCTCAAAGTTTTGTAATGTTGCTTTTGTAGGCACCATACGATCGTGTACAGCTTGATTGTTATCGAGTTTCAAGAGTGGCAATAGCAACCTGAAGGATACCAAAGACCACACAATACGTTTCATGGCATCAATGGATTCACTGTATTGCTTTGTACGTCTCAACACACGACGACATCGTTCTCGTCCTCGTCCACATAGCAAGTGGAAAGGCACTTGGAGATAGTATTCTTTGGATACACTGCGTAAACGAGTGGCTTCCGTTTGCAAGCGAGTGAGCACCTTGAATGCCTTGTCGCATAAATCATTGAAAAGTTCATGATTCCAGATTTCCATATCATGGTTGATTTGTTGTGATGGGAGTGGTAGTGGTTGTGGTGGAAATGGCATGTCGATTGAAATGGTGGTATCCTTTTTCGCAAGGGGTGGTGGTGGTTTGAGCGTTTCCGTCAGATGATGGTTGTCGTTCTTTGTTAAATCCAAGCAATACACAGTGACCCTTTCAAACAAATCAGCTGCTTCCTCAAGCGATTCACCCAGATTTTTCCTCATGGTGTATCGTGCTTTAAGTGGAAAGATGCATAATGACGCCAACCTATGTACAAGCATTCAACCATTGTCAGATCATACGTATATCAACCATCATCATTGTATCAGCATGTATACTAACATGGCAATGACAATACCGATCACCAGGTCAAGTCCTCTCCAAAATGCCAGCTCTGCACTTGCAGAAAGTTTATCATGGGTGAGATCCTGGTATCCTGAAAGAAGAATGACAACGGTCGTCAATAATCCCTACAACAACCCTATTATCAGTTGCCTGCTCTCCATCATTTGGATGCACTTTCACTCCTTACAATGCCACCAGCATAATTCATGTTGGGTCTTAATTTGATCCTTGCAATGATAAACACTTGACAAAACATCAATGCACACAAGAGCACAGTGGCACTGATTTCCCATTCTGGATAAATCGCCCGGGAGATCGTCATCACAATGATGGATAATCCCCCGCCAATCACGGTGCCGATCATGCGTTGGATGCTTAGACTAAGGAATCCTCCCACTGTATTATCCAAAACGGTGACAACCGAGACGCCTATGTGTTATCATGGGGCGGGATTATCCACCACATCACATGAGTCAAATGTGGTCATCATGTTATGACTTACGGTCCTCCACCTTCTTCTTACCTATCCAAAAGGAATTGGGCGCCACTTGAGAGATGGCAGGAACAACCACAAAAAGAGTGGCAACGATGTAGGCCACTCCCATTTGAAACGCGTATCGGTTGTCGTTGCATGCTAGTTGGTGCTGTATCCAGTTGCATAATGAATGCATCTTTTGCTTTATCAATGCTGCTGCTGTCGCTAAGAAGGTTGCACAAGTATCAGTGATCTGCAATGCATCATACAAACAACATCATGTTGGGGGCATGTACCTTTGTTGTTAGGGTCAGCGTTTTCTTTTTCGGCTTGTTGTTGCTGGTCTTCATGATGATAATATCGATCGTGAGGAGGAGGAGGAGGAGGAGGAGGAGGGATGTTGTTGTTGGGCGGTGATGATGATAACCGTACCCCTGTAGATCCATGGGGATAATGGTTTGTTGTTGCCATTGGAAGAATATAGAAAAAAAAGGGATCTGCAATTGTCTTTGTTATCTCGAATGACGATTACTCTTTATATAAGTAAGGAGAATTTCCTTTGTGGACCCAAAACGCAGTATGAAAAACAATGACTTGCATTAGAGCCATATCCCTTTCCAAACTTTATCATTTTTTAAACATGATCTACACTAAACACAAGGTCTATTAAACCTAAATGATGCACGACATCACTTCCTGTCAATCTAGTGTAGGGAGCATCATGAGACCTATAAAGGGAAACATCCACGTTGCACCCACACCAGCGGATCTGCAATGCCGATGTCGTTGGTGATCCGAATTTATAGATCTCTCGGAGAAACTTTAGGTTCGATCACAATTTCATATCTATGATGGGTTGCTTTTACAACCGATGCATGGTATTACTGCAGCAGCAGCAGCCAACTCGATCACTTTTGTTTGGGTACATCCCTTGATAACTCAAAAAGTAGAATTTTTAGTGAGATAGATCTGTGACAATGATGGGGTTTAGACGATGGAGCGATAGTGCTATTGCTACATGTGAATGAGCGGAGGACGAGGTGGAGTTTGTTGAAAGGGGGTGGAATGATGCATGAATGTGATCTATTTAAAGCGAATGGGGACCCACTAATTATTATGCAAGTACTTCACTATCACTTGTTGGTTGCTGTAGAATGATGTCGAGGATGATGATAAATGTGATATCAGTTGAATAATCGATTATGCATCGAGCAGGTCCTGCTGCTGGGTCTCCATGGTTTCATCGAAAAGCACATGTTTGAAGACGCGATAATGATGGTTGAGACTTGGGTAACAGTGAATTTTGTATAGAGTACCAAGGCACCCGGTCTTTGTGGGACGACAATAAAAGACACGACCGATTCGTGAATGTACTAAAACCATAGCACACCTAAGAAGGAAAGGGGAAATATGAATAAGAAAGAGAGAGATAAGAACATGACTGCTGCTCGATATCATCCTACTTACATGGCACAGGGTTCATGAGTAAGGTATATATCGTATCCAGTACAAAGGTAAACCGAGTTGGATTCCTCCTCGGCAACTTGGGATGCTTTTCGCTTTGGTCGACCCATGGATGATGAAGAATCCGTTGCAGCTATTTTCTCGGCATCCGCCACAGCACCCACACAATTCATGACCGCATGATGCAAAGGATGAGAGGATGCTTGTCGGGTATCCTGTGCCTCTGCAATGATCCGCTTCTTTACAGGGTCCACAATCCGTGCTCTCATCACGTCGTCAGACTGCAGGATCTCTCTCATGTGTTGTTGTATAACCTTAATGTCATCGGATGTGAACTTTGGATCTTGACGTGTGTCTTCTCGGTAAGTAAGCGGCCACACTTGCTTCCACGCTTCAAATTGGGTTCGATTAAGAGGTGCATGCTTGGGTACTGGAACCACTTTGGGATGAATCACATTGCTGAATCCATGCTCATCAAGACGCTTCTCAAGATCCTCCATCGTCAAGGCTTGTTCCTCGCATAACAACAGCGTCAACTCGATTTCTAGATATCATCAACCTACTATTAGCCAATGTGCATGTGACACAAAGAGAGAAAGAAAAAGAAAAGGAAACGGGCTACTTGCTTGAATCAGCCAATGTTGTTCGACGCACTCGTTTACAGTGTTCAAGCTTTTGTAAAGCGGGTAGCTGCTTGTTCACAAAGCTAAAATGAAAGGTGTCAATGGACAATGGTCCCCAATGAAAAAGTGCATAAACGTACCCGAGAACCGTTTTCGTTTGTTGGGGCTCGACGACAGTAGCGTATACGTTGATCGTTTCTAGATCGCGTGTCTGATCGTCTGAAAGAACTTCAATGAAGGGCCATTCTGCTCGTGGAACACTTGAGTTCGCCATGATTAGGCATAGGCGTTGTAAACGTGCTGGTTGTGGAAAGGAGACAGGGTCGTGGCTTTGGCTGACATTTGGTGACAGTAAATCTAAAAGATGAGACACATACACTCACAAGGTCGTTGCTCGTTGAACCCCTCATGAATCCACGTGATCCCTCTACAAGTGTTGCCATGGCATCTATCATCCGTCGATAAGCAACCATGTGTTGTCGTCGCTCATAATGCCGATCGTCATGTGTACAACCCCCGTAGCAACTTGTATCATGGCAACCATTCCAGCACTGTATACCTCATATGATACCATATCGATAGAGCATTGTACAGAGTTATTTATTGTATATAAAGGAATGACCATATTCGCTGAAGAACAATGGCATGTTTTTAAGATGAAGAAATAAGATGATTGTAATAATGCAAAGTTACACCCAAGAATTGCATAGAATACCAGTGAAAGAGATCCACAAGATTTACAAGCTATCCCATCATAACTTTATAGGACGAATCATCTAGTAGAGTGATTTCATATGGCTTACTACAACAGCTAATGGCATCACCAGGGCCAACATGAATCAGGCACATCTGAACAAAGATAGCCCATTGAGACCCCGATTAAACAAAGAGGGTAGATTTGGTGGTGGTGGTAGTGGATGTTGATGGCAGGTTGCTATTCTCTTCTTGTCTTTACCAAATCCAATGTTTACGAGACGCTCGCACGTGCTACTCGGTAGTGCTACACACTTTATGCGTCGCCAATGGTCAATGCCACCCATGTCGAGGTCCATGAGCACAGCAAGCAACAAGGTCGAGTGCTACATTTCAAAGATCAACGATCCCTATATCAATCTCAGCATTGAAGAATGGCTTCTACGCGATACCGATCCCGAGAAGTACATACTTTATTTATGGCGTAACCGGCCTTGTGTGGTTATTGGAAGGAATCAGAATCCGTTCCTGGAGTGTAACCTGGGCTTTATGCAAGAGCACAATATTCCTTTAGTGCGAAGGCGTTCAGGTGGCGGTGCTGTTTATCATGTGAGTCATGGCTTCATTGTGTCTATCACCAAAAGGGGAGGGGGAGAGACTTATGATACAATGCTATAGGATATGGGCAATTCGATCTATACCATCTTTATGCCGAGGGAAGCATTTTCTCGTAGAGTGAATGCTGAGCTGGTCTCGAGAGCACTTCAGGAGTTGGATATCCCCGCATATGTCAATGATCGCCACGATATCGCCGTCGATGGATTCAAAGTCTCAGGCAGCGCCTACAAAATCATCAACAAGCGAGCCTATCACCATGGCACCATGCTCATCGATGCTGATACCGCCACGCTCAAAGGTTGTCTTTCAAAAAAGGGGAAAACGGGCATTGTCTCCAAAGGTGTTGAATCCGTTCCATCACCCGTCACCAATCTTCGAGAGTACTCATACACCATCGATCATCAACAATTCTGTGAATCCGTATTGAACGAGTTTACTTATGATTACAATGGTGGTTTGGATGTTGAGGTAAATGATTACCCCCATGGTATCCAATTCCCTCTATTCACACACAATGACCACTTGTAGCCCATTGTTTTCGATGAATCTCACGTGGATAGCCTACCTCAACGGGTGCATGATATGCGAAAGGAATTGCAAACATGGGACTGGATATATGGTCAGACACCAGAGTTTACCAATGAAATGAAAACCGACTTTGATTGGGGACATGTGGTAAGTCTAGATTGTGTATGTGTATTCTTGTCCCCTTTTTTTGACATCACCACCATATAGGATGGCTTGATTCGATGTCGCCATGGGATCATCACGGAAGCTGAATTGACAAGCGATGCTACTGGTGCACATCCAGTGACTGTATTGGCTGCATTATCCAATGCTTTAATAGGTAAATATCCCTGGACCACGCGCGGCATGGTGCACATTGATTGGGGGGACATTGTTCTAATGATATCTCTTTTCTTGCGTAGGGTGCCGCTATTCTGAGCAACCCGTCAACGCCGCAATAGCGAAAATCCAAAATAACGTACCCGGGTTAATGAATCCTGAGAATCAGTCGATGGTGCACCAACTTGTTGAATGGCTCAGTAATAGACTAAAGTAGCCCGCCCATTCTTATCTCCATGTGGTACAGCCATTGCCATGTGACGTATTATCCTATTAGACTTTGATCCTTTCACGCCATCATTGTGGGCACCACTACCACCACCACCACCCATTCCTCCTTTTATGACATTTTGTATAAATTGACTCCTCCAACGTCGTTGTATTTCTTTTTCTTTTCATCATCAAAACTAAACTTTTATATCATGGGCAATCAACCAAGTCATTTTGATTATTCTCCTCCTACTACAACCTTTGCTTCTACCAGTTACAATCATCCTGCTACTACTGCTGGTGGTGGTGCTGGTATGTCACCTTATTCTCGCCATGGCCATTGGATACCGCCACCATCACATCCCAATGGCATGTCTCGACAACATCATGGATGGTATCAATCGTCCTCTTATTACTCTCCAGCAGCAGCTTCCTATTCCAATGCAGCAGCTGCTCCTCCACATGCCATGATGGCAAGTAATCCTGTTGGTGGTGCCGCCGCGGCGAATGGATATCCCTACTATAGCAATCAATACATGGCACACGGTTACCATCATCATCCTCCTCATCATCCGGTTAGGTATGTGTATATGGCTGAAATTTGCTTTGCGTCACATCTAACAAATGTCATTAATGCACTCTTGTCGTGTGTAGATATTACAATGCAGGGCCTCTCCAGCCATTGTATCACGGCTTTCGATAGAATTAGAACATGATGGATCCTTTTTTGCTTTCTTTCCTCCCATTCCCCACACTATGCTATGCTGTTTATACCCCATTCTGCATCATCATTTTTATGTACAAATGTAAAGTCACCACCACTCCTTGTCCATATCTATATATAAACGTGTGTATAGTTCATTAAACATTTTCTGTTCCATGTTGTACTTCCGAGTGGGGGTCAATGTGCATGGTTACACGGACATGACATGCCCCAGGCACCCGCATCGAATTTGAAAGGCTATGTGTAGGTGTATGTGTGTGCCATGGAGTCAGTTGATGTAAAAGTGCAACATTAACACGAAATGTTCCCAACAGCCCAATTTCGAGTTCTGTGTGTGTGTGTGTGCTTCAATCAACTAAGAAAGGATAAATGTGTGTGTACATGCTTGTACTCTCAGAAGCAGTAATGCCAAGAGGAAAAGGGACAAAAGGATGTACGCACCAATGATGTTGATGCAGGGTCTTATGATCTCTCATTCTCTTTCTCTCTCCCCACACTTTTGGGAGCAAAGCTTTCTTGTGATAAAACATCCATTTTGATTGGTAGAAAAATGGCAGCGTCACAACCAGCAGCAGCGGGGCTCTGAAACGAAAAACTTTTTAGGGCGTGCAGTGACCTGAAATTGTCAATGTCGTGTTTCTCTCTTTCATACGTTTATTCATGGTAAGTGAAGGTCCCGACTCATATGAGAGTCGATGACGAGGTCGTCGTGTGTTATGACAAGATCATGATGAGGGTTAAGGACTACGAGAAATGTCAATTTCGATGATCGTTTTTGTTTTTTCTGATTTGCTTCCTGATATCTTGTCAAAGACTACCGAGTCATCGACTTGCGTGCATTCTTTTGATTGTTGACTAATGAATGATTCATTATTAGGAACGCAATTGTTTTATTCTATTCCAAATAAAAAGATGATTTTCACAACTATTCCTTTTTCGCGTCTCTGTGTATTGTATTGTCATGTCTCATTCAATCTTCAGCCCAATGTATATATATGTGTGTGTGTGCTCAAATGGTGTACTCTTTTGATGTATTAGATTAAAATGCGAAAAAGAAGGGTGTTTGTGTGTTGGGGGATATGATAAAGAGAGATGGCAAGAGGGGAGGGAGGAAAGGTGAAGAGAAGATGTTTCATACACGTCCTTTACTTCTATACATGGCCAAAGGAATGTCATCGTCGCGCTCCTTTCGGGCACCTTGGGTATGATTGATAAGTGCAGGGCCCTTGATATTAGGTCTTGTTGATGATTTCTTTGCTGCTGGTGTCATGGTATGTGCTTTTTTGGTGGTTTCCTCATCCGAACTACTGTCGCTGCTACTGCTATCATCATCGTCATCGTCCTCATCCGAATCACTTAGACTTGGCTTTCGATGTTTAGGTCCACCACCACCAGCACCTCCTCCTCCTCCTTTGGGTCTGAGATAGTTCTCTGGTATCACAAAACCAGTGGATGCATTGTTACCCATGTATTGATGCAATGTCGTATTTTGTTGTTGTTGTTGCTGTTGCTGTTGTTGTTGTTGTTGGGAAGGTCGTTGATTGTTGGATGACTTGTTGGCAGGTCGTTGTTGCTGTTGTTGTTGGGGTTGACGTTTTCCTTTCTTTCCAGCACTCACAAACTTTCGACCGGCTTCGACGGATCCATTGGGTTGCGTCGAGCTGACAACCGACAAATACCAGAACATGAGATTGGAAATCAAGACCTGTTCATGCAAAGGGCGTCGTGGATTGGCTAACTTGGTATGCGATAATCGATAAATGGCTCGTTCAATGTGAATGGGTAATCGATTTTGGTTGATACGATTGAGCTGAAAGTCCTTTGGCACTGCTGTACCATTAGCACCCGCTGCATTGGTAGGAGCCATGGATACATTCGCTGGTTGTACTTTGCTGGAGGAGCCTTTACGTGAAAATAAAGACGAGAGACCAAACTTTTTGCTGGATGAGCTGGAAGTAGTAGAATCAGTCGATACCGAAGGACGTGGTTCGGGTGCTGCTGTTGGCGGTGATGGTGATGGTGATGATGCTGTAATAGTGGGTTCTTGCTTGAGTTGATCGGATTTATTCTTTCTAAAGCCCCAAGACCATGACGACTTTTTCTCTCCTCGATCAATAGCATGTGAAGGTGGAGGTGGCGGTGGTGGCGGTGGCGATGGAGAAGGTGATGGTGATATTGTTGATGATGGCTCATGTTGCTCCTGCTGCTGCTGTTGTTGTTGACGTTGAAATGTAGGTTCACTAATGGATGATGAAGGAGTAATAGGAGGTGTAGATGAAGGTCTTGTTGGAACATTATCACCCACAGCAAGTGATCGAATATGTTCATCATCCTTTTCGGTGTCAGGCCTGCTGATGAGATGTTGTTGCTGTTGTTGTTGGTGATGGTCTTCTTGGAGAGGTTTGTCGGATAATGTGATGCCTTCGAATGATTGGATATCACGGTTAAAAGGCACTGGTGGCATTGACTCTGCTTGGCGATGACGATCCACAGGACGACGAGGTGCTGATGGCGTAAAGGATGAGTTACGTTGAAACCTAGTACGTGCACCTCTACGTAATAAAGATGATCGATCTGCTCGAGGAACCAAGACACGTGATTGATCTTCTGTTGACGAGTTGCGGTCGAATACCAGGAAATCAGGTAATCGCATTTGACTCTCTACATAAAACGAGACATTAGTAAACCCTCTTTTTTGAATACGTTTTGATTCCTTACCGGCAGCTGAGATTGTACCCAAGCTAATGCTTCTTCGTAACCGGGTTTTGCGTTGAGATTCATTTTCATTCAACCCCTGATGGTGTTGTTGCTCCCCTAATGTGTCACTGCTGTTGTTTGATGGCTGCTGCTGCTGCTGTAAATGATCCCTTGTCACTCCTTCTTCTTGTTCTTGTTCAGCATCACTCGCCGTAAAAGAGACCGATAAGATTGAACTACGCCTTCTCAAACTCGCTCGTTCACGTTTGGCCATTGCATTGATTTGTAGGAATTTCTCAAACTCGGCAGGGGCAATTTCTGGATGCTGTGTGGCAGGGACCCTATAAACCATGCATTACATTACATTCCCTATCCATCCATAGACCACTACCATCACCATTGACTTACCAAAACAAATGAGATGGATCTGGTGTTGATATACTAATCACTTGTCGTTGGCCACCATTCTCACCCATGCCACTTCCACTACCACCACTAGGCTTTTCAACTTCATCTCGACTCAAGGAAGAAAATGATAACGGACGATTGCGACGAGTCATTGCCAGGTCAGGATCCTCATCTTGATTCGAGCCACGTGCTGTTGTTGTTGTTGCTGCTAGGTGCTCTGTACTCGTCGTTGCAATATCGACCGACTGCTGCTGGTTGTGGTGGTTGTGGTGTTGTTGTTGTTCCAGGTATCTGTTGTCGACGTCATGTTGAGGAATGCGATTAGAGGAGACATGAAAGTCAAAGTTGTTGTTATCGTTATCGTTGAATGAAGGTGGTGTTGGTGGTGGTGGTGGCGGATGGCATGAAGAAGACTGGACAACATTGGACGGTGGGAGTGGGTACTTGACGTCCGACATGTTTAAAGACGAAAGAGAAGAAGAAGAAACAGTGGTTTGTTTGCTTCGCTCCCAATACGCTTTTTCTTTTTGCTTGGGTAAAGGGCAGGATAAGAAAGGTTCTAGACAATAAGTGTAGTAGGATACGACTACCACCAACCAACCTCCTCTCAGGGGATGAGACTCACCCGTGAGCCAAAAGGCCTATTGCATTCGGTTAGGCTTCCGCTACATTATACGCCACGATAATGATTACTATTGCATCTATGTACCAAACACACACACCTACACATATCAACTCTATCACTCATCCTTGTACACCGCCACCATCCATCCACCTTAATCCCCCTCTCTCTCTCTCTTCCCTCTTCCTCCTTCAATATGAAACCATTAGCATAAAGTTCTCATTTTGCCCTCATCGCCTAATATTAGAACGTCGTAATTAAAGTTTTGGGATATTTTTATGATCGTTTATATTATCAGTTGCAATCTCTCTCTCTCCTAGTTGTATTCTTTTAATTTCATTCACGTATACTATCGTGATCATGATATTCTACCTGCACATGACATGCATGATGACATGGACGCTTGGCAGAAAAGGTGCATGAACATGCGAGAGATCGTTTCACTGGTGCAACGTCAAAACAATGAAAAGCATCTTTTTAACAGTGCAGGTTGATTGATTAACACTCGTCACATACTGCATAAGGCTTTCATACGCATGCAACCTTCCTCATTGATACAACGGTGCACACACACACACACTCAAACCATGAAATGATTGATTGATTAACGTACTTTTTATCCCTCTGTTTTCTTTGTGTATAATTACAAAATGCATATGTAAATGATGTTGTTGATGATGAACGACGGGGTTGCATGTGGGGGTGGGTGGGTGGGTTGGTAACGAATTTGCTGCTGATTAAATCTCATGCTCAGCCAAAAGCATATTGGGAATGCCATCTTTGATCTTGTATTCATGGTTGCAGTTGGGACAAATCATCTTGCCTTGTTGCACGTGAGTCTAATTGTCAAAGGTTCAGCATAAAGAATATAGGCCACATCCTTTTCCTTTCTTACCTCCAGGATCACACCATGAAGGGCTTTCAAAAATTCCTCATTATCAGCAGCATTCTCTGGAAGTTGTGCAGGGAGACTGGAGATACCAAGCTAATAGAATGATATACATGTAAGGCGATAGTTTAGAAAGGGAGTCAAGCCAACTACTTACTTGAAGAGCAGTGTTGACAAGAGCCTCCCACTCGATCTTGGGCAACATGTTGACAAGAAACTCTGGGTTGTAATCGGCTTCAATCAGATCGAGTTGCACGTCTTCGAATCGCAAGGGGAAGTTGTTGGTGTTGCAGTTTTTGACGTGGCATTGGAGCATGTTATGGGTGATGAGTCTCATTTTGGCTAAAGAACAAACAAGCTTGTCGTTCCCTTTCCTCTCAAGTCAGCCACAAAATGCCTCTCCCCTTCCCCCCGCATTCCGCTTGTTGCCATTGGCGGATATAAACCACACCATCGTACATTCCCCCATCATCTTATAGAACAAAAAAATGTATATTACAAATAAACATATGTACACTGCACAACTATGATATCTAACGTCTTGGTTTGCGGAAGAGCCATACAAAGAAAGTGAATGCAAAGACTATAACAATGATATCATGAATAAGCATACCCTCAATCACATCATGTAAAGAGACTTACTGTTGAAGATCCAAAAGGCTAGCAAGATACCCCAATCACGGTATCGATTATCAAATGACCATCCCAATGCCTTAAAGAAATCATCACCATAGTTGTAAGGGCAATATTCACATAGATCTGTGCTGTTCAATGAGCTCTCCCGAATATAGCCAGGGCCACCCTCTTGGAAGAATGCTTCAGTGTATTGAGCACATGTTTGGCCTGGTGGGGGATGGAATGGCAATATGTCTTGGTCCACACAATTGACCTTGAAATCATGCAACTCGTTGACGATGAATCCTTCAATCAAGTAGTGATATGGATCAAGCCAATACATCCAAGCATTCCAGAAGTGTGGCATCTTTTCAGGTGGTTGCATGATGCCAGCAAACAAAATAAGGATGGAAGAGAAGAATGGATTGATGACAGCTGCCATCGTTGGCGTGGTTGAAAATGCAGCAATGAGTTCACCGAATGAAATGGAGAAACCAAGAAAAGTGCCAAACAAAAGATAAAAGTAGCCAACGCGATCCGATACATTCTCAAGGCCAGCCGTCCAGTAAAAGCAAAACATGAACAAGGCATCGAATATCTAATAGAGACATGTCATGAGTATATACATCATCCTATATGCTGGTATATACATAGCATGAACTTACCCAAATATAAGGCATTTCAACAAGAATACAAGATAAGGCAAATGGTGCCCATCCATAATACTTGGATGCATGTTCACGGCGGAACCATTGGCGTTCTTCCATATAACGTGGTTGCACCAAGACAATAAGCGAGTTGGCCATGATAAGAGTACAAAAGATACAGAACAATCTACGTACATGGGATTGATGAGTAAAAACCATAAAGAGATAGCAGTAATAGGTTACCTATTCTCGAGATCGAAAGCAGCATCAGACATTTTCCAAAAAGAAAAACCTGATAAGAGGGCGACAAAGCACACCTTCACAAGACGACCCACATTGTAGGATGGTGAACGCCACCATGACACATTCATGCGCTTGTAGACCAACCAGAATTGCTTGAAAAAGTCGAGGGAGTAAGTTCTTGGATGCTTAACTTGCTGTTGATCAACCTCATTATGGATGGCTTCAAGTTCAGCTTCAAGGTCTTTTGCTTGTTTGGAACCTTCCCAAATCTCTGCCCAGTCGGCTTGCGCTACACCAGCTGTACCAGCACCCACCACTTCAAGAATGTATTCAGCAGGATTGGCACTAGGCGAGCATTTGGATGCACCATTGCTTTCAAAGTAATCAATCATGACCTTGCTATCTTCGCCAATAGGACCATGATAGGCAGTTCGGCCACCACGTACAAGCAGCAAAATGTGGTCAAAGTAGCTAAAGAGCGTAGCTGAAGGCTGATGGATCGTACACAACACCGGCCAACCTGCATCAGCAAGCCTTCGAATAAATCGAATGATGTTGAAAGATGATTGAGCATCCAAGCCTGAAGTAGGTTCATCCAAGAAAAGAAGTTTGGGCTTGGCAACCAATTCGACACCAATGGTAAGACGTTTTCGTTCTTCAACAGAGATACCCTTGTTGCCAGTAGCATTACCAATCAAGGCATCCGCTATCATTTCCATTTCCAAAAGTTCAATGATTTGCTCCACATAGGCATCCTTTTCAGCCTTGGGGACTTCAGCAGGTTGACGCAAGTAAGCCGAAAACTTGAGTGCCTCACGTACAGTGGCATTGGGATTGTGGATATCCATTTGCTCACAATAGCCGGTGATGCGTTCGAAATCCGAAAAGAGCTTTTCATTGTTCATGTACATGCGCCCTTCGATTTTTCCAATGGTCTTGCGTTGAGAAAGCACATCCAATAGTGTCGTTTTGCCAGCACCCGATGAACCCATCAATGCTGTCAAATGACCTGGTTTGACAATGCCACCAACGTCACACAAGAGTTGCCTCGTGCCACCTTTGACAGGTACAGTGTAATCGATATGCTGCCAGGAAAAGGTGGTACCTTCGGTTACAGCTTCAAAGTTGTCGTTCTTTCGAGCCATGCGTTTCTTTGCCAAAGACTCAGCATCTTCAGTTGGGGCACGATTTCGCTTATACACCTTGACTTGTGAGCTACCCCCCACACCAATACTGAGATACTCCATGGAAAGGGCAGTGACCACGGTGAATAGCAAAAAGAAAAGAACCACCGCAACAAAGTCGATCCATCGCTCCCACGTATTGTAGCCATACTTTAGGCTCAAATACGTGTCACCCAAAACATAGTAGCTGCCAGGTTGACCACCAGGAATGGAGCATGCTTTGTATGCTTGATCCACGTTCGTATAAGCTGGTCCAGAAGGGATAGAATTGCCAGGTCCAACACAGCTAAAATAGTTGCCATGCATTTCATTGGAAAAGATAGCCTTGAAGGAATAGGCCAAAGGATTGATCCAATAGATCCACATCAACCAAGGATGCATGTGCGTGTACCCAATCAAGTAACCCGAATAGATAAGCAAGGCAATAAGGATAATGCTGGATGCTTGAGATGCCAAGAAAAAGTTGGGTGCAAAGGAGCCAAACATTCGGAAAAAGCCATTCATGCACATGTTGATAAATATCAAATTCACCATGTACGTAAAGTACTATATAAATCAATCGTCAAAGTCAGCACACAAGGTTGCCATGGATACGACATCCAAAATTTTACCTGCCCAGCTGTCAAGCTAAGACCAGCCATAAAGTAAACGCAAAGTTGGAAAATAATGACTTGGATGACAGCCAATGGGAAATCCGAAATGACTTGAGCGATGTAGTACCACATGGGTCTATACAATGCGAAGGATTTGTGCTTTTCCAATACACCACGACCTTGCATAAAAGTAGCCAGCTCAGATTGTGAGATCAGCGAATTGAATGTAAGACTGAAAAAGAGAAAGCCGCCACGTGAAAAGGCACCTGAAGCTTCCTTGGGCATGTGGAAAAAGACCGATGCCATGATAAGACCTTTCACAACGACACCACCATATCGCGATACCAAGGCACCCTTATCACCTACATATCATAACAACGTACATAAATACCATCGTCATCGTCATCGTTGTGTTATAAGATACATACCACCAATAAGTTGGAATTGGCGAATGGTAAGGGCTTTAATTTGTTGGAAGGGTGTTGCAGTAAAAGGTGATTTCTTGCGAGCGTGCTTTTGGTGTGCTTCTTCAACAGCTTGACGGAATGCGATATCGGGTCGACTTTGTTGGATTTCAGCTTCGTATTCTTCCAAGCTTGCAAGCATTTGTTTCCAAATTGGAGAGTTCTTGTAACAAGCTTCGAATTCCTCTGGTGTATTGGGCACCTTATCTTCAAAGCCAGGCTTCACCTCACGTTCCTGAAAGTTGCTGATACCCGTCAAGAAATCCGGAGTCGATTTACGTGAAGGACACACAAAGCCCAAATCTTCAAAGTAAGCCTTGGCTTGAAGAATCGGTCCAAAATAGATACAATGGCCTTCGTATAGAACCATGGTGTAATCGAAAAGGTTGAAAATGCTATCGGAAGCTTGATACAACGTGGCCACGGTTGTCTTTTTGAGGATATCAGTCATAATACGTAAGGAGCGCACGTAATCCAAAGCCGATGATGCATCAAGACCACGGGTCGAACAATCCTAATAACATAAAAAATAACCGGTAAGAATCCACACAATCGCTAAGAACTGGTAATTACGATACTTCACCCAGCAGTTGATACAACTACCAGTTGTCATTTGCTCTGCAATCGTTAATCTTTTACGTTCGCCACCAGAGAGACCACGGACGAATTCGTTGCCAACCATGGTGTCTAATTGCTTCACAAGACCCAGCATGTTGCTAAGCATGTAAATGACATTATTGATAAAGTCCTTTTTTCCTTGATCATTGAGACGCTTTCCAGGAGTCTTGAGACGTAAAGCAAATTGCAATGTTTGCTTGGCTGTCAATGTTGGATAATTAACATCCTCTTCTTCATTGTATGCCACCTCGCCACGATACGTTTTTCCAAATTCTTTGGAATCAATGCCGCCATACTTGATGTCACCGGTAATATCAGTAAAGCCATGTCTCAATTCAGATAAAACACGCAAGGTAGTGGTACATCCTGAACCTGGACGGCCTAACACGAGTAGCATTTGCCCAGGCTTGCAAAAGCACGTGATATCCTTAAGGATGGTACGATCATGGCCCATCTTGCGACCCCAATTCCAAAACTTTACGATCTTTTCGGCTACCGTAGCCAAGGTAGGGATCCATTCTGCATCAGCACCAAGACCCTATAGTATAAACGTTAGAGAAATGTGGGCAAGTGATATGAAGAAAATGGTGGTACTACATACCTTGACTGTTAGATTTCGAACGACAAGACCCAAGTGCTTGGGTTGAAATCCTTGTTCGCCTAGACGTCGATCAATGCCAGAAAGAAAATCCGTAAGGTCAAAACGTTCTTCAGCAACCTTTTCAACATCGCTGCCACTTTCGGGTTTGCTGATGGTAGTGGGTCTTGTTGATTGCTTAGTGAGTTGGCGTCGCATATCTTCATAGTCGGCTACAGCTTGATCATAATCCACGGCGTTGCCATCCCGCTCACCATAGCCGCCTACACTGCTTCTGGTTCGTGTTATTGGTGTACCAAGAGTGTCATCTTCTTGTGTATCATCACGTTCATTTGCCCAAGGTTCGGGCTGACGATCAAACGCTTCAACATCCATAAAGAAGAAAAAAGGTGTCTTGTACAGGGGTAGTATCTTTCTTTATAGCCATGCTGTGTGCGCTGTATGAAAAATCATGGCAATAGAATATGTATTATCACACACACGGTCTCATGGGAAATGAATGATTACCCATGCAATGCTGGAAGAAATTTATATGGTTTCATGTGTACACGCACACACGCCATTAGTCTTGGAGATGGATGATTGCTTTGAACAATTATCCTTTACAAGGGACTTTGTAAACTATCAAGCTACCCACACTACTGGAATGGATAGGGTACACATATTGACAGGCGCCACACACACTACAAAGCAACAACTGTGAGAACAAAGAATCCACATACCCTTATACCCTTGCCATTTTAGAAGACCTACCTAGGACACTACATAGCAACACGAGGTCACCGCATTTACGTTTGACCCTGCTCCACGGATAAATTTTATTGACACGTCGTTTCCATGATACGCTGGTTACCATGGAAACTGAAAGCATGCCATGGGGTCTAGACGCCTTGGTAGAATTGCCATTGTGAAGCCTTATCAGGGTCATCTTTGATCTCCCCAATTGAATGATGCCTCCAACAAGAGCACCTTAATTTCATGCATATTGGTGGCCTGATTTACTCGTTTCATTCGTCGATTCATCGTTGCATGGCTCAATCATCACTATCTATAGAATGATGATCCTATCCGTTTACCCAACCACATTCGAATCTCGTCATCTTTACAAGAACCTGCAACCGTTTATTACCAACCACATTTACAATAAAAGACTACTTCGGTAACAAGTTGACCTGGAACACTGTTCAAGGCAGCATCCTCTTTATTTCCCATTCATAACTTCCAGCTGATACCCACTTGTGAATGGTTAAAGGAGAACGAGAGGAAGAGAAAGGGCCTGATTGGTCCATTGTTTCTTGAACAAAGAAGGCTGTATTCGATGGTATAAGTCAATTGGGATACCTCTTGTCAATAACATTGTAACACACGATTCTCTTTTGTGATCTAGATCTTGTAAGATAGCTATACGCAGGAGATGTCGTGCCTTTTATTAGGGCATGTGTTGCTAAAAAGAGGTATCTTACTAACCACGTGCGCCATCATTGCATGCCTGCGTTCGAGGATGGAAGAAGGGAAATGATGTATACCCCCTATCAATGGGTTGACAACATACGTAATGCTGATCCATGATTTGGTAACCAACAACTTGGAAAGTGACAGATCAAAAAGCAACAAAGAGACGCGGCTAATTCCTTCCGGTGACAGGATGATGGTAGGGGAATGGTGGTTCAAATCAATCGGCATCTGGCTCCGCACTTTTCACCAGTTAAATAGGATGTATGGGAATTAAGCTCGCACGGTTGTTGTTGTTGTACAGCTATGGCCACCACCGAGGCAAAGAAACAAGAAGGCTCGTCATCGGCGACATCGAACCAAGAGTTGAATCCAAGGACAACACAGTATGAATTCCTTGGTCCCGTGGGTGCATTCCTCTTCGTCACGGTGCTACCTCTTTTGGTGCTCTTTTTTGCGGTCTGCTGCAATGCCACCGGCTATCCATCCAAGTCCTTGATGGCAGATCCTCAAGCCTACTTTTCCAACCTCTTTACCAAGGAACTCTTGCACCAATTATTTGATCCCGTGGCTATGCTTGTCTATGTTGGCTTTGTTGGTTTCCTTGCTCTCTTGTATAACATCCTCAATGGTGATATGATGCCTGGTACCAAGTTGCGTAACGGCCAGATCTTAAAGTATCCTTTGAACGGTAAGTAGCCTTCAAATCAATCATTGTCTATGGCATTTGTATCTTATAAGGTTATACTAGGTTTCTCGAGTTTCCACAACACTATCTTTTTTGGTATCTTTGTTCTTGTTCAAACCGGATTGAAGATGAAGCCTTTGCTTTTCGTGTACGATCATTGGGTTGGTTTGGTGATGGCCTCGATCCTCTTCAGCTATGCTATCTCCTTGTTTGTCTACATCCGAAGCTTCAAACCTGGTGCACTTTTAGCTCTTGGCGGTAACTCGGGCAATCCATTGTATGATGTAAGTCGATATTTATTGCTGCATGAATCTATGCTGACTTGGTTTTTTCTTTAGTACATGATTGGCCGTGAGCTCAACCCTCGTATTGGTAGCTTTGATATCAAGTTCTTCACCGAGCTTCGACCAGGTCTCATTGGCTGGGTGGTGATCAACTTGTGCATGGCTTGTAAGCAATATACTGATCTCGGCCGTATTACAAACTCCATGGTCCTTGTGTTGGCATTCCATACATTTTACGTTGCCGATGCATTATGGAATGAGGAGGCTGTGTTAACTACCATGGATATTACTACTGGTAAGTGGAAGTATATACCCTATGTCTCTCCTTGTTGCTCATACATGCATATCAATAGATGGCTTTGGTTTCATGCTTGCCTTTGGTTTGTATACCTGGGTCCCAATGAATTACACTCTTCAAGCACGTTACCTTGTGGATTTCCCTCGTGACATGAGCTACTATGAAGTTGCAGCTGTTATTGGTCTCAATTGCCTCGGCTATTTCATCTTCAGAAGTGCCAATTCCCAAAAGAATGCATTCCGCATGAACCCTGATGGCGATCGTGTCAAGCGTAAGTTTTTTCTTGTTTGATCCATGGATATCAATATGAATGTGCGTGGCTGATGTATTCCTATCAAACTAGATCTCAAGTATCTCAAGACCGAGCGTGGTACTAAGCTTATCATCTCAAGCTGGTGGGGCATGTCGCGTCATATCAATTACCTTGGCGACTGGTTGATGGCATTGTCTTGGAGTCTGCCATGTGGATTTGGATCAATCATTCCCTACTTTTACCCCATCTACTTTGCTGTTTTGTTATTACATCGTGAAAGAAGAGATGATCATCAATGCCGTATCAAGTACGGAAAGGATTGGGACAAGTATTGCAGCATTGTCAAGTCCAGAATTATTCCAGGTTTGTTCATTAACAATGGATGGCATCTTTGTTGTCGTGTACTCATTATACTTTTTTAAATGCAGGCATTTATTAATTTGTACAAGTAGCTAGTTAGTGCTATTCTAATAATAATACACCTTTTTTGAACCCTATGGATGTGTCATTGTGTCATTGTGTGGGTGGGTGAGTGTAGAGACCACAAATGCCGCTCGCCGTAGCAAGGATTAAGACCAAAATGCCCGCAGCAGGCCTAAACCAACTAAACCTTGTCTCTTCCTTTTCGATCACACACTTGTCGACATGGGAAAACCTACAAAGCAACCAAGGTCGAAGGGTGGACTAAAACCAGCCAGTAGCAGGTACAGCTCTACCATTCACGCGATCGCTTCATAATTGACACACCCATTGACAACTTGCAGTCGTGCAGCAGAGCTCTCTGGTGGTGGTAACGGTGGCAACAACCCTCTCAGCTTTCAAGATCTCGGTGGATTTGCACAGTTTGCTGGCCCTTCAGTAGCGGGCATTGCTCTACCAGCGCGATCGTCTTCGCCATCTGTGGATTCCGATCCTATGGCTTCTTCGGCTCATTTGAACGCGGAACTATTGGTTATCCTGAAAAAGGTGTCAAAGCGTGATGCTACCACCAAGCTCAAGGCGTTGGAGGAGCTCGAATCGTACCTGAAAGAGAACACGAGCGACATTTCAGCTATTGTACCAACTTGGGTAAGCATACATCAATGCATTGGGCGTGCCTGGATGGATAGCGTCGTCGTTGCTCACGTGGTGTATATATATCCAGATTCGCATGTATGGCAAATTGACGATTGAAGTGGATCGCCGTGTACGATTGGCCGCCAACAATGTCCATATGCTTATTGCAACAAACGCCAAAAAGAAGCTTGCGCCGCATTTGAAGGAGTTTATTGGTGCTTGGATCCTCACTCTCTTTGATCAAAGTCCAGATGTCGCAAAGTGTGCAAAGTCATCTTTTGAGGTAGGGTGTCTTGTATTGGATCAGGTGATGGAAGTGGATATCTTATGATACCTACAGGCTACCTTTGCTGAGGACAAGCGTCAAGGTGTTTTGGAATTCTGTCAAAAGGATATTGTGAATTACGTGGCAGAAATCGTGTTGTACAAGACTCCTGATACATTGAGTAAGTGGATGGATGGCTTTTTGTTGTCATTTGATACTGATTGCTGTTATGACATCAGGTGATCCTAGACATGTGTCAAAGGAGGATATGGCATCTAAATTTGCGAGAGTCATTGCCGGATGTTTCTGTACTCTTTGTCATTTAATGGGTGAGTGATTTATGATGTTCTTTCCAATGCAATGTCATTTATTCGATATGTTGTCAGACAAGCTGCCTTTGGATAAGCGTGAAGAATGCCTCGAAGACTATGAGAACCTCTTTGATAGCGAGACGCTTTGGAAGTTTGCATCGCATGAGAGCCCCATTATTCGCAAAGCTCTCTATCGTTTTGTCAAGACAACCATTTTGAAATGGAAAGGTAGTGAGATCCAAAGGAGTAACCTTCCCCATAACTCAACATGCCAACGATAGATATCCTATCGCCAAGACTTACGGTGATCTCTCCTGCTTTATTCACCAGCTTCTTGAAAGAAAAAGAGCCAGCCACATTCTCGGAATTATGGGATGCCATTTTGTTGCTTACAAAAGGTAATGAATGCCTTGATTGAAATCATCATCACACATGTCATTAACAGCTTCGAAATAGATTACCCTGAGTCGTGGATCCTTGCTGGTACAAAGAAGCCCATCTTGCCAAAGTTTTACAATTTCTTGCGGAATGGTCTTAATGGTGCTGTGCATATTGGCTACCCAAGTATCTTGATCCTGATTGCCAACTTTCCTGATGAGGTATGTACGCATCGCTAATAGCGGATGACGATGATGCTGATATATGAGACATATCATAGATCCGTAGCACCAAGAACTTTTACAAGGATTTCTTTGAGAATTTCTGGACCGGATTATCCAGTGGATGTATTGATAAGTCCAACTCGGTCGTGTTTGTGAATGCCTATGTCGAATGCATTGTTTACGTATTGGCTTCATTAAGGTAAGATAGTGATGGTGATTGTGATGGTGATGCATGAATGAAAATGACAATTGACTTTTTACGGTCACAGCAATTCTCCCGAAAGCCAGCAATACAACGATGACATTGTTCACCTGACTGAAAATGCATTCACCGATGCAATCAAGGCCTATCTGACGAAGGGCAAAAGTGTCAACCTCGGCGATCAAGTTGCTCCTGTGCTGGCCAACCAGCTGATTACAATGGCCAATATCCAAAATCTCCAACGTATGTCTTGTTCAAAGGCGTGGTATCTAGTACTTGGCTGACTTTTGTTATTTAGAGTATACGGGAGGATTCTGGTCCAATCTTGAGCATTGGTTGATACAAACAGTGGTGGATGGTACATCGCCTGGTGTTCGCTCAATGGATATTGAAGCCTTTTGCCGCAACACTGGTATCCTCTTTGTGGAATTCCATGTAAAGCTTAACAACCTCGAGCAAGAGAAACGTCAATCATTCGACACCAAGGCAGTGGATTGGGCAAAGCGTTTGGTAGAAGCAGCACTTGGATCAAGCTTGGTTTTCAAAGGTACGCTATCAGAGGGATTTTTCTTATCGTCATACTAATCAAAGTAATAGATAAAGCCGGAGCGTTCCTTCACCTTGCAAACAAGCTCAATGTTGAGTATTGGGATCAATTCAAGGATGATGAATTTGAGCGTGTAAGTATAAAGATGATCGAAAGGAATATTCGCATTGACCACATTGCCGTATTAGAAAATCGTTGATCAAGCCAAGCTCATTGTTTCATTGTTCTCGGAAGGCCAAGAGAGCACGTTATCACCCCTCTGCTGCTTTTTTATCAACGTGATTGCAAGATTGGGCAATGGTGCATCGGCTCAAGAATTATGGTCGTGCGTACTGGATAAGCTTGTGTCCATGGAAGCGGGCCAAAGACAAGTGAAAATCCTCATGTTCTTCTTCCAACAGGTAGCGGCGTTTAATGGATCAAATAGAGTTGCTTGTTTGCTCACAGCTTTTTTTAGATTGCGGATACACCATCCACGATTTCATACCGCAACGAATCGCTTGATACAATCTTTACCCAATATGCCATTGACGAGCTTCAAAAGGAAACACCATCCATGGATCGATCCGAAGTGGAACAACTTGTTACGCTTGGGTTGACAGTGCAGTTGTGTAAGCATAAATCACGAGAAAGGGAAGCGAACACGATTTCTAATCATTGAATTTCACCTATAGCGAAGGAGATTTTGTCCAAGGAAGCATTGGATCGGATCATCACGTCTTATCAAGATATTTTGGCCAAGCTGAATCAGTGTTCCTCTACTACAAATGGCAGCATTTCGGCAAAGACCCTTTTATGCGTATTGTCGGTGCTCAGCATCTTCCATGATCTCAAGACTGAAACCATGAGAGAACTTTTGAAGATCCCTGCCGCCAAAGATATCCCAACGGAAATCTTTGCGGCCATGTTCACCAAGCCAACGACAGCTGTTGAAGGCATGGAGGAGGATATTGAACGTATTTCCAAAGTCGCATCTACAGTATGGGAGACCATTATCGCTGGCTATGCCGCTCATCGCACCACGCTCTCAACTCCTATCCTTGCACGCATCAAAAAGAATATTACCGATGTCAACCACGGTGCTAGGTATTGCTCTCCTATCTTAATGTACACTGATAACAGGCTAACCGACCTTACATTTTTAGCCCATCAGAGCTGGTGAAGCATATGCAAACACTCACATCGACGCTTTATGTGGCCAATTCTGAAAACGAGCAAGCAGCTATCACCGATATCGTGGGCGACTTGACACATTGGAAGAGCTTGCGAGCACCTTTTAATCAATACACAACAAGCTTTTTGACCGTTGGCATCATTGACAACTATGCTGGATTGGTGAACTCGCCCCTTGTGGATGATGATGAGATTACACCTGTTCGCTACGACATGTATGGATTGAGCAGCTATGCAAGGATGATTGTGTTTATTGCCGAGTATATTCTCCAAACCGGTGTTGCAGAATTCTTCAAGGATGATGGCGATTCGAACCGTGATTGGATCCTTTATCAGTTGATGCTTGCAAGTGTGGAGTGCCAATGGGGTTTAGCTGTTCCCGGCAGCTGTCGCGTGTGGGATAACTCTGTTGCTGCAAGCTCTATGGGCATTCAAGCATTTATCCAACATACCGAGTCGATTTTGAACCATCGTTTGGATTCTCTGGTTGCAGCTTCGGACGTTGGAAGCGATTGGAGCGTGAAGCTTTATGATCATGTCGTCAACAAGACATCATCTAACGATCCACTCATTCTATTTATTGGATACATCATGCGTTCGGATTATATATCGGCAGAGGGTGCTCTCGATGAAGAAATTACTCCTGGCCATGCAGCTGCAGCAAGGATTCTCGAGACATTCATGAAGCGTTTGACTCTATCTTTGGGATCTTCCAATGGCATCCAGAGCTGGTTGGATACCTTGAAGGCTGAATCTTCGCATTGTAAGCAAAAGTTCTACATTTGGATATATACGTTCTTACATGTGCCCTTTTTTTAGTCCATTTGCCAACCAAGGTCGCACTTTATGCATCACTCAAACATGCTTTTGCTGAGAACATGCAATACAAGAACCTCCAGAGTGACTTGACTAGCAAGCTTTCAGGTGTCTCGAGTATCGAGCAATTCAATGAAGATGAAACAAAGGGTAGGTGAAAAGAGGGATGGCTTTTGACACGATTGCGTCTAATACGTTTGCTGTTTTTAGCGTGGACTCTCATTGTACTTCTCAATGCCTCATCACTCAAATTCGGCGCATTCGCTATTCCTTCACAACGATTGATGCACCTTTTGCTTACCGTTCGGAAATGGTTTGATGATGATGCCGCTCTCAGCGAATTTAGTCCACATCACCGTACTCGTATCACTATGCAATTGGCTCAACTCTTTGCAAATCTTGCCGAGTCTACTCAAGAGGTATCGGGAGGTCAATGGCAGTTTTTCTTGGAACGTAGCTATGAATGGATTGCTGTAAGTCATCAAATATCTTTTTAAAAACGATGGGTCTCATGCTCTTTTGATTTAGTACTCGGATCCTAATGTGGATGAAGAATTGCCAATCATCTATCAAGCTCTTGTGCTCCTCAAGACCATGCAAAGATTATCGCAAGAAGGAATCGAAGACCTGGAAATTGCGTTTGCTGAGCAAAGGCAGAGTATTGACAAGACATTGTTGGATTTGTTTGCTCGAGAAAAAGGTAATGGGCAGCGTGATCGAGAACGCACATGTTTGTTTACATGATGTTATTAGATGTTCCATTGCCGATCACCAAACCAAGATTACAATTCCAAACACTTGTCGCTGATTTGCTTGAGCAAATACCTGATGTTGTTTTGCATGAAGCTTCATGCATCTCAGAGGTAAATATTTTCATGAGTTTCATGCAACAAGGTAAACTGACACGTGCACTTTAAGCTCTTTTCACTTTTGTTCTCAAGCAATGAAGCTGTTCAAAAGCGTGCATTCGAGTTGCTCAAGAAATTTACCGCAAGCTTGGTTCAGGATCTTTCAGTTAGTCTAGAATTCTCTTCTACCAATGGTAATGGGATGGATGATGACAAGGTGTGTATTTGTGATATTGACATGCATTGTTGACTTTAGACGAGGATGATTCAGCCAAGGCACCGATTGCACCTGATTTGCTTCATAGCATTCTTGAACCACCCAATATTGCCCGTTGGCATTCAGCTCCCTTTGATGACCAGGTTTGTGGCTATAGCCCATGCCGTTTCCTCCCTCCTCCTTATGCATGCCGCTCACACTGTACACATCTTGTTAGCCGTTACACCAAGTTTCCGGTTATTTGCTTTCCTGGCTCGTCATGTTTGAACATTTCATCAACATTGTGAGTGCATTTATTATAGCCAAACTCGAGTGGGGTCATCCATATTGACTTTTTTGATGATAGACGTTCCGGCTTAAGCAAGAGTATACCTCCCAGCTAAAGGAAAAGGATGCTGTGGCAGCTCTGTTACCGTTCTTATCCACTCTTTTGGGCGTGGGCGTTGGTCAAGATATCCAGCCATTCGATTTGATGCCGTGGGATATCGAATACTATGATATGGATGGTATGTACAATAGATGAGTGTTATGGAGTAAGACTAATGCGAGGCTATGCAGGATTTGATTCATCTATGGAGATGAGCTACCAATTACTTGCAGCACATTTGTATTATCGGGCACTAAAGTACATCCCATCACTTGTGAGGTAAGCTACCACCCTATTCTAAAACATACAGGGATAGTAACACCGGTATCACAGGCAATGGTGGGTTGATTGCAAGAATCGACAGCTGACGATCGGCGTGGAAAGGTAAGCCAATGATGACGCGTACAAAGACAATCCAGACACCTAACATGATAATGATGATGTAAAAGCTACGTCGAAAAGAATTATAGTGGAGCGCTTATCAACAGTGAAGTCAACTTGATCAATCAACCCGAAACAAAATCAATGTTGGAAGATAACGACGACAATGAATTTACTGTAAAGGCGCTCAAGGCTGCCAACGAGGTTTCAGCAACATACAGGGTGGATGAACAAAATATGCAAATTGTTATCAGGCTACCTAGCAACTATCCTTTACGGCAGATTGACGTGGAGAGCGTTCAAAAAGTGGGTGTGAGCGACAAACAATGGCGCGGATGGATGTTTTCGGTTGCAGCTGTGATTGGATCACAGGTAGGGTTTTCTTCTTTTTTCGCTTCAATGTTATGAGATATGGCTGTTTTGATTGATTGTTCTCTTTAGAATGGCAACATTGTCGATGCATTGACCGTATTCAAACGCAACCTCAATCTTCATTTCAGTGGTGTGGAAGACTGCACCATTTGTTATTCGATTATCAGCGCCCAAGATCGATCCATACCCACCAAACAGTGCCGTACGTGCAAGAACAAGTTCCATGCCAGCTGTTTATACAAGGTAATAATCCAATCACAATGATAATGACAAGGACTGATTACTAAACAATGAATTGCTTTATTCTAGTGGTTCCGCTCATCCAACTCGGCAAGCTGTCCATTGTGTAGAACCGTTTTTTAGAAGTGTACAAAAGTACAGTAAAACTTGTTTTTTTCCACCCACACATGTTCCAATATGCAATCTTCCCAATGCAACGTATGGGCACGGTGCTGCTGCAGCATCTTCCCACATTGACCTCTTTTAGTTTGGGGGAACCGTATCAGCCGACATGCTCTTTTTGCTTTAAGGTGGCGAGTCGTTCAAATGATATCTCGGCTGTGCAGAAACTTTATTAAAGAGAAACGCCAAACATGAGCAACACTATAGGGCCGGAACTTCCCTTGAGCTTTTTTCCCCTTGTGACGGTGTGTGTGTAGCGCACACCATACACACACACACATACAGGTTCTTGTGTTTCCGTTGCATTTCTGGATGCAAAGTGTGCATGTCACGCGTAACGTCCGAGATTGAGCAAATCAGGATTGTTTGTAAAAGGGTCGCTTGTTATGTGACACAAAGCTGCAGGATAGAGAGTGCAACCGTGGGAGACCACCTATTGCTGCATATATAAAGATCCTCAACATGGCATCCTTTTGTTTCAGATAATACGCTTCCTTTCTACTTGTAAAAATGACTGCTGAATTTGCTACTCACGCTACTACTCCCAAAGGCGACAAGATCACCTGTAAGCATACATACATATATAACATCCACCTCCACGCTTGACATCATATTGATGATCATCATCCTTTAGTCAACACTGGTTTATTTATCAACAACGAATTCGTCGCTGGTGACGAGACCATTGATAGCGTCAACCCCACCACTGGTGAAGTGATTGCTGCTGTTCAAGCTGGTAAGTCAATGATTGGTCAACATAAGGAGACGTCATGATGATGATTAAAACGCGTATAATAGCTGGAGAAACTCAAGTCAATGCTGCTGTGGATGCTGCGGAAAAGGCATTCCGTCAAGTATGGAGCAAGACACCAGGCCGTGATCGAGCAAAGCTTATGTACAAGTTGGCTGATCTTGTTGATCAACATTTGGAAGAATTGGCCAAGCTCGAAACCCTTGATAATGGCAAAGGCATTGCCTTTTCGCGTGGATACGATGTTCCCGAACTTGCAAAGTCGATTCGTTACTTTGCTGGTTATGCTGACAAGGTGCATGGCAAGGTGATGGAAACAGAAGGCAAATTGTCATACACGCGTCATGAACCCATTGGCGTATGTGCAGCTATCATTCCTTGGAACTTTCCTCTTATGATGGTTGGCTGGAAGCTTGGTCCTGCTTTGTGTACTGGCAACACGATTGTTATCAAGACATCCGAAATCACACCCTTGTCGGCTCTCAAGCTTGCAGAGCTGGTGGTGGAAGCTGGCTTCCCTCCTGGTGTCGTCAACTTTATCACAGGCTATGGTCCTATCGCTGGTGACAAGTTGGCACGTCATCCAAAGGTCGGCAAGGTTGCATTCACTGGAAGCACAGCTGTGGGTCGTATGGTAATGAAGGCTGCTGCCGAATCCAACCTCAAAAAGGTCACCTTGGAACTTGGTGGCAAATCCCCCAACATTATCTTTGATGATGCCGATCTCGACCAAGCTGTTGCATGGGCACACAAGGGTATCTTTTTCAACCATGGCCAATGCTGCTGTGCTGGATCTCGTGTTTATGTCCAAGGTAAATAGTGATTCCCTTTTGCAAATAATGAATGCTCATCATCTTTTATTAGAGGGCATCTATGACAAGTTCCTTCAACGCTTCAAGGAGTACACTAGCCAAACCAAGGTGGGCGATCCATTTGCAGAAGACACCTTCCAAGGACCACAAGTATCCAAGGTTCAATTTGATCGTATCATGAACTACATTGAACAAGGCAAAAAGGAAGGAGCTACTTGCTTCATGGGTGGCAATCGCCTTGGTGATAAGGGTTATTTCATCGAACCCACTGTTTTCACTGGTTTGTAAAAAGATTGACCTATGTGCTTACATGTACTCATGCTTTCCTTTTAGATGTCAAGGAGGATATGGTTGTCGTGAAGGATGAAATCTTTGGCCCTGTTGTGGTTGTTTCCAAGTTCAAGACCATTGACGAAGTCGTTGAGAAGGCTAACAACAGCACCTATGGTCTTGCTGCTGCCGTTTTCACTAGCAACATCACCACTTCCATTAGCGTTGCCAATCAACTCGAGGCTGGTACTGTGTGGATTAACTGCTACAACGAGTTGGTAAGTGGGATGGATTTGTTGTTAGGATGATGATGAGAAGGAATATTGATTTTGGGATGTGGCTCAGGATTACAATACGCCATTTGGTGGTTACAAGCAAAGTGGTATCGGTCGTGAGAATGGCGAATATGCCTTGGATAACTACTATCAGGTGAGTCTCCTCCGTGGGAATGTTTATGGCTACCTATGTATCGTATTGTTTACTGAAACAAACCATTTTATCAGGTCAAGGCAGTCAAGATCAATGTTGGCTTGTAAAAATGTTGGGGTTATCTCTCTCACTCTCACACACATATCTTTGCATATATCATGCATGCTATTGCTCTCCTTAGCAGCATACCAAAATGATTGTCTTTTGAAAAATAAAGCATGCGAAAACATGTATATATCAAAAAAAGAAGGGATGATGTGAATTTATCGAATAAGGTCATTTGCTTTATGTATGAAAGGATTAAAAGCTATATGTGGATTACGTGGATAAAGAGGCTACCTTCATTCATGGTATCATGGATACGTAAATTGGGCCAACGGTTGCCACGTGACGTGCCGGATCGCACACGATGCGCTCTCGTGAAACTCCTCTGGTCCTTGCAACCCAGGCATAATCCTTCCTTTTACGTCCACCTTAAGCAATGGTAAGTGAACATGATCCTTACTCATCCAACATCCTTCATATGTATCCTGCTCTTGATGTATACGTTTCGATATCGATGATAGAGAAAAACGGATCGATGGATGGATGGATGAATGGATGGATAAACCAAAGACAATGGACCCATTCACATACTGACCTTGACATTGCAATCGTACCAACAGGCTGATCAAGTCCAGCAAACCAGAAAGAGAACTTTCCGCAAGTTTAGCTACCGTGGTGTCGATTTAGATCAACTTCTTGATCTTTCCTCTGAGCAGGTACGCCACTTGGCGATACTAGGCAGAGCATAGGGAAACAAGAGAGAGTGAAAAACACGCATTCTTATATATCTACCAGTTTATGGAGCTCGTTCACGCCCGTGCTCGTAGAAGATTCCAACGTGGTCTCAAGCGTAAGCCCATGGGTCTTATCAAGAAGCTTCGCAAGGCCAAGAAGGAGGCTGCTGCTGATGAGAAGCCCGCTGTTGTCAAGACCCATCTTCGTGATATGATCATTGTCCCTGAGATGATCGGCTCTGTTGTTGGTATCTACAACGGTAAGACCTTCAACCAAGTTGAAATCAAGCCCGAGATGGTTGGCCACTACCTTGCCGAATTCTCGTAAGTTGAAAAAAGGATGAAGGTTTGGATTTGAGAGGATAGGATATTGATGATGTGCATAATACAGCATCTCTTACAAGCCCGTTCGTCACGGTCGTCCCGGTATTGGTGCCACCCACTCTTCTCGTTTCGTCCCTCTCAAGTAAACGATACACATTTACATTTGGGAAGAAGAATAAATGCATTGTCACTAAAAGAGGCAATCACGCTTTATTGTTGGTACTTCATTATCATTGGGGAGCTTTCATTTGATTCATTCAACCATTCTTTGAACTTGGTGACCATAAATTGATGCAACTCCTTGATCTCATCGGATGTGCTATTTGTCGTGAAAAAGTCCTATGCATATACAATGTGAGAATGACAACAGGGCTATGTAGGATTGAACTTACCCAATGATGCACCGATTCTGACAACACTTGAAAGTGAGCATTATCATGCCAATGCGTACGATCGGGAGCGTCATCACTATTAACAGAAAGTGTGCGCCATGGATCCCATTCACCATCAAGCCAAATGGTTCGTGATAATCGAAGATGCCATCCTTCGTATTCTTTGTTGATGCGGCGCCATTCAGGGCGGAAAGGAACATTGTGCTCGCCAAACAAGAATGGGCATTGGCGTTGATACCAGTCCGTGGTGAGCTTACGTGATACCATGGATGGGTGCCAGATGGGCTTTGCGGTTTGCCAATAAGCGTATTCAGTGCAAATTTGCCAAAACCAAGCACGGAAGGGAGCTTTGGTGTCCATGTACATTTCGGATCGAGGATCATGCGTATCCAAACATGCGTTAATGGAAGGTGCATCCTTGCATGTGGTATTCACCAAATTGGCAATGTAGTTGCCATATGCTTCAACACGCTCATGCAAGCTGTTCTTGCCTTCAAAGATAGTACAAAATTCATCAACAAATGGATTCTCAGTGGGTGTCATCTCTTGCCAAAGTCCAAGTGGGAACGATAGTGCTGTAAACGTAATAGCATGATTAGCAACAAGTAATAAGAACAGCGGATGGTATCGTATAGCTCACTTTCTGCAAAGTCATCATCGTGCGCGAGATCCTGTAATCCAAATGTTTCTTTCATACGTTGCTTTGGTTCGCTGAAAGGGCTGAAAATAATATGATCAACGTAGCGTACAACCTGCTGAATGGATGAAACACAATGCGTGGGGGCGTAACGGCGAATGGTTTCAAAATATTGATGAAAGTTGTATCGCATTTCAACGGGTGCCGATGATGGCACAGCTGCAAAAACAATATCAGGGTATCGATAACGCATCCATGCAGCGAGGTTTCCGCTGTAGCTGCCACCATACACGATCCATTTGGTCTCTGGAGCAGGTGGAAGGTCCACATCCAAGTTTGGCAACTATGACAATGATGAATGGTTATGCTGCTGCACACATAACGATCATGCTATTGCTTACTTTAATCTCGCGAATGATGGTGGCCATATCCTCTAGTGCTTGATCGGTATTGAGTGTGCGTAAATTCTCTGCTGAATAATCCTAAAGGCTCATGGTTGGCGTGGGTCACGTTTATGTATGTGTGCATGTCATACATACCTCCGCAACCATCGATTCACCATAACACCGATGTTCCATAACAATGACGATACCATTCAACTCCTCAGCAAGCATAGCCATGGAAGAGTTGGTGACATAGCCAGCACGCCAATCAGCTGGAAGCTCACCAGCATTATACACTATACGAAATGAATGAAAAAGTCAATGACTTTGCTGCATGAATACATGTATGTGCCACTTACAAATGACGGGACCTCCAGGTTGATACCAATCGGTATTCGCCCAATATCGATGCTTGAAGGTACCAGCTGAAGGGTCGGTGTGATCAATAGGCTGATCAAAGTAAAATGGCCCGTACTTTGCATCCACTTGTTCAAAGGTTTGCATAGCAAGTTCATGCTTTTGCTGGTCGAGACGCCTGAAAATGTATGTAAAAGTGGTGTTAGCTTTGATATTAAATGAGCGTGTATATACCTTACCATTTCAAATACCAGCCCGGTCGATTCAAGTTGGCGTGACAAAGCCATGCGTTGGCTATAAGGAACAGCACCACTGACAATATTACGCGCATCCGTATAGCGTCAGGGGAAAGAGGAACGAAGAAAGTGTGTGAAAAGAAGTTGCAAACTCGGAAAAAGGAATTTATTGTCGCTTTTAGAAGTAGAATGATCGGGCGCTGTTTGAAATGCATACAATTCGCCGGGGCACGCTATACGCAGCTTGCATGGATAATCATCTAGCAGAGATAGATTTATCAATTGGTGATGTTAAAGCTGCTTTGACCAGATATCCTAAGATAGTTGGATACGCTATCATTCAAACAATCACGATCTCCTCTTCTTTTGTGTTGATGCCCACTTCCATACAACAAGCCGCCGTCAACATTGCTCTGCATTACAAGAGCGCTAAAAATGTGATGCTCTATCATCAATTGGTGCCTGCGATACACAGCAATGTGGCCCCATCAGCTTCTTTTACGCATACTGCATTTGCCATCATCCCTTATCAATGACATGATCATGCACATTCAATGGAGCCATATGCCTCAAAGCGCTATAATGATACGACACAGTGATAGTAGCCTACCTATTGTACAGCATTAGCAGGTTCAAACACGAGGTCATTGACACGTTAATATACCCAATCTAACCCCATAATGCCAATCACCTTGATATTGACGTAGTTGTTGATGATAAGAAAATCATTGGATACCATTACCTTTATAACGAACCAACACACAATTGACGATGACATAGGATGAATGGGGATGCTATGTATGTACGACATCAAAAGAACAAGGTCAACAACTGAGAGTTACTACGCACTCACCATTAAGACATCATTGATATGGATCGACAACAAGATGTGAAGACGTGTATCTCTTGGGTCTTGTTCCAATCATTTGGGGAGTCATCCTTGACAATCAAACAAAGCCTAGCGGGTTCAAGCAATGGCTTTACCACCAATATGGCTTCTTGACCACAATAAAAATGGGATGCAAATCACATGTGGTTTTATTTATACGTATCTTTGGTGGCAAAGGGGAAAGGGAGATACCGACATTCGCAAGCATTCATTGTTAGGGGTTGAGAAACTCATTTAATGGTATTGTTCATTATCAGGGGGACTGTGAATGACAAACAATCAATGCAATCAGCTGATTTTTGGGTCCATTGTTGCTATGGCAGTGGCGGTGGTGATGGTGATGATGATGTTGGGGTAATATGTAAGTAGAGGAGGAGTCCTGTCAAGCACTGCATTCAATGCACGTGTTATGTTGATCCCTGCGTATTCTTCTTGTCATGGTGCAACCTTGTCAATGTTGAACAAGCATGAAGATGGGTCCTGGTTGTCAAGAAAGAAAGAATAAGGAAAGCGATGCCATATCAACAAACAATGGTAACAAGAGAGAGAGAAAGAGGACGACGCCGGGGTTGCGATGGTTTAGCCTCAGCGGATGGTTGCAGAGAGATCCGAGGGCATAACTTACTTTCTATTCTTTTCTTTCGTCCTCCTCACCGTCATGGACCAGGTACACCAATCGATGCCACCATCGTTTCCATTATGCACCTTGCTCCCGATCCTTTGTCTCTCCATGCTTATCCAAGCCCATAGATTGCTTCATCACAGTGGGTGTTCACTACACAAGAGTTACAGCACCTCCCTTCCATCGTTGCGGGTGGTCTGACGGTGAATGAAGAACGACGACGTCGATTAGCCGGGTGTACGTTCATTCACAGCATTGGGTCTCGACTCGAGGTGTAAGGATTGTGCGATCCACAAAGAAAAAGTGTGGGAGTGTGTGTGTGTGTGTGTGTGCGTATGTGTGTGTATCTTGACGCTCACTTGTTGTTTTTCCACTTGACGATAGACCCCTGTTGACTATTGCTACAGCCATGACCTATTTCCATCGATTCTACACGCGCCATTCCTTTACACATTATCGATTTGAAGTACGTATACAATTGATGGTGCAATGGATGAGTAATAACAGGTTGCTTCTTTTTATAGGTGGTTGCCGCGACATGTGTCTATCTTGCATGCAAAGTGGAGGAATCTATGCGCAAAATCAAGGATGTGGTGGCTGCCAGCTTATTACACATGCATAGCCGAGAAAATCACGAAGATGAAATGGCAAAGGTATGAAAAGACCACCAAAAGTGAATTGCGTGTCATTAAACAAAGTGGTTGTAGCTGTTTCATGCATTGAGAGATGCCATCATTCAGTATGAATTTATCGTCGTCGAAACGCTATGCTTTGATTTCGCCATTGATCATCCCCATCAAGCATTACTCGATCTTTTGGATGAATTAGAAGGTAAAGGCAGGCAACATCGGGATTAAGATATACCATACATGAATTTAATGCTTCTCCGCTTGGACACTTGTAGCATCAGAACGTATCGCTCAAGCAGCATGGAGTTTTGCAAATGACAGGTAATGGATCCAATGTCATATCATACACACACACACGCACACATGCACATACACGATCTGATGGGTTTCACCAGCATGCGCTTGGTATTATGCTTATCACACGAACCACGCCATATTGCTGCGGCATGTATACTATTGGCTTATCGACTCCACCGGCAAGATATCCCTGAAATCGATGATTCAAGCTTGATGGTGCTTATAGAAGATCGTTTCGAGACATTGGATGGTAAGGGGAAATCAATCGTGTATTGAGCTAAATTTTGCAATGGGGCTAATCAATACATATCTTAGCTATTATACAAGAGATTATGCATGGACGCACATTACAACAACAATTGGAACGGCGGAACAGGAGACGGGTGAGTAAAAGCGATGAATGTGTGATATATATACAATTCTTATCAAGGAATTTTAGAGCACGGCCGATTCACCCGCAACATCTTCAGGAAGCAACCGAGCTCGTGGGTCGATCGTTTCCGCAAATGGCCACCGGATAGACAGGGAGAGAGCGAGCAACATGGGATCTTCGGCGTTACAGAGCTAATAGGTGCTGGTAACTATATATTTACATCGACGCGTATCCACCTCCTTTCCCTAATTTACTGCACACACACAACACAAACAATCCATACACTTACATATTCACGCACAACTGATTATTTCTTAACATCATTCAAGCTACCCTGACACCCTACCGATACCTATCTTCTGATCGCCGTAAAAGTTGTACCATAATGTTTCCTTTCTTTTTTCTTTATATATTTTGTTTATACTTCATGTTGGGTTGCTTGTCACGAATATACCTGATGTTCTATATCAAATGTGAAATGTGGGGATGATGAAACATCTGCACGGTTCTGTGGTGGTGTTGTACAATTCAGGTTTCGAGGAGAACGGGGCGGGGGGAAGGGGAATAAAAGATGCTACGAGATGGAGTGTTGAGAAAGAGAGAGCGATGAGCTGCGTGGCACTGATGTACATCACCATGCAGCAGCACTTTATGAATGCATTTCAGACTAAGCTAGTTTTCTTTTTCATTTCTGTGCACTCCACAAACACTCACACTCACACTCACCCCTTACAATACATCTCCTTCCCCTCCTGTAGGTTATCGCCGGGGCACTTTTTTATCTGCTACTGCAACTTCTCCTTAACCTTATAAAAGAGAATCGTATTGGTATGTGGAATGAGAGCGCGAGAGCAATAGTAGCAGTAGCAATAGCTTATAGTGATACAACAAAGATGCAATACATAGTGGCAAAAAGATAGAAAGAGCGACAAGCACGAGCGGGATGTCCATGGAAGGTTGCCGTTTACCGATAATGAGCTGCAGTTTTGCTACCATATTTTGCCAGTGTGTGCAACCATGGAAATAAAGATGCGTCAATTACCCATCCATAACGACAATCATCCAACATTCTCTCTTTCTCTCTCTCTCTCTCTCTCTTTTTCTTTTCCTCTCCTTGATTCTTTGTATCTTTCTCTTCCCTTCCTTTTTCTCTCTTGTCAACAATGTCCCCGCCATATCCCACAGCGACAGCGCTGCCACCAACACCCCAAGGCACCCCTCGTAACTCATCCTCGTCATCTTCGGCACCGGGTCCACGATTCAGCGTCAACTCGAACCTCATGAACTATTCCATTCCAAAGAACAATGAACAACAGGTACGTGTTTATACAAAGTACATTCCAAAGACACACAACTAATGACTCGTGGTACATAGGAACAAGCCAACATTCCAGACGATGCCAGCTTTATGAAACGAGAAATACAGCAGGGCAATTCGAGTACACGTGCACGACAACTCGAGGCACAAATCGAGACGTTGACGCTGCAGAATGTGAAACTTCAACGCACCAATCGACTTTTAAAAGTGGATACAGACAACCTCGTCAAACAAAAGACACAGCCTTTAGAACAGACCATTCGTGAGCTGACATTGAGCAACGTACAACTACAACGAGCAACACGTTTATTACAACAAGAAGTGGAAGAAAAATCAGCTACTCTCGAGAATTTCAAGCGTGAGCAAATCATGCAAATGAAATCAGTGGGTCCTGAATACGAATATCTCGTTCAAATGGTAAATCTTTTGCATCGACAGGTAAATATGGAGCAAATCTCAAGGAGAGAAAGCGAGCAAGGGGAGTGCGAGTGTAAAGAAGAATGGGCGGGTTTACCAAAGAGGAGGGACAACGAAAATACTCATTGGGGAGAGAACCCATTTCTAGATCAGTGGTAATGCGACTTGCGATGATACCTGCTGCTTTACGTTACAACCTATCAATCAATCCACCATGGTCATGACCTTACCACCAGAAAACGAACAAGAAGATATGGAAGCACAACACATTTGCAGACCTGTGGTTCATTCATCCATATCGCAAGGATCCTATGCAATCGAACTTGAAAACAAGATCCTGCGTCTTGAGCAATTGATTGAGGAGTTGGATGCCGAGAAGGAGCAATTGTTACGTCAACAAGCATACAAAGATGCCGATGTGGAGACTCTCAAAAGGGAGTTGCGTCTCAAGGATGACATTGTGTCGCAGCTGGAAGGAGATTTTCTCAACCTTGAGGAGCAACTGGCATCTTTACAAAAGGTGAGATGATGGTGATTTGGTCTACTTTAGGAGAAAGCCATTGTTAATATGATCTTTTTAGGAGCTTGATGAACAACGTATCCATGGAAACGACTATCGTGAGGTGACCCGGTCAACGAGAAGAGAGAAGCCTATGCAGGATCCCAAACGACAATCACAATTGCTCATGGATACCAAACGGCGGTCATTGGCTATCAAAGACACAGATGCTTTGGAACGCATGTTACGAGGTGATCTGCAAGTTGAATCTGTAATGCAAAATCACCCGACAACGGAAGACGGCTCGGAAGATGAGGATGAAGAAGATGCAGCGAGTATTGAAACCGATAAAGATACCAACATGACAACGCCACCACGCGCATGCAGCCCTCAACAACAACATCACCATGAAGAAGACAATGAATATCACTACATGATGGAAAAACAACACGTTGAAGAAAAGCATCGTTTGGTCCAATCATTCTTAACATGTGGTGTGCTTCCATGTGCTTATCCAGCTCAACAAAATGCATCCTCATCAACATCATCAGCCAAGCACGAAGAACAAGCCAATGATCCTTTTGCACCTTTTACTTTGATGACTATCTTTTTGGGACTTGCTTCACAAATGGGAGTAACGGATGATTGGACACTTCCTATCACCTTGACGGTTTTGGTATCAGGATTCTTGTGGTCTGGTGCTGCAAAAGGCGTACAATTCAAGGTCAAGCTCAAGTAATGTACGATTGACAGCACAAGCTTACCAAAGGAGCACACTTTTTTTTGACAACGGCTCATCACCTCCTTTCCGCATCAACCCCCGATTATCTTTCTTTTGCCACCACCAACGCCGCCGCCTCTCCAATACTCGCTTTTACTCCTCCTCCTCTTCACCATCATTCTCCCCCTCTCCTTTGGATCCATGACTCCTTCCCTTTTTACCAACCCTTTATCCAACATTATCCCCCGCCCCATTAACCTACTGCATAGACGTCCTCGAACTTGTAGTTCATCTCTCTCCCCACCTTTGTAAATATTTTATTCATCTTTACCCTGGAATTTCCCCCATTCTGTACTCAATAACATCTTAATCTATTATTCATTTCATCATCGGTAATCAGTGCAGCTATGGTTCATGATATGCGGGTTGTATGTGTCATAGTAGTAGCATCATGCATTAAAAGCACCGACCACCACCACCATCACCATCACCACCGCACATCAACAACAAAGAAATTAAGGTTGTTACACAGCCCGTGATGATCGCATTTAGTGTTACCATGCTGAGTATGACATGAATTACATTTACATTTTGCTTTGAGTGCAGCGATTTGCGATAGCTAACTATGTACAAAGAGAGCGAAAGAAGTGTGAAGGGGAAAGTAGAGCATCTTGATGTAGTATTTTGCTGAGGGGTATTTTGTTCTTCATGGTCGTGCTTACGCTTTATCATGATGGAAGATGGAAGCAAGAGTTGAGGAAGGAAAGATGTAAGGACGTTTACGTATGAACTACCGCCGCATAAATAAGCGGTCACTCCGCTATGATCACCAATGTAATGAGATTTTCTACTATTGCTTGGCAGGCGTGTATGAACCTTGACGCTATCTTACTGTGGTGGTCGTACATTCATGAGATAGAATTTGCATATGTATATTAGGTGATTAACTTTATTATCTTCTGAATAAACGTACAAAAGTGGTTGATAGCGCTAGCCAAGGACAAAGAAAAGATAGCAATTGGCATCCTGCCATTTCAATAGCGAATTTACCATCCAATCTGGAAGGCGAGGCCGGCAATTGCCAGAGCCAATGCATAGAAGATGATGCTATAACCAAGGCGGATCAAGCGATGGCCAATGACAAGCTCCACAATTACGAAAAAGACAGTGAAAGCGAAGAAAATCCAGCTCAAAATGAAGACGCCACGAGTTGAGCCTCTGCTGTAGGTGTTGAGCACCAACACGGACAAGAGCATCAAGATGTTGTCGCGCAAAAGACGATGAGCACCCCAAACACGGCTAGCAATACCACCTGGAGCTCCACCACCAAAGCGATTCAAGAATCCAAAACGGCCCGATTTGGCTGCTGCAGCTTCTTCATCAGCGGTGGCAGGTGCTGCTGCACCTGTAGCATTGACGTTGGGAACGGCGTTGTAGGGATCACCAAAGGCATGACGAATGACATAGACGAAGCCCCAAAGCACCCATAAGGTTAAAAAGGCAATCCAGCTTGAGCGGATGTATCCGTCAGTAATGAAAGCACCGAAATCTTGAAACATGACGAAGATGTAATGTGTCGATTAAAAAAGAAGAAGAAAAAAAAACGCGTGCCACCCGCCATCACCATGCTCTCCAATTTATATGGAAAATGTTGAAGCGGGGGTTCTACTAAAACGTAGATCCATGAACAAGGGATGATGATGATGCTTGCATAGCAAGTTTCGGATATACAATGTAAAGTCATCATGATGACTATGCAATCACATGTCATTTCAACGCCTTGGATCACTTACAATGTGGGATTCGCACAAGATTGTTGATTGTTTACTGAAAGTGCTGATGGTCCATTTTGACTATCATGTTGTGTTGAACAATTACCCCCCAACCCTCGGTAAGATTAGCGTCATAAGGACAGCTATTGTATGTAATGCTAAGGTCTTAGCATGGCTAACAGCACAAACACAGGCAATAGCATGCCAGAAGCACGTACATCTATAAGCATGGGTGCATAGGGTGAACATGGGTTGCGACATGTAGTTGAGAGGCACCATGCTTGACATAGGTCTTGAACCCAATATCCAGAATTTTTCTGCCATCAACCTCGTACAATAACGCAAACCCCTGCCATCATGATCAATGCATAACCAAGCTCTTTTGTCATTGCGAGGTCATACCTTAAGTGCTGTGTCCTTCTACACTATTCTACCTCTCCCCCCATTGATACCATTAAAACGTTGATCAGTGTAGTCATCGAGTTTTATCATTGATCTGTTACAGGTCTATGTCAACTATTAAGTACTATCTGAATCATCTAATACAGGTACTACAAAATAACGTGTGAATGAAAAAGATGCGCATGGGTTGAGGTTGAACTTTGGGGAGGCTTACCATGCTGCTGCTGCCCGATACCAAGTCTTTTCTTGACACGTTCAGAGAACAAAATGAATTGCAAAACAATAACCGAATCGATCGAAAGTTGGATTGCACCGCAAATGATGAATTGAAGAGGTGAATGGGTATAAATAAAGTAGAAAAGCTTAAAGCTATCGCCAAAAAACTTTTAATGCATCACGTGAGTACGCATGATATGTCCTTCCTTTCTTGATAATATACATACCCAGCTACCAAGCACTAGAAAACTAAACCCAGCTGTGGAACGACGACGAAAGTTGGAAATGCATTGGGGTACGGGTAATGTGCTCTCGATACCAACGCTTACAAATCCAAGGACTTCAACGAATGCAGGGAAGCGGCCAAGAAGAAGATATAAAACGGCAACAAAGGTGGTGAATCCAAGCAAAAAGTTGATGTAATCAATGTAATGGTTCCAAGCCCAACATGACCGAATAAAGCGAGGCAATGGTATCATGGAGGATGAACGTTGTGTGCTAGTACCACCACCTCCACCAACAAGTTCTTCATCTTCTTCGTCGTCATATTCCACTGAAGACTGGTCATCCAAATTGCTGTACAAAGTCAAAGGACTCGGGTGATGGCGATAGCGAACGACGATTTCCAATAGCACAAGCATAGCAAGGATCATCACAATCGATTGAGCAAAAAGGGTCGTATCGAATCGTTTGCCAAACCTATAATAAGAAACCACATGTCAATCACTTGTTGTCGTTTCCTTAGCTGCATGAAGATGATATATACCAAAAGAATACACGAAGGATACTGTAATGATGATCAAATGAGTTAGTTTGACGCCATTTCTATTTGACAGCGGCTACTTACTTTGCGATCAAAAGAACGGCACATGTCATTGAGTTGAATCCGGCACTCGATTGCTTACGACGGATAATAAAATACTATACAGTTGGCAGGTCTTGGCATGAGCAAAAGTAAAAAGAGGGAGAGTCTGCATCTGATTTACCTGGTCAATGTAGCCCACGATGGGGCCTATTACCATCGCAACCGACAATGCTAGCTGTGCAAAGTCGGGCATTGAGAGAGAGAGAGAGAGAGAAGAGAGGAAGGTGTAGAAGAGTAGAAAGGGGTTTCACAGGAAGCGCTCAAAGTAAACCACAACTACGACAATTCCCGGAGCGCTTCTACTTTTGGATTCGCCGCTCATTTTGCCTTTTCGCATGACAAACATCATAACATTGCATGGACCAACTCACTCTGACCACTTTTTCATCATGAATAAATCCCATGACAATTATCTCTTACAAGGCGGGGTTGAATGTTGCCAAGACACACACGCGGTATCCATGGTGATGAAAAATCCTCCCTTTTATCATCTGCTACTTGTGCCGCTATGTAGCATGTTAATGACTAATATGGAAGTTTGCTACTATTTCATCATGCAATGAGTAGTCTTCATATGTGATGGCATACATTTGTACATGACAACATCATTTCATATGACATGTGTGTCGTCAATATTATCGATACCCCTGGATCATTACCCTCAATGATATCTCTCAATAAACGTTATCTCCATACATCATACGAGCTGCATTCATTTAATGCGAGGTATTGTATACATTACTAAGAGGAATATGTGCTATGGTGTGCGAAAAGACTTGTACTACATTCAACCGATTTCTGATCGACATGGATTTGATCTTTGTATTATGCATTCTTCTTCGTAATTGTTATGGATGGAATCCGCACCGGCATGGTCCTGGTCATAATGTTAGATACAGTACCAAATTACCAATCATAAAGTTCGTATGCTTACGGAGGGTTCTGCGACGATAGATGCGATGAATACAAATGAGACAGTTCGCTACTCAAAAAAAACCGTTATGAGCCTACACTTTGATTAACAATAGGTTACCTACCTCGATTTTCTCCATGCTGGCACGATCGACAATGAGGACAATAACCTAGCCAAGTAGTGTTAGAAGAACATTTAGAACACGCATTCTCACTAGTACACTCACCATGATTTCTTCCATGGGGGCATATACGGCGGTCTATGATATCCTTGTAAGTATCTTGTTTTGCTGATATGTACAAGAAGCAAATAGGCGATGTTCATTACAATCGGATGGGGTTTCATAGAAAGAGACTAGCGAATAGGAAGGCTTGGATGTTGACGTAGTGTTGAATTTTTCCCTGCGATAACCAAGCAATTCGAGCAATGTTGGCTTGGCTTGGAATGGCTCTTTATCTTTTGGTTAGCTTTCGGCAAACCTTGAGATGCATGGGCGTAAAGCGGGAGCAAAAATCTGCTCAAATCCAAAGGATCATCCCTGCCTTGAGTTTGGATATGATGCAACAACGGAGTTGACGTCTCGATGGCATGTACTTATGTCACCTACAAAGGAGTCCCCAAATCTCCCATCAGACTGAGGTTGCCTTTTACCTATAGATGATAGGTATTATACCTACCACAAAGGGTCTTTCGAGGAACACAACATCCAAAAGCCATTAGGCACCAATAATCAATGGCGTGAGCTACACAAATGAATGCATGAATACCCTCATTTTGGGAATCATATAGAGTCTATCCTTGAGACTTACCATCAAAAGCATTGATGATGGTATGCATACAAGTAGAAAGAAAGGGCGTATGGTAGTGCTGGTGACAACAGCCTTGTTTATATATGAGTTGGCGTGGGAATTGTTGTCATGATGGATCAAACTGATAGAGTGGCCAAGCATCTTGGGAATACAGAGACGAAGTGATGGAAAATCAACAGCCTGATACAACATGAACCAACATGCGGCTTTAATGGTGGTTTTTTGTAGGTGACAAAAGTATGTCCTCATTCTTGCGGATGCTGGCTAATGCATATTGGATCCATCATTGGTGTAGAAGTGAAAGATAATGAGCATAAACGAAGCCGACATACGCGTTGTGCCTGTCCTTATGCATTTCATGCACCAACGGTGTCGCACCAACTGCTAGTTACTATCCACCTTTCTCATTGGCCAGAGTTTTACTATTGAGTATTCTTATTCGTAGTTACCATTCTTCGATTTTATTGGCTTGAGCGGCCCCACCCACGCTATCCGTGCAGGCAATACGCAGTCCTTCCTCCGCCAAACACCCCGACACTTGAGGGAAAAAAAAACTATAAAAGAGGGAGTTGCCCGTGGCCCTTTGATTCTGTTTATCGAATCAAATTTTTACGAGTACATGCCACGATGTCGGTCTGTCATTTATTTGGCGGTGGCCTCACATTGCCAGGCTGGTCAATGACTAGCCGTGTACTCCAGAGAAGTGTTCTCCACCCGAAAGGGCGAAACGGTGCCTTTTTGTCATTCATTTGACTCGTGAGGTTCTGTGCCGACAGGGAACTATATTTCTCTCTCTCTCTTTCACACACAAAAAGAAAATGATATTTGAGTGACTACGGTTGCACATTATACTTGTTCTCATGAGCAAATTGTTTGCGTTTATGAATTGTGAAACAGTCGCCAACTCCTTGGAGGATTCCTGTTGCTGTTCCCAATCTACTTACTTTTTATACATACATGCAAGGGATGAATTGGAACAATGATGCTACTTGCATCAGGCTGTTTATTGTAATTGCATAATGGGGTTATCATAATGACTACAATTTAGACGTGGTAGTAGTAATAGCAACATGAGCAGCAGTAATAATGAGGGCCATCATGGGATGTATCCACTGCTTTTACGCCAAGAGGGTGGTCCATTATCATTCTTTTCCTTTCTTCCTTCCTTCTCCCACACATCTCCCTTTATCCCCTTTTGTGTTATCCTTCTCAAAGAGTTATCCATTGCTGTCAACACGCCTCATTGGTGAATCAACTTGATGGAAGTGGTCCAAGTGCAACCACGCGACTCGTATCTCCACTATATCTATGTCGGCACCAAAGACACCACGATCTGCTGGTCATTCACAACGAAGCGCAAGAGCATTGCCTTTGGATTGTATCGACGTCTTGGTCCTGCTCGCTTGCCATCGTCATCGGAATTCATCTTTCAAGCCCAACAAGAGCAACAGCAACGCCGTATTTCTGTGGCCGCTGAAACGTTTCCACACCAACAAGGTTTGACACTACTGTTGTGCATGGTTTAAGATGGATGGGCTATTGTATCTTACAGTATAAAGTATAGTGGTCGCACCAGCAACTGAACAACCATCATCACCACAGCAACAACAGCATAAGCGATCCAACAGCTTGAGCGAATACCCTAAATCATCAGGGCTACATCATTTACTTCACAGCAAAAAGATCACCAATGGCACACAAAGCCGAGGCAACAAAGGAGCCAAATCATCGATGGCATCCATCAAACTCAAGGAGCAAGAAGATCTCATTGAAGTGATACCCATTCAACATTGCACATCAGCCAATATCAAGGTGGAAGGCAATTACACGGTCAAAGTGCCTGGCAACTATATCCTCGTATTTGGTAAATAGGCTGTGGGAGAGGACATGTCACCTGTGGAATGAATGATTAACATGGGCTGCATGAACATGCATATAGATAACACATTTTCACGCAACACACCAAAGATACTCAGTTTCTCGGTTGCTTTGATTGATCCGAATACCACTCATCCTCGATTGTCGTTTGATGATGAACCTCCCAATTACATCGTTTCAGGATGGCTGTTGAAAAAGAAACGGAAAAAGCTACAAGGTAACATGGGGAATAGGGTAAACATGAGATCATTCTATGTATAATTGACTCAAGTCATTAGGATGGGCAAGACGATGGTTTCAATTATCAGCATCTGGGGTACTTTCCTATTCGACCTCCCCTGCCAGTGTCACGCGAGGCTCCATCCAGATCCTTGTCGCTACCATCTCCATTAATCCATTGCAACGACTTATCCACATTGATTCAGGCACCATGCTTTATCATCTCAAGACGTTGAATGCCGAGGATCAAGCCAAATGGACCAATGCTTTACGTGAATTTCGCATGCTTCCTAACAGCAACAACAATGAGGAGCAGCAACAGCAGTATCCTCTTCAGCATCCAACGGATCCTTCTTCTTGCATGCTGCCACCCACACCAACATTTGAAAAGGAGGATCATGGTCTACGCCATTATTTGAAAGAGGGATCTGAAACGACAACACAATTAATGGCTGACATGGAAGCGTATCTACATCGCATTGATCAGCTGGTTGCTCAGCTTGGATTATCGACCGCACATTTGGCACCAGAGAGGAAGCACATTATGGACATCATGGGTTATCAAAAGGACCTTTGGCATAAAGCAATGCGTTATTGTGATGAGGAACAAGCATCCTCGACAAAGCAACCCGAAACGCATTTGACCTTGCCGCCACCACGACGCGAACTCAGTCCTTTTATCCACCACAGCAACGCTTCTTGGAGAGGATCCGCCATATCAGACCAGTACTTTGATGCCGAAGAGATCTTGTTGAGTGATGATGATGAAGAGGATGAATCGCCTGTCGTGGTGGATGATACGGATGATGACGATGATGAAGATTATGATGATGATGGTATGTAAGTTTGAGGATGGATTTTACAAGGTGACATACCCCTCATGGTGTATGTAGATCATCGTTTATCACCCTTGGGGATCATGCATCAAACATGTCAACGCCGTCAAATTCTTCCTTCACCCGTTGCAAGTGCCGAGATATCAGCATTATCAGTCATTCGCAAAAACGTGGGCAAAGACCTATCCACCATTTCAATGCCAATCAGCATGAACGAACCTTTGAGCCTGTTACAGAGAGCATGTGAAGAATTGGAATACTCGGAACTCTTGGATAAGGCTTCTACCATGTCCAACTCCATGGATCGTCTTTTGCATGTGGCTGTCTTTGCAGTCTCAGGCTATGCTTCTTCACAACATCGTGTGGGTCGTAAGGTTTGTGAAAGACTATGCCACTTTTTGCAACAGCAAGCTGATACCAACACTGTACATACATGTAGCCTTTCAATCCAATGATGAATGAAACATACGAGAATATCCGACCTGATAAAGGCTTCCGTTTTATTGCTGAAAAAGTATCCCACAACCCTGTCATCATAGCGGTAAAGTATTATCCTCTTTGAAAAGCGTGTACGTACATACTCATCAATTATCCAGGCACATGCTGAATCGTCCAATTACAAGTACTGGCAATGTGTCAAGGTCCGAAGCAGGTTTTGGGGTAAATCCATGGTAAGTAAAAAGGTCGTTTATTATTGCATCCAGGGCCTAACGCTGTACTAGGAGTTGATCAATGAAGGGACCTTCCATGTCACATTGGCTGGGCATGACGACCACATTACCTATTCAAAACCATCGAGTTGGCTTCGCAACATGATCGCTGGCAACAAGTATTTGGAGCATGTGGGTGAAATGAAAGTGGTCAATCATGCGACGGGTGAGCACGTGGTGGTGACTTTTCGGGAGAATACGACGTCTACTGGCGGCTACTATTTGTTTGGTGGCTCATCATCACGACCCTCCAACGAAGTCATCATGACCGCTTATGATGCTCAAGGCAAAAAGTGTCGTCGCGTGGTTGGGAAATGGAATGACATGCTGGCTGAGGAGGTCAATATGGATCCCCAACATCTCTCAGTGCTATGGACTGCCACACCACCTACCATGAATGATCCATCAAAGTACTATGGATTCACCCAGTTTGCCATTGAACTCAATGAAATTACATCCATCGAACGAGATAAATTACCAAAGACCGATTCACGGTTACGTCCCGATTTGAGACTTTATGAAAAAGGTAGGTGGGATTGATAGATGGTTTTTCTTTCAATCCATGCTAACGTCGTTTTATAGGCCATGTTGAGGAAGCGGATCAAGAAAAAGTTCGTATTGAACAAAAACAACGAGAACGGCGTCGTGAACTTGAAATGGCTGGTGTGGAATGGAAGCCAAGGTGGTTCAAGCTTGAGCATGATCCATACGCTGAGACTCCTTTGACACCATCTCAAGAAGGGAGAACATGGCAATTTGTTGGAGAGTATTGGAAAGCAAGAGAATCAGGACAATGGCCTAAAGATCAATTTGACATTTGGTGATGATGATGATGATGACAAGGGTTGGTGTTGTGTATATGTGTTGCATGTTTTTCTTTTTTGTCTATACTACACAGATATATGTATAATCTCTCAGTATCCGCTAAAGTAATATTTTTGTACAGAATAAATCCTCATTTAAAGGTTCTTAAGGACAGCATTGACGACATCGGTGGTGGAGCTCTTGCCACCAAGATCAGGGGTCAAGACCTTGCCTTCAGCCAAAACAGCATCCACGGCATCATACATCTTGAGGGCTTGTTGGGTATAGCCGAGGTGCTCGAGAAGAAGACCAGCGGAACGAATGGAAGCAATAGGGTTGGCAATGCCCTTACCAGCGATATCAGGTGCAGAACCATGGACAGGCTCACCAACAACAAAGTTATCACCGACATTGGCAGAAGGGACAACACCTAAGGAACCAACCAAAGCAGCAGCACCATCACTATAATCCACCACCCCCATTATTAGTATACCTCCATTGTAATAAAATCCTTTTGCTTTCTTTTTTACCTGATAATGTCACCGTAAAGGTTGGGAGCAACAACAACATCAAATGCTTCAGGTTCACGGAACATGCGATACACCATGGAGTCGACAAGCTGTTCTTCCATATCAACACCACCATACTTTTCAGGGTTCTGCTCCTTGACAGCGCGAACGGTTTCACGCCACAAACCATCAGTAACGCTCATGACATTGGATTTGTGAACAATGGTGACACGAGGATTTTGCTATATAGATAATGACATAAGCATCATACCCCCTTTTGCTCCCACCTCTCATATTGAACCTACCTTCCAGAATCGCTTATCCAAAGGCTTTTGCTCACGCAACTTTTGGCGAGTCAATGCCATATTGAAAGCCATGGTACCAGCACGCTTGGAAGCATACTCAGTGATCTTACGATCGGCCCATGCGACCTTGAGACCGGTTTCAGGATCGACTTCTTGACGTTCGGATTTGATATACTATCATTCATCATCCCAATTTCCCCATAAGCAAAAGGTTTCCATGCCATTCCCTTTCCCCTTAACAGCATCCAACCACTTACCAAGCATTCGGTGTTTTCACGAATAATGAGCATATCAAGTTCACGTTGATCAGGGAAAGCAGGCGATTTGACAGAGGCAACAGGGCGTACGTTGGCGTAAAGATCCAATTTCTTACGGAGAGCAACAATGGGAGATGAATAACCAGCAACCTTGTGGGATGGCGAGCTGACAGCACCAAACAAAGCACCTTGACATTCATTCTTCAAGACCTCCAAAGTCTCTTCAGGAAGAGCTGTACCGGTCTTTTGGAAATGCTCAAAACCAGCATCCAAGTTCACAAATTCAAACTTGGGACCATCGGTGAGCGACTCGAGCACAGTACGAGCAGCCTATCATTTCATTAGTCCATGTTGTTGTCAAGGCATCATTGATTGCAATAGACCTACAGGAATGACTATAAAGCAAGGGTTCAGTATTCGTATCTGTTATCATAGGAGTAGATCCATCATCTTACCTTCTCTACCAATACCATCAGCAGGGATCAAGCCAATCTTGACAGAGGAAGGAGCAGCAGCAGTGGCCAAAGTACGACGAAGAATGGAAGAAGCCATTATGTGAAGAAAAAGGAAAGAGAAACAAGTGGTGAATGTCAAGGGGGGTTGTGCAATGTCAAATGCGTCGGAGTGAGGGGGGATCATTTCTATCATCTAAAATAAAGGCTGGTTTCAAGCCTTGATGATCAGCTGTCACATCTCGCATCTTCACTCACTGCTCAAAATGGTAATTGATTGCCTTTGCATAAGATCCATTTCATCAGATAATTTTTAGCTTGATCAATGCACACACTCTCAGTTCAACCGTTGCCATGGATTATACCTAGCATGGCAACGCATCTATTATTGGTCACTTTTGAATACAAAGTCAGTCGCATGAATTGCTAATTCACAAACAGGCCGTTTTCTTCTTTGAGCTTTATCACAAAGTAATGCTTTTATATTTTACAACAATGTGTAGGTATTTGGGGGTGAATGTGTGTGTGTGTGTGTGCGTCTCTGTATGCGTTCAATATGGTTGTTGGTAGTGGAGGGTTGTGTGGGTGGGTGTATGTAATGTGTGTTGTATTTACTGGGCCTTGGCAGCTTCTTCCTCAGGCTTGGTAGCTTCAGCAGCAGGCTTTTCAATTTCACCTTCGGGCTTCTTGCTCTTCTTTTCCTTCTTCTTCTTTTCCTTGACAGGCTTAGCCTCAGGGGGTGGATAGGCCAATGCAGCGATCTTTTGAAGTTCAGGGTCTTCAAACTCCTTGCGAATAGGATCCAAGAGTTCGTTGATAGCAGCAATCACACCAGCCTTAAGATCACCAGGATGCAATTGCTTGTTGGCAAAGTCCTCCTCAAGCTTTTCATAGCTGTCGTAAATGATATCGCCACCCCACTTTTCAGGACGAGGGCAGACAAAAGTGGGCTTGCCGTTGTTGAGACTCTTGAGAGGGAAGTACACAGCCTTGATGAAGGAAAGGAGACCGTTTTCAGTGATGTTGCCTTCCTCACAGAATGCCTTTTTGATCTTCTTTTGAATAGCCTTTGCATCATCCAAAAAGTCAATCTTGGAATCGGGATCGGAAGCCGACATCTTGGAACCAGTCAAACCAGGCACCATAGGGTTCATCAAATGGGAGCGCTTCTTGTAGCCAATTTGAGGAAGGTACTTTTCGGCAAGGACGAAAATCTTGCGTTGATCCACACCACCGAATTGACAGTCGACGCCAAGGTATTCCTCATCCAATGCTTGCATGCCAGGATACAACAAACCAGACAAGAGGGGCGAGGCGACTTGCTTGACGACTTCAGCACCAGCCTTTTTGGCATCGTGTTCAGTGATGCATGCGGCCAACTTGAAGTTATCCATGGTGTACTCCTTGGAAAGTTCATAGCTGGAACCAATCACGAATTCAAGCTTCTCGAGAGGAACACCAATGGAACGAAGCACGGCCTTGACAATAGCTTCATAGTATTTGACACGGTGAGCCACCAACTCGAGAGGAGCCTTCATGTTGTCAAGGAAAGCGTGCAAATCGGCAAACAAGATCTTGACCTAAACGATACCCCCTTTTTGTCAACATTGTGTTTTCCTTTTGAATCCTTTTCAACACACACAACTTACCTCACAACCAGCAGCCAAAAAGTCAGCAATCTTGGTCATTGGGACAAAGTAACCAACATGAGGACGACCGGTGGGAGCACTGCCCCAGTACAACTTGAGATCACGCTCGGCAAGCACCTTTTTGATTTCATCGCCACCAAGGACTTCCTGCAAGTTGCGGGTAATCAAGTTGTATTTCTCGTCAGCCGAAAGGTTGGACATTGGGGAAGGGGTCTAAGAAAAAAGGACAAGGAAAAAGAGAGAGAGAGAGAAGTGTCTAGGTCTGACACGCCGCCCTATGATTAGCTATGACCGTTCCTGAGTCACAAGCCATATTTTGCAGCCACTCTCTCACCCAGTAAATTCTTACCTAACACCAATGATAGGAGCCCAAGGACCAATTATCCCTATTAACATGAAACATGATATCCAATCATTGTTTTCCATTGAATAAAATGTCTTGTTATTGTCGAGAAGGATTAAGAATGCTTGAGAGTACCTTGTGCTATTATCGACACACACCAACCCGGTCATTATACGGTGCATTGATGTTATAGTCTCTTTGACGGTACAACTGACAACATCCACATCACCACACCATAATGAAATTCTCTTTTCGATAGCAAGCAATGTATCATTGTCATTTGGGTAAAATCACTATACTACACCATCATTTCAACAATGAAAATGTCAAGTGGTTGACACTTTAATGATAGAGCATCATCTACACTATGATACAATATGATTTATTGGTGGTAAGATTAAGCTTAGACCATGTATATGATGTGACAAGGTTAGGATGAAAGATCACGTGATACGAGGTGATGAGCAACAATTGACAGGCAGCAGCCCATTGTCGGGATTCATTTTCACCATCCTGCATATTGGTCTTGACACTCACAGCTCACGTCCCTTTCTCTTTTGACACGCGCCCTTTTTCTCTACACACACACACACACACACGCAATACTTGACATTGGTTGTGCAATCGTGTCTACATTACACCACTCGATTGAATTGTACTCGACACCAATGCTTACACGCAATTACACAGCGGCAGACGATCCCTCTTCTTCAAGTCAAGCCGACTCGCGCCTCTCGCTTGGATCACCTTTATCACAAGGGGGTGATACAGACGACTCTCCTTCTCGTGAATACACCTCTTCAAGAATCATTTATGCGCATCAAAGCATGGATGTTGATGGTGATGACGATGGTGATGATGATGATATGCATCCAACTCGGCCATCGACGACATTGAGCGATTTTGATCAACAACGATTTGAGCAGGATGTCCTTGATCTTTCGATAGCACATCATTCGAGTTATGCTGTGGGTGGTTCAGATCGTGTTCTTCGAAGTATGCGACATGCACATGACACCAACATGGGACGTCGTCGTGCACTTAGCAGTAATAATGAACAGCATACAATTGGATCAGAGACATTATTACCATCCTCCAACAGACGCAACAACCTTCGTTTTGCTTATCAAAGACAAACCAGTACGAATGGAAGCATCAATCACAATGAAGATGGTCGAGATCGTTCAACACCCTCCAATAGTACAAATCATCATCACGATCAGGAACAACAACGTCAACGTGAAGGCTTGGAAGCTCTTACTCGCATTGAAACCCAATTCGCTGAGTTGAGGAATAGGTACGTAATTAACCATGATGGTCGTTTTCATGCTCACTTACATGATTCTAGGATATACCAGGAAAGGATGGCCGAGTTGAATCGTGAGGCTTTGATGATTTCTCAAGGTAATGGGAATTTCAAGAACATTTAGCATTGTGTGGGTTATTCATACCAGAGGATAGGGACACATCCTGAGATGGCGCCTTTTTTCCAAGTACTCGATCAAAGGAAAGCTGATAGGACCAGGGAAGCTGAAGCCTTGTATAAGCAAAGGAAGAACGTCATCCGCAACGAATATGATGCAATCAAACACCAAGCAAATACAGAATTTGTGGTATGTACATGTGTAACAACACCAAGCTGTCATTGTAATAGAGGCCCTCTCACATTGAATACTTTACATAATAGGCAAAAAGGAAGGATTTGAAAGAGAAACTTTTGGCGAATCTCCATCAGCAGCTATTCCAATTGAAATATGAGAGAGAAACCTTATTACGTAGGATGGCGACACCACGTAAGTAACAGCAGCGAACCAATGATGCATCAGGATACTAATAACAAATGTGAATACTATGCACAGCCGGCAATCGTCACTCAGCCATCCTTAGCCGACCCTCCATGAAAAGACAGAAACAGCAGCAACAACAGCAGCACAAGCCCCGCTATCCGAAGGTTGTTCCGATACCTCAGGGTCTACCCCAAGCTTCTGCATGCAAGGACCTCAACATGATCAAGGTACTATATTCGTGGATGGGGTCATTGTTTTTCTACCAGGTCTCATGTTTTTCCTTTTTCTACTTTTAAAGAACAAGTGAGTGAAGACACCATTATCTCCCCAAGCGATTTCTTTGAATTCTTCCTGAGTATAACACACACGTGGCTCACTAATGTAACTTCTTCTTTCAGCATTTCCCAGCTTGAACAACAATGAGACACGACGACGCACTTTTGTACGATGATGATTGATGTCCCATCACAATCCCAGTCTTCCTCCAACACACGACCACCATCATCTAAAAGGCCAGGCGAATGGAATATATATGTACAGCAACCACCCATCATCCAACAAAAGAAAGAACGGCTATAACAACAATAACCAATAATGGGACCAACAACCAAGGCGTCTCATTCTCCTCTCACCACTTGGGCTTAGATGGCGGCAGTTTAGCAACAATTTTCAATGACGAATTGAACGACACCAACTTCTTTGTAATTGATTACATACACACATTTGCTCCGATTTACATCCCAACCTTGTTTATGTACAGCAATCCTCACATTTGACAATGGCGCAAAAATAGCAAACAATGAACCACAATTAAACTTTGAACAACAATATTAATTCCGTGTGAGACAGCGTCGTGAAAGGAATGTGATGGAAAAGAGAAGAGAACTATATACCATAAGAAGTGTACCATAAGGGAAAAAAGAAAAAGACATAATACAAAAGAAGGTGTGGTGTGATTACAATACAAAACGTAAAGATCAATTTACAGCTGTGATGATTTGGATGGGAATGTATGACTTGAAAGTCGATGATGTGATTATGTTGTTGGTGATGGATGCGTAGTATAAGATTTAGCCAATGTTGATGGTGGTGGAATGCATTTAGAAACCGGTTCTTCCGATGGAAACACATTCGTGATTCAAAACCATGTATAGCTCGGTTGTGTTGATATAGGCCGGGAAGCAACCAATGTAAATGTTGCCATGTGATTGTGCCCGCCAAAGTTTTTCGATCAAGGCATTGTTTCGATCGTCAAAAGGGGTCCAGGAGTTTCCAGCTTGATAAACCCAACGTGCCATGATGAAGAAGATGATGTATGTATGTAAAGGTGAGATAAATGTACGAGTACAAGGAAATCCGGTTCTCCAAGTTGCAGTATTTATAACCATCTTGCGGGTCTTGCTGAGCATGGATGCCAAGAGGTAAAAGCAAGTAGATAGGGATCATCCATGTAACTATAAAAAAATGACACTCTTCCACCATGGTGCAACAATGATGCCATGGTGGGTCCAGATCCCCGGAATATTATCTCTACGCTGCGAGTCAGCTGAGCAAATGTGGCGGCAATGGGGCTGATGCTACCGTGTGTGTGGTGTGTGCGAGTGTGGCTGGAAAATCCATTTATAGCGCAGACAATAATGGAATCTTCCATCGGTATCACGAGTGTCTTTTTCAAGTTACAGCATCCCGCCACCCTTTCCTAAAAGACTGTGATAACGACACAATGGCGACAGGTACCTTTTTCCCAAATGCGAGGACATGTCTCAAAAAGGCCAACCACTCATATCGGTTATACAATGAGCTTTATTATTGTTTACGTAGACAATGGTGGATGTTGACCATTATATGATACAAATGCAAGAAGGATAAAGTACGATTCATGGATCCGAAAAAGATCGGGTATATGGGTAGAGCATGCTGATGTGGGAAGATTAGCAGCCTGTGCGAACGATCCGAACCCAAGTATTGTTATTGACAAGCATTTGCAATTGGCGTGGATAAACAACTGCAGGGAGGCGGTTGACGATCACTTGGCCATTACGTGAAGACCGCCAAAATTGCTCCAAGACGCGATTATTGTTGCCATCAAAAGGAACCCATGTATTGCCAGCTTGGTAAACCCATTGGAAAGTCATTGTTGTTGTTTTGATTCTTGTGGTTGTGTAGATAAAGTATGTTGATAAAAAAAAGTCCTCTGATGGAATGGGGGCTTTATATATGTTGTTGAAGGGTTGTCCTTTTTCTGGAAACAGCATCATGATGGGCTCAATCCACTGCTTATTCCTGATATGTGAAGCAATCGTTGTTATCATCGGCATCACCGAGTATCAGCATGGCCATCGGAAGGGTGGTGGTACTTGGTAGACACCGAAAAGGAACACTTTTGATTGCCAAGAGAAGTAAATGAGGAAAGCCAAGTGGTGGTGGTGGTAATGTGGAGTAAAGGGTGGTACTAGTAATGAAGCGCTGCAACAGCAACAAAGTGATGACAAGAGCTGTTGTTGCATGGCACATGTCATATGTCAAAGCCTTGCCGAAAATAGGGAATACTTTTTCAACATGAGGACCGAGAGCAACGGTTGATCAATTATGTATTTGTACAATGAAAATGTAAGCTCTGAGCATTGTGCGCGAAGATCCGCCCGCCATTATGGTGTTTATGCAGGGTAGCATCTTCTTGTGTCACCACCGTAGTCATATTTGCTTCTTTATCATGAGCCGATTCTATTTGATATGAGCAAATTACGCTATAGCACCTCCGCAGCAATATCAGTCATCGTTATTCAACAATGCTTAGCTTCCGGTACAATATCATTTTGAAAGAAGGACCTAGCAAAACTGCGAGAGAGAGAGAGGTATGTTGCACATACATGGTCGGCATTCCGATTGGCTCTTTAAAGTGTGCATTGATCTTCCATGACGACATCATTCGTTCGGTAACACATGCACGCTGCTGTTGCTGTTGCTGCCCCACATCACCTAGACTGGCGATGGCTTGGGCTTCTCGCCATCAAAGAATCCACATGACAGCATTCCCTTTTTTTGGCTTGAGGCTTGTGCTGCGCATCTACAAGAAAAAAATTGATTCGTCTCCATGGCAACACCTGATAACGCCATCCACTCACCACCACCATGCTCACGTGCAGAACGTCTCACTGCCGTTGATACCCTCGTTTCATGTGAAGTCTTTATTTCATTTCTGTACAGGAATTGCGTTTGGATAATATTATGCAAAGGCCAAAAGAGGAAAACCATATACAAGGGATTAGGACGTCCTGATGATGGAAAACCTTGTGTTGTTCAATATCATAAAGAGCTCGTTTACCACCTGGATGTACGCGTTTTGGTTGCCGAATCGCACGTATCCATTTGAGTAAGATCTCCAGAGGCTTTCAATGGCGTGGTTGGCATGGCTTTCAAAAGGCACCCATGTATTTCCTGCTTGATACATCCATTGGTAGGTCATTATGAATTTTGTCGATGAAGAGTGGTGCTTTGAGTACCATCACGGCAACGAAAACGCTTTTTATGTCAATGATCATGAACGACGAATGTTCCTTTTTACTCTCCCCTTGATTTCCTGTTTTCGGTGTCTACGATGTATGGATTGCGGTACTTGTTCTCTTTATGTACAAAGCGGCGCGCATTTGTTGCGTATAGCAGCGCTGGTGGTGGTGGTGGTGGTGGTGCTAAATCACGATGATAATGATGACTTCACTAGACTACCGAATGCTTGCATAATATTTACCCCTACCCCTCCACATCACTGTTTTGTTGCACGTAAGGCTTTGCAGATGCATACCATTGGTCCCGGCGGCGTATTGGGTATCCTGGGATTTGGTTTGATGTGGACGGTGATGGAACATGTAGACGCGTGCCACAAGCCTTGTAATTGCCAAAAGGATATTTCCTGTGGCACCCTTCCAAATCCGGTATCGGTTGAATGCCGATTCAATGCTTTGGACACCACAAGCAGGTGCGTACGGCAAAAAATTCAAGGTCTATGTTATTCGACATCGAATGTTATACCAACTCAGGATATGACATCAACAACAAGTTTGGTAAACAACGTATCAGAGCATGCATTGTAGAGGAAAGTGATAGCAACGTGGTAGCAATGGCTGTGTCAAATACATCAATGGACATGTAGACAATGACAAAATAATGTTGCAATCTAATGTTTATTGAGAAAAGATCGGGTATGATGTTTTGGCCATATAATGGGGAAAAAGACACTGCCGCATAAAAAGAATACATTTTGCTTAAGAGATGAAATCAATGATGTTGGTAGAGGAGGGGCATAGGAAAGTAATTCGTTTGAATGTGAGATGCATGAAATGCCAAAAATGAGGATGACCGGTATACAAAAAGCCATGGAGATGGGATGCATGATGATACGGTGGTGGTGATAGTCTTGATGTTACTTGTTGTTTAGCGCATGAAAGATGTCAATAGCCGGTGCGAGTAATAGCTCTTCGTACGTTATCTTGAAGCATGTATAGGTTGACGGCATTCACATAGGCAACGGTACCAGCATGATAGACGTTGCCATGGGAACAAGCACGCCAGAGATTTTCAATTGCTGCGTTAGCCCGATCATCAAAGGGAACCCAGATGCTGCCAGCTTGATAGACCCAACGGAATGCCATGTTTGAAATTGAAAGTGTAGATGCAAACATGTTTTGATTTCTTCATGGCCTTTATAAATGCAATGGAAATAAAAAGCGGTGCCTTGGCGGAATCATCGGGCACGTAGCGCAGCATCAGTACACAAATCGTTGGCCTTCTTCGACGACCCGCCGATGGTGGTGGTGGTGCTTGTATCAGAGAGAGCCACTATTCTGCTCAGCGAGCATCATTGCGCAAACAAAAAGAGCGATTACACAGGGAAAGAATAAGACAACTAAAGGCGAGAGTGAACCTAAAACAACAACAGACCAAGCCGAACAAAACATCGATACATTGGTGTATAAGTTTTGCCTTCATTTATTATCATCGATAAACGCCCATCGACAAAGGCCGTATCTTTTATTCAATAGCGATCATGTGTCATGCTGTATACATACTACGAGATAGAAGGGTCCATTCCTCGCTCAAGTAACAGTACAATGCTGCGCATCTCGCCTGGCTTGTGGTGGGACAATCATTATCATTTGACCACCGAGGATAAGTGTTTACATTGTGTATGACCAAGCGGCGCTTTAGGCATTTGGGGACGTTTGGGTTATACGACATCACATATCAACCTTATCAGTGTTTTATGTTCAAGAGGGTCAATAATATATACCAAAATGGGAGCGTGTTCAATAATCAAAGCGCATAGTATATACACATGAGGCTTTTTGTTTAATAATGGGTTGAGCATCATATCAGGTGTGGTTGGGTCAAATCGATCATTGAAGTTTTTGTACTCGTCTATTGACTTCCTCAGCGAGACGACCAATGGAAGAGTTCCAGCTCGTAGTCACCGTCTTTAGCATATCATTCATGCTTGCTTGGCCCTCCTATATACAATAAACCTTCAATTACTTTTCCTTGCTATGACTCGGGTTAAAGCAGCCCCAATTTACCTTTGTATTGAAATGTTCGAGTTGGCCTTCTGATGTCGTGATACGCTTAGAGAGCTTCTTTTGCAGCTGCGGCTTGAAGAGCTCACTACCATTCTGTACAACCTTTTGGGTCTTCAAGAGTGCATCTTTGATGGCCGACTGTACAAGTAGAGTGCTCGAGATCTTGCAAAAAGCGCATTAGTTTCATATATAGCACGATCCAACAAATACACTCACCAGCTCATCCGCATTGGCCGACTCAGCTGCCTTTCTCTTTGCCTCTTTACTTGTCAATCCAAGCGATCGTCCAATAGTCTCGGTGAGAATTGCGGTATAATTAAGGGTCTACAAAGAGCTGGTCGTTAGCAAATCTCCGCTCCTCACTCATTGTTTAAAGCTGCTCACCTCTAAGGCCATAGATACTGGGTGGAATGCATTCCATGAAATAGTAGCTTCCTCAAAGCTCTCGGTTGGCACAACTGGATGGTTCGTTGAATAGTGAGTACGTGTGTGTAAAGCATTCATCAGCCATCGTACCTTTTTCTTCCACCAACTTGGCAGCATTCTTCATATGCTCAGCGATCTTTTTGGAATCTATAGTATATACCATCAGATATCATGCTCCCATCCCATACACATGTATGTAACACTTACTCTCCTTACGAGTATTCGGATCCTTCACAAGAGCGAACGCTGAAGCGAGCTCAAACGTGGATTTGGCAAGCACCCATTCCTCATTGGTCACTTCCTTGTCAATGCCATCCTTCGCCAAAAATGCTCCAAAGTCGTTTACAAGCGTAGTAATATCAAGGCCACCCTTGGTGCTGCATGCCGATTTCAATACGTTGAGCACATATGAGAAGAGTTGCAACCAGGTTTTCTATGAAATTATGTTAATAAACGATACATCATCGCGATAAAAAGAATGTACGTACTCCAGTGCTCTTGAAAGGCTTGAAAAGTTCCTCTGCCTTTGGTCGGTCCTCAGCATTGCAATTCATAAATACTTTGAAATCTCTGTTGTCCGATTGCTTGTTAATGAAGGCATCTACATTATATATACATTGATGAATAACAATGAAAACCAATACGCAATAGAATCATCCTTACCGTCACATTTAATCTTGGTGATATCCATATCTTGGAAATATTGCATTGCGTATTTGATCTGGAAGGCGGATCGGGCAGCATCGATACGAGCAAGTTCGATATTGGTGATAGCATGTTGAAGAGAAGCATCAAGCCTTGAACGGAACTCGATAAATTCTTGAATCTAGACGATAGCAATGAGTGAAAACGCTTATGATTTAACTCCTATGTCACTTTTTACCTTTGAGAATGTTCCATGTTGGTATGCCTTGACAATCATTTCTGGAGTCTACTGCATTCTTTAGTTGCTGATTCATACCCATTCAGCATCACCACCAAACTAACCTCCACCTCGTTGCTCTTGTAAATCATCAAAGATTCAAGCAAGACATCCTCGACTTCATCATTACAGCCCAAGGAGTTGAAACGATCGGTAAAGTAATGCCTATCAAAATGTGAGGAAAATGAATCAACAAGCAAACTTAGAATACTTACGTCATGGTGTCGAATTGGATTTGCTTGATGTCCATTGTACGGAAGATCTGCAGGGGGCGGTTGTACACGCCTGAACAAAAACAATGAATCCACGTGAATGTTTCATCCCCTCCAATTGCCATTGACATACCTAGTATTTCATAGAGTCGAACGAGCGTCAACTTGATATGGAAGTTGTAAATGCTCTTGGGTAATGCGCTTTCCAATAATACAATGCCTTGCATCAAGAGCTCTGGCAACTTGTGTTGATGATACAAATCCACAAGCACGTGACTTGCCAATACAACGAAATCATCACCATGCTGACTCTCAGTCTTCTCCAATCCTTCACCTACGGGCAAATTTATTAATGATAGCCGAATAGATAAAGCTAGCCATGCATTACCTAGTGGAAGTGCATCTTGATAGGATTTCCAAAGATCGTTGACGAGAGAGATGCCTTGCTGCAAAGTCAAATTATCTTGTAAACCGAGGAATCGCTCAAGCTTGCGAATATTCACGTGCTTGAAAACGTTCTTGATCTGATCCGACTAGATTGACCCCATCATCCAAAAGTAAGTTTCGATATCCTCATCTTTGGATCCACTGCTATACCTTTTTGTCGGAATCCTTGACCGTATCTTTAAGTGATTGGATAAACGCAAGTGCCTTGTCATTGTTGCCTCTCAAGAACGCCACGTAAGTCTGAACATCTTCAAAGCAGCAGGATTTGGAACCGAAACGCTCAAAATAAGACACAACATTTGCGAGGACCGCCTTTTCATCTACGTAATCGACCCATCCATCAATATCCCTATGACATATCAATTCAATGGAGAAGTCCAATACTCACCTCCTCCCTTTTGTGCTTGGCTTGCCCGATAATCCAATTCCAACTCTGCAAGGAAGGGACCACGCTTCAATACGGGTGCATCCAATGCGCTCTTTTTCAACGTGTCCACCAAAGCATGTGCCTTGCTCAAATCATCCGTGCCTTTAGCGTTCATGGCATCAAAATAAGCCAACCAGCTGATCCAATCATCCGAATTCTCCTTTTCCAAAGCTTGTTCTGCCACGGTCATGACATCATCCCACTTTTCATTAGCCTGCAAGAGCTCAGCCTTGATTTGGCGCACCTCGGGATCACGCATTGACTTTTGACCAAGCGGACTATCCAACAAAGCCAATGCTTCAGTGTGCTTCTTTTGATCCATCAAGATAAGCAGGTATAGACGCAAGTGCTCCACTTCCTCCAATCGACCTTCTTCTTGTGCTTTGGCCATCATACGTTCTGCAAGCGTATAAGAAAGTGCAGAGTCTTTGCCCTAATGATAATCAATAACTCCATCCTTGTATCCCTTCACACTCACACGCTCGTACCTGAAGTGCCAATGACATGATGGCCCAAAAGAGATACTTGTTTTGCTTGAATGTACGATGCAACTTGAGAGCAGCTGCTTGTTGACCCTTGTAATCTCCATTACGCACCATAGCCATGAACCATTTGTTGCCGAATTCTTCGTTGGTGGGCTGTTGGTTAGCTGCATTCTCATAAAGCTCCACAACGGCCGAGTCTAAAATATACGCGTCGTCAATGCAAAGCTCTACCATCCCCTACCCCCACAAAATAAGCTTACGTTGACCGAGTTCTTGGTATGCCATCGTCAGTGCAAGTAGCGTTGGTTGATCCGTTGGAACTGTCTTCTTCACTTGTTGACAAAGACCCTGGGCTTCATCCTCCTTGCCAGTTCTCACATATACAAGAGCCTTCAAAGCCTATATAGGTAACCCCTTACGATAAGAATCTTCTTTTTATGTTTACACACATGTCATGGAGCGAGTTATCTACCTTGATAAGGGGCCAATCGGGATTCTTCTTGAGAAGCTTGTTGGCATGTTGCAAGGCTTGCTTATTTTGCCCGTCATCGATTGCCTCTGGAGAACGCATTCGTTAGCACCATGCTGTTTATAAGATAGAGTCCATTGAGCGTGTGATTACCATAAAGAGGGCGCACTTTCTTTTCTGTAATGTAGTCCATTGGAATGCACCGTGTATATCGCGTGTTCGAGGAAGAGAGGGGCACGAGATATGTGGCGTCAGCTAAAAACAGTGCGGGACCAGCAACAAGAAAGGCAGGATACTCGTGTCACCCTGTTCAGGTATTTACCATTGTTGAATCATGCTCTGCTCTCTTGACACAAAAGATGACAGCAAATAGCATTTGCCCGTTTAGCATTTACATTCATCCACACGCACACACGCACACACACATACACACACGCTACCATATCAGGCACATGCCAATGTTTTCCCCCGTTTGAATACGAATCACATACATATCACCCACCCACCCATGCCACTGCTTTATTCTCTATGATCATACATCCAGGAAAATAAAAGATGAAATGTGTAATGATGGCTCATTTGTATAATATCTCCTGTTGACCGTTTGGGTGGCGGTAACCAAACAGCTGTTTCGGTGAACCGTACCAGTAAAAATGACTATAAACAGAATTGATTGGTTTAAATGCTTCGGTCTCCAGGAGATTGACGATGTAGTCACATCACGGTTGAGTTTCAATGAAACTAGTACAATATAAGCAAGCTCATGCCCCACACCCTTGGAGCAATTCAATTCCTTTTCTTTCCTACACACACACACACACACATTCATCATGTCAGCTGGTTTACGCAAAGCATTTTCTACCGCCAAGGCTGAGAGTACGTTTTTGGACATGAGTTCTTACACACACACAAGGTCGCTGACGTTCAATTCTCCTTTGCACCCTCTTAGATCGACCCGCCTTTGTCACTTTTATCACTGCAGGATACCCACATCCCAACCTTACTGTGGATATTCTCCTCTCTCTTCAACGTGGTGGTGCCGATGTCATTGAACTTGGTAAGGGAGGGAGGGAGGGAAAAGAAAAGGGATCCCAATAATGCATGGATAGGGAACTAAACGATCATTTTTCAAAGGTATTCCTTTCACTGATCCATTGGCCGATGGTCCCACTATTCAATACTCCAACACGGCAAGTAGATACGCTACTCATGTTTAATCGATACGTGTTTCTAACATGCTATGATGAATAACAGGTTTCACTCAAGTATGGTACCGATATGACGATGAGCTTGCAAATGGTGCGTGATGCACGCGCTCGTGGCCTTACCGTGCCTGTGGTATTTATGGGCTACTACAACCCCGTTTTGGCCTATGGTGAAGAGAAGCTTGTCAAGGATTGCAAGGATGCTGGTGTCAATGGATACATTATGGTGGATTTGCCACCTGAGGAATCCCACAGCTTCCGCAACTTGTGTTTGAAACATGGCATGTCTTATGTACCCCTGATTGCCCCATCCACCACCAACAGCCGTATCCCACTTTTGACCGAGGTATCGGATGCATTCATTTACGTCGTATCGCGTCTTGGCGTTACAGGTGCCACTAAGGAAGTAAACAAGGAATTGCCAGAGATGATGGCTCGTATCAAACAATTCACCAATGTGCCCTTGGCTGTTGGCTTTGGCGTGTCAACACGTGAGCATTTTGATCTTGTGGGTTCCCATGGCGACGCTGTTGTTATTGGATCCCGTATCATCACCGTGATTCGTGAAGCTGTGGAAGCTGGCAAGGATGTTCCTCAAGTCGTGGAGCAATACTGTTCAGAAGTATGTGGTCGTAAGCCCGTGGAACTTGCTGCTGCAAGCACACAACCCCAGGCTGATTTGGAAGTGACGGATGCAGCTGGTCAAGGCGTCGTGGCTGTTGGCGAAGGCAAGAAACTCAAGAGCTTTTATGAATTGGCAACCTATTTCGGTGACTTTGGTGGTGCTTTTGTACCTGAAGTCCTTGTTGATTGCTTAACTCAACTCGAACGCGTGTTTATCGATTGCACCAACGATCCTGCTTTCAAGGCTGAGTTTGAATCATACTATGATTATATTGCACGCCCATCTCGTCTTCAACTTGCTGATCGCATGACTCAAGAAGCCGGTGGCGCTAACATTTGGCTCAAGCGTGAAGACCTTAACCATACCGGTTCTCACAAGATCAATAACGCCGTTGGTCAAATCTTGCTTGCTAGACGTCTTGGCAAGAAGCGTATCATTGCTGAGACTGGTGCTGGTCAACATGGTGTTGCTACGGCTACTGTGTGTGCCAAGTTTGGTATGGAATGTGTGGTCTATATGGGTGAAGAGGATTGCCGTCGTCAAGGTTTGAATGTCTTCCGTATGCGCATGTTGGGTGCCACCGTGGTTCCTGTTTCCAGTGGTTCACGTACTCTTAAGGATGCTATCAACGAAGCTATGCGCGATTGGGTCACCAACGTATCGACTACTCATTACCTTGTTGGCTCTGCCATTGGTCCTCATCCCTTCCCAATGATTGTGCGTCACTTCCAATCCGTTATTGGTAACGAAGCCAAGCTTCAACTCCAAGAAAAGCGTGGCAAGCTTCCTGATGTTGTCATGGCTTGTGTTGGTGGTGGATCCAATGCTATTGGTATGTTCCATCCATTTGTTGAGGATAAGTCGGTGCGTATCATTGGTGTCGAAGCTGGTGGTAGCGGTATCAACAGCGATCGTCATTCGGCTACTCTTAGCAAGGGCACTCCTGGTGTCCTTCACGGCACACGTACCTACTTGTTGCAAGATGAAAAGGGTCAAATCATCGAAACCCACTCTGTTAGTGCTGGTCTTGATTATCCTGGTGTTGGCCCTGAGCATTCTTATCTTAAGGATTCTGGTCGTGCTGAATACCGCGTTGCTGATGATGCTCAAGCTCTTATTGGTTTCCGAAAGCTCACTCAACTCGAAGGCATCATCCCAGCCCTTGAATCATCCCATGCCTTGTATCATGCTCTTGAAGTCGCCAAGGAATTACCAAAGGATAAAGATATTGTTGTATGTCTTTCTGGTAGAGGTGACAAGGATATGCACACCGTTGCAGAGGTTTTGCCTGAATTAGGCCCCAAGATTGGTTGGGACTTGCGTTTCTAAAGGCCGGATATCTATCACAATCATTACCCATCTCATGTCCTTTTTCATTCCATTTTCATCTAATGCTTGATTTTCCCCTTCCACAAAAAGTGTCATCCTGTATTTATACGTTTTCAATAAAAGCTCCATATACCTTGACCCCAACAATAACTGATTTTAGATTCAAAAGATGTTGTATTAATACTGTTTTAGACTACATTCTCGAAACTACTTGTTTGACTGATGAAAATAAAAGGGATGATTGGCATAGGAGGGTATCAAGAGCAGAGGATGGCGGTTGAATGGTGCTTGTCATTTTGCTGACGTTGTGGTGATAGTGTTTCTTCCGGTGCTGTTTCGAGGGAGGATGAGGATGAGCTTGGTGTAGAACTATTGGGCTGATATCTTGCATATGAGCTTATTACAATGTTCTTCTGGATCCATCCCATGCACTTACTGTATTGGATGCTGCCCTTAGTGGTGATTGTTGTTGGCATTGTTGCATTCTAAGCTTATTCCAAACATTGGCTGGGTCATTGTTCCTTTCTTGGTGCTCTACCCTACGTGCGTACGATAGCGTCAGCCTTAATGCGAAGCGCGATGAGGGTGATGATTCTCATTTACATTTTGCGTCGTTGTTGTTGTTGCTGCTGTTGTTGGGTATATCGTTCCACACATTCATCAAATAACACTGGGTTGAGGTCCATCATGATCCTAAGCGTGTCTGAAATCAAGTCATGGATAAGCCTATGAGACGAATATTAGATGATGATGACCCTTTTATCAGTGTTAGAATAAATCCTACGTACCGATTCCAATGGCCATTGATGTGTTGATATAAATGAGGGAACACCACAGGCATGATCGTTGTAAGGTTGTCCTTCATGAGGTTGACGATGTATTCATTGTTCCAGTAATACAGAGCCCGCTCTGCAACCTAATATACCCTGCGTAAGAATTTGATGGCCCCAATCCAATATCATGATGAATTACCTGAAAATGAGAGCTGGAAACGCATTGTCCAACCTTTTGGAACAAAGGTACCATGATCAATTTGAATTCCTCAGCATCGGTCACATCGAGAATCTCTTCCAATTCGGTCAAGAATAGCACCTGCTTGTTGCTGTTGACCTTTGGCCAGTAACGCAGTAGACCTTGTATCACCTGTTGTAGATGTTGCGTGAGAAAAGAGGTTCCTTACATCGACAAAGAGCATTTACCTCGGCTGACAATGAAGGATCCTTTTCAAGAAATTGAACCACACAATAGGCAAGTTGGGGATGATAGAGCGTCATCATACTTGGCTTATGAAGAGGAATCAGGACACGGAACAAAAATGTCTTGTGCTCTTGTTTGAGTGGCAAGGCAAATCCATTGATGATGCTATGTAATTGCAAAGAGGATCAGCATCCTGCTGTGTTCTATAATAACCTGCCTTGGATACAAACCTTCCCATGATTTCAAGTAATTCGGCAATCCCATTGAATCGATCCGTCTCATAAATGTATTGGAAAAAGATATTGCTGATGGCCCGTCGAATGAATGCGCGTAATCCTAAGAACTTGCCATAGAGACGATGAAGGATGGTTTTGAGGAAATCACGTTCACGTGGATCTTCGCTGTCGAATAATTCCAGCATCTACCTTCTGTATCAGCCCATGTCACAAGCACCCACACTTTTCTCATGTACCTGAAGAATGAATCTTTGATCAATGTATCGTTTGGCCACTTGTGCATTAAAGTCGGGTGATTCCACAAAGCGTAAAAAGAATTCATACACCAATTGCAAGTGAGGCCAAGCAATTTCAAGCACGGGTTCCTCTTCATCTGCCTCAACGCCTTCTGGTGGAATGGACTTGTTCATTTGAGGGGAGATGGAGCGAAATGTATTGATAGTGAACTACATAGGTACGTAAAGAAACAGAGTTAAAGGATGTCATCATGGAAACATTCCATGCATATGCATGTTCTTTTTGTTTGTATGTGTGTGCATATTTACCATCCGAATCACATCAGGGTAGATTGTATCAGTGATGACTCGTCGTGTGGTAGCCACATATTCCAATAGATCCTGCAACGCTTGTCGCTTGATTTCCTTTCCTTTGAGGTCTTTGGCGGGGTCATTGAAATCAAACATGATTTGACACTGGCTCAACTTTAGTGAGAATAATTCATGTCGCTGCATCGGTGGCACCTCTGATAGATGTAGAACAAAAAAGGGGAAGGTGAAAAATAGAACACACACACACACACGCACACACGCAAAATCCGATAGATGAACATACCACTAAAGTGTGGGTAAGGCTCCAATTCAACCTGTTCTTGACCGAAAAAACGCGATGATCGTTGTCGACGTGGTGATTTGACCGCTGGGATCATATCCTTGGGCGTCCCTTGCGATAATCGATGCATAGCCTTACTGTTGCCAGCCATCTGCTCGAGAGGAGGAGTCTTATGGGAAGGCTACAATAAACGATTGACGTTATGTATTTGGTAGCATAGTATCATGGATCAAAAAACTTACTGATCGTTGCATGGTATCACCCTGATCATTTGATGATGGTGCGGTGGATGGTACTGGTGAAGGTGACGTTGAAGAAGTTGTTAGTTGTTGCTGTTGTCTGGGTCGAGATTTTGGCTCGTTTGACGATTGGGATCGTGTTCTTGAAAGCTGACAAAATGTTGTTAGCAAAGAGGCAGCACATTGAGGAAACGAATTATGCGTACCACGCCTCGCAATCCCTTCATCATTTTGGGCGGCTTGAGTCGTTGTTGTGAGTAGCAAAGTAGGTGGGTTAACGTGAGTGGGAATAGAACAGAGAGACAGAGGGAAAAGGAAAGGGAGAAATGAAAATGTACACACGCGCATAAACTAGCGGGCTTAAACAAGCCTAAATAGGATACAAAGCAACCAACTTCTGACGTCGTATCAACATACACACACACATACAATACGTTTGCATATGTTTGTTCTCCATCATGCATATGTCGCCTGATGTATACGTTCTTTCGTATATTGACATACATTTCATGCAGCTCACCCTGGCGAGTTGATCGTACGTACATACAACTTTTACCTACTTTTTGTATTGTAACACAAAGGATAGTCTTTGTTATCTTTGGATGATTGCATCACTGATAAAACGAAATGATTTTCTCATAAATCCAAGGCGATTGCTGATTAAACAACAACGTTGGCACGTGTGTCATAATATGGATGTGGCTACGATGTCTTGTTGTGGCATCGAATTGAAGAGGAGAGAGTGAGTACTACAAGCAGGTACTTGTGCTAACGATGATCATTGATATTATTACTCTCGTCTGTGCACTGATAATATAGCTAGCTTTTAAAGTAGTAGTAACGTGACGATGCTTACTTCATTTCCTGTATAATGTGGTTCCTGTCATTGGAGCTGCCAAGTTTTTTTTTGAGTGTCAAGCCCAAAGTGCACCACCGCAACATGTTACGGATACGTAAATAGCTGGTTCATGTTACTCAACTTTATTGGAGTGGGGAGGCTTGGTATACAACATGTATTGTACAAAGTAGTGGTTGCTCCAGCAACGGACGGGCTCTATCCCGCAGCATACATGCAGCTACATACTGCGGATGACCCATGGTGTGGTTGCTTTCTTCTTGAACCCAAGTTACTGCGGTAATCGCACCAATTAAGCTGCGGGTGACGCTCACACCTCCATGCTGTATTGATTGATGACAATAACATTGCTTGTAGCATGATCAAAAGATGTTCTCGGTCAACTATCTTCATTATCACAAGTGAAAGGATGAAATGATGGATATTCGGAATGAGTTCTTGTATCACCATGAATGATGATGATATGGAGAAGGCAAGAGTTTCAATGTCAGAGGGTGGCGCAGTGAAGGGCACCACACTCCCACCCACCCTCCGTACCTTATTATCGGGACAAGTGCGCTTTTAGGAAAACGCGCGCACAATAGACTTTCCGCAGCAGCAGCAACAGCCATCATCCAAAACAGTATAAATACCCAGGAGAAAATGACTTTGCTTTTTCTTGTATCATCATCACCATGCTTTTCCTCGCCGACTACTTTCACTCTTTCTTTAACAACTTTGCTTACCTTTTGGAGACGGTTCTTGATGAATCGTTCTGGCAACTTGTTCTCGGCCAGCGATGGTTTGGTTTGGTCAAACGCTACATTGGCAATGATGCTGTCATGTTTGGTATCTTTTTGAGCTTGGGTCGTAAGTATTCATTCTTATGATGAATGGCAACACACACACACGCACACGGGGTAGAATGTTCACTTTTCTATTTTCAGCTACCATCTTGTCTCTTTTCAACTCCTTTTACTACTGGATCAAAAGCTTCTTTGACGACTTGTTCCATGTTTCGATCGAGATTACTTCAAAGCAGGCCATCTATAGCCCTGTGCAAGAATTCATCAAGCAAAATTACAAGCAACTCCCTGATTTCAAGGTACAGCCAATATGATGACATGATGGAACATTGTTGGACTGACATTGTATTTTATTTCGTCAGCATGTATCTGGTGTTACCATGTACAGCACTATCAAGCGTCGTAATCATGAATATGAAGAGGAGCGGGTTAAACTTGGATTGATGCCACGTAAGTATTCGTCACGCTTTGGGAGTGGAGAACATTGAGGTCTCACATTGGACATTTGTTTCAGATATGGGCACCATGCGTCACGTGTACTACAAAGGACACAAACTTTGGGTGAATCGTTTCACTCGTTCAGCCCTTGATCGCTCAAGTGGACACAGCACTGGTGCTGGAGGTGGCGGTAACAGTGATAGTATTTTGGAGATGTTGAGTGGTGGAAACACTGAAGGTATCACAATCAGGTACGTTGTATAAGGTGTGGCTGGTGGTGGTGGTGATGGTGATGGTGGTGGGACACAATCAGCTGATGATGAGCATAAATAGTATGCGTAGCCGTAATCTTGGTCTTTTACAAGAGATTATCCAAGAATGGATTGATGAATACTACCGAATGCGTGATAACCAGGTACGTTGTTTATTTTACAACAATGAATGATCAAACAATGACTAACATGGACTATTGTTGTTGTAGTTGATTGTCTACAAGGCTAACACTGCATCCTGGAGTCAAGAGTGGGAGGAGTTATGCACCAAGGAAGCACGCGGCTTTGAATCCGTCATCCTTAAAAAGAACCAAAAGGAAGAGTTGCTCAATGATGTCATGGCTTTCCGCTCCCAAAAAGAATGGTATCAACGTAAAGGCATTCCATATCGTCGTGGCTATCTTCTCTATGGTCCACCTGGTACCGGCAAGACCTCCTTCATTCAATCGCTCGCCGCCAAGGTCGACATGAACGTTGCTCTCATTAGCATCAGCGCAAGCATGGACGACGAAACCTTCACCAACTTGCTTGTCCATGTCCCTAAAAACAGCATTGTTGTCATGGAGGATGTCGACCACTGCACCATTAACGATGGCGACGATGACGATTCAGGCAGCAGTTCTCGCAAACGCCTTTCTGCTTCTGGTTTGCTCAATGCGATGGATGGTGTTTATTCTCCTGAAGGATGCTGTAAGTAAAAAGTAACAATGGCAACGGTTACACAATGAAAGCATGATTCTAACATGATGGCATTGATGATAGTGATCTTCCTTACATGCAACGACATGAACAAGATTGTCCCTGCCTTGTTACGCCCTGGTCGTGTAGATGTTAAGATGGAATTCGGATATGCGGATAAGCACCAAATCGAAGCCATGTTTTGGCGCTTCTTTGATGAAGAGAGTCAAAATGGACAAGATCCAAAATGGGTGGAAATCATGCACAAGCTTCTCGAGGTCCTCCCAGAACATGAGCTTACGCCTGCCGAACTTCAAAACTTCTTCATGGCTCATGCTTTGCTTCTACAATCTCCTCACAAGACTCAAGCTATCGACATTACACGCATGACGGACAATGAAGATACCGAGAAAGAGGACGTGGATGCAAAGGACAAGTGGGCTTTGTTCTTTAAGGATCTATTGGCATCCGTGGATTCGTTTATGGAAAAGGTGAAGATTGATCGTGAACAAGCGAGAAAACATGCCGAACGCAAGTTGAAGCAAAAGGATGATGATGATGATTAAGAGCCATCGCCATGGCAACACGCCACCACGCTATACACACCCACATACACACATGTATACATATACCATGACTACCGCATTTGTACATAACAGCAACAACCTTACGCATCAATAACAAAAAAAAGCATTCCCATTTATCATTACACACATTTGCATTTGCTATCCTGAATTGAATAAAGCGGTATACAATTTCGGTTCGCCCCCAAGACATCAAGTGTAGTATTTTTAGCCACATAGCTCATCATGATGCATATCATTATGGTTCGATATAGAAATGACTTACCATCGCGATGCAGAAATAAATCACAGCAGGGGAATAAGTTTAGGTGACATGAAATCATAAAATGGGCTTGGTGGGGGATTGTGATGATGATGATGATGATGATGCGTTTTATTGACAGCAGCAATCCCCAAAATATCAATCGGGCATGCTATCTGTCAAAATTCCCCTTGATCAATTAAGGTTCAGGCGATCCGAACCTTGATATCGGCAACACAACATGAGCATCCACATCTCATGATGCATCATTGGGTTGGGTCGTATCAAGAGGATCCATCCAATTGGAATCCATCGTTATTAGCAATGATCAAAGTGGCGGTATTGTATGTACATACCTGTGTGGCGGTGGTAGTAGTAGGATTGCATTTGAGTAAGGATAGTCGTCGTATCAACCTGTTATTCTGGTTCCACTTTATATGTTTCGAAGCAGATGACTTGCATGTACCCAAGCACAGCAGCAGCAGCAGCCATGCATCGGATGATGATCATGGCGGGTGACACATCGACATGCATGATATTACATATACAGTAGTACTGGTGGTGGATGTTTGATAATGTTTATATACAAATGCGTCATTTGCAGCAAGGGTAAAAAGGGAGAGATTAATAAATCCAAGGAAACGGACACTCTATCTACTGCTACTACTACTACCATTGCATTCGAATGTGTTGGTTTTATCAGGATTCAAGCATTGTGATGTATTGGTTGTTGAACCGGGTCAGTTGATTACTAGAAATATACATCATGTATTTAGGAGGTGACACCCGATCCGACGACAGCATTAGAGGAAAAGGGATAAAGGCAGGGCAAGGAGAGAAGAATTCTTTTCCATATTTTTGGGGATGGCGGAAATAGGGGAAAAAGGCAATCATTTGCAATGATGATGATATCGTAGCAGCAAGTGAAGGGTATGTAGCAGCAGCAGCAGCAACGACAGCAACGGCAGGAGCAAGCATCGCTTCCCGACAAGTTGCATGCAGCTATGCCGATATCGTATGCCGACATTGTGTGTGTGTGGTGGTGCACCCCCATTTGGTTCATTCAGGCCATATGCAAATCTCACGACCTCTTTTTTATTCTGGAAAATCTGCAAACATGGTATGTTACTAATGATGGGAAGGGTACGTAAATGAAACAATAGAGTTCTGATTTGCCTTTTCATACGAGGTATCCGGCAATCAATGGATCGCCGTGATGATGTAGATCACTCTCAGGGCCAAGTTGTTGGGAAATAGGAGACCAAGGGGAATAACCAGCATGAGCACGATGGTTTACAATATATACATTGAGGCGCAAGATCATGTTGTAAAAAGGGGAAAGAAGAAAGTACACGACGAGAAGATATCCATGTTTGGATACGTTACCAAAACTTTGACAGCCGACGATCTTTTTTCCCTTTCGCAAGAGATCGGCATCTCCTTGTATTCTTCTTCCCCCCTTTGTTTGCGCTTTTATGTCCCCCAAATGCCTATCAATCATCATTAGCAGCAATAAACGCATTTGACTATAGTGGTTTTCAAGCATTCTTGTGCATCATATCAGCATCCTTATTATACAGCATGCATGCAACGATTCTATAATAGAAGATGTGGATTAAAGAAGGAGAGGATAAAAACTGATGATCTACATGTAATGGATGGGTTTGCTATTAAGGGGATAAGGGTCCTTTAATTCTGGTCTTTTACAACCATGCTTGCGCATACATTGCATTTTCTTCTAATCCACAAGCATAGGGCTCGGGCCTCGTTTTGCGTGATTCGTGATTAGGGGGCGGAGGGGAGCGATAGTAGGGAAAAGGCTATAGTAGATGAAAGGGGAAAAGGGAAACAACAGCAAGAGGCTGAGCAACAAGCAGCAGCAGCAGCAACAACGGCTGACAGCGGCGATGAACCTGAGAATATAAACGATGCATAATGATGATGGAATATCCTTCGGTGGTGAGAACTGGTGATCGCATCGACCTGCCAATCAACCGAAACGGGTAACTTGCTATCGGCTCCCATGGTCGCATCATGCCGTGTATGTGTGTGTGAGAGAGAGCGAGAGCGTGTGGATGATAATAAAAAGGGTCCATTCTTGCGGACTCAGTTTTCTGGTCTTTCACGTCCTTCCCCTTTTTTTTTCCTCAACAGATCATAGTTTATCAGCCTCGAGGCTTTCTTTTTAACTTTCTTTCTGTCATCTCTCTTTCTTTATTTTTGCGCCCGACAACGGATCTACATCACAGCTACATACACAAAAAAAAACACACACACATACGCGCGCGTTGTTTTTTTTTCTTTCGCACCACACCTTCATCTGTTTAACGACCCTTTTTTGTTTTCTCGAGGACGTTCTCCTTTTTGCGTCCAAACCTCTTGTTTGGATCCAGCCTGTATTTGCTTTACAATCAATCCACCACCATCATTGTCGATCTTGTATTCATAGTCTCTTCCTCTTATCTTGATTCACCATACGTATCTCTTTCCCCATTATGAACATGTTGCCACATCACCATTATCAGCAGCCATTGGATTTTGAACAAGGCGATACTACAATGACAGCAAGCTGTTTTTATGTATCAGGGGATAACGACAATGTGGTGGATCAGCAACAGCAACAGCGACATGACGCTTTGACCACCACAACCAGCTACACAACCGATTACAACATCAACAACAACAACAGTGATAGCAACAACAACAACAACTGGGTAACCATGCAGACCCCAACATCGCTTGTGGAACGTGGAGCATCCGTTTCTGGCATCACGACATCGTATCACCGCAGCAGCAGCAGCAGCAGCCCTGTGTCACCACACGTCATTGACGACGCTGTTTTGACAGAAAAGGAAATGGATCAATTTCCTAGCGTTCAAGAATTTGACATGATTGTGGATGGGTACCTCAGCAACCTATCAAACAAAAAACGCGACAAGGCACTTGTTGACCGACCACGCTATGCGTTGATTGCACGTGTGCTGAAAGATCCCAAAAACACGGCCATATCCACTGCTCAATTCCGTTTTTGGGTTAAAAAGATGTTTCAGCTTATGCCATGTTCTGATGGATCCGAGCTCATATGTCACGACAATAAGCCTGTGGCTATGCGTGAGGACATGTATGATATTCTTGTTCACGCACATGCTGTTGCCAATCATGGAGGTCGTGATAAGACATCATCCTTGGTAAGAAGAAGGAGGAAGAGGAAGAGGATTTGATGGCAAAAGAAAGAGGACTTGGATTAGGATCATGAGCTGACGATGAAAAAAAACATAGGTCAGGCGTCGTTATTCATGGATTCCTAAAGAATTAATTGCACGATTTGTTCGGCAATGCCCATTCTGCATAGCAAGACGTAATGGTTGCTCAAGTCCACCAATCACTCTCTTGCCAACAGCACCACCTGATTACACAGCAGACTTTTGTGCACGGGATGATGATACCACCTCCACCACGGTTGCTGCAGCAACCAACAACATGCCATACCCATCACAGCCACCACTTGATATCAAACCTCTTTTTACCGAAAGTGATGGATTCGATATAGGAGAGTGGACACCTTCCAATGATCATCACCAATATCAACAAAAGGATGAGGGTGATCCGCCATCGTGTTATCAACAACAACATTATCCTGCTACAGGATTCACACCTTCATCACCCATCACCATTGATGATACAGCTTCACCCACCTCGTCAAATGCAACCGAGTTGATAACAACAAGCGATAAAAGCAGCAACAACACATCCCCATGTGTCATATTCTCGACTGCAGCTGCTGGTGGTCCCTTTAATACATCTTCAGAATCGAATGATCATGGCGATGGAGAAAAGGGGGATTCTTCTACTACATATCGATATCCATCGGAAATGTTACCACCGCCATGCGATCTTTCACCTGCATCGCATCACGAATGTCAATACGACCAGCAGGCTGCTGTTGATCCATACCCCGACAACAATAACACCGAGAGCATGTGTTGCTACAACAATGCTTCTAGTCCAGATACCAATGCTGAGGAAGCAGCAGCAGCAGCAGCAGCCCTGTCTTCTGCAGCACCACAAAACTCGGTGCATATTGTGGATCATCCGTGCTACGGAGCTAGCTTGGATTTATTTTCCAACAACCAATACAACATGTATTTTGCATACACGGCTACTACTACTACTACAGCAGAGCCAAAAATAACCATCCCCACCACAACCACCACTTACGACATGAACAACGTTCCCTATGCAGCATCAACAGCAGCATACGATATCAATTTATCACCTTCACCCTCCTCCTCATTTTCATCGTCTTCATCTTCATGTTCTGTACCAGCATCGCCAGCAGCAACAGCTCTATACATGCCCCAACAACATCAATCCACCCTTATCTTTCCCGAGCATTACTAAGTTGATGCTTCATCATCTTCATCAGTACTCAACAAAATGCAATGGATGACAACTCCCCCTCTTTATGATATTCTTTCATCTCACTCAGCCCTTTTTATTTTGTTCTGCTACCTTTCTTACATATGTAAGTCTTATCCTCACTCCCCGGTTCCTCTCGTTTATATACGATGATCATCCTTTTTATTGTACATTCTTTCCGATCTCCGTGTGCCACACGCTTATTACCTTGTTTGGAGCCGACAAGCACACTATGTATGCTATTCTTTCTTTATCATTCTTTATTCTTCTTTTTCTTCCATGCGGTGTTGTCCATGTACAATATCATCCAGGTGACCCACCAATCCTGCATATAAGAGGTATACGCACTTTTTATGATCCACCCTATACATACACTACAGCCCCAGATACCACATTTCAAAATATACCAGACATGAATAAAGCATCCGAGACTTGTGTGGCCTGTCACATATCAATGTAATTTACAAAGTCCATTGATCATTGTTGTAGGATGCCATAGCTTAAAGTATGCCGACCCTTTGACAAGAGGGTATAGGCGATCCATGTTCTCTCATTCTTTTAATTTGTGTAATGCGATGCAATGACACCCTGAAAGGTTTCCACAAAAGGAGTTGAGGGGAAGGGAAATCAAAGGTGTGCCTTTTCAGAGTTGGCTCTATCTCTCTTTTTTCCTCTCTCCCTCTCTCCTATATGTTATACTTCCACAATGCATGATCCACGAGACCTACTTTCGAGGAGAAGAAGAAGATGATGATGATGGTGTCATGGTAAATACTACGTAATGTTGTGTGTGTAAGAGAGAGGTGATCAGGAGTGAGTGAATGAATGTTCCTGAATAGGGTGTTTTAAGTGCTCTTGAAGGATCATCAGCAAATAAAAGAAAACGAACATTGCAATAGCAACAACAATGGTTCCAATTGTGGATTGAAAAACAAAAAAGATCTCTCCGTGTATGTGTAACTGTCGTGCCTGGAAAACACGTCTATCGCGCATCCCAACCATTTCATCCCATCAATCGGACTTAGCGCGCGGGTCAAGCAAAAAAGAGACAAAAACTTTTTTTTTGGTGGAGCCCTGCTCTTTTTGTTCTTTGGACACTCTTTCACTCAAATAAGGCCCAGGAGCAACCACGACTTGCTTACTGCCTCATCCACTTTTATTCTCCTCCTTGGCATTGTCTCATTCACAGCAGCATGGATCAAAACGCCGTCTATCAACTCTTTGTGTCCACTTACCATCCCGATCCGAACGTGCATAAACAAGCAGAGCTCAACATTCGTAATGTAAGCACGTGTTTTTATTCTGGCAACTCGGTCACTCATGTCTATCGATTCTCTAGATTGAGACTCACAATGGCTTCCTCCCGATTGTCCTTCAAATTTTGGCTTCTGAGGAACTTGAACTCGGTGCACGCCAAGCTGGTAAGGAATACCTTGGAAAGCGTGGGAGATATGGGGGCATGTGTATGTATGGATGGATGGCTTACTTGGGTATACATGTACATAGCTGCTATCTACTTTAAGAATCGTATGAACAAGGCTTGGGATCGATCCAGAGAAGTCGCCAACCCTATCAATGAGGATGATCGTAACATGGTGAAGCAATCGATTCTTCAAGCTCTTTTAAGAGCACCTAGTGCTGTGCAGTAAGTAAATCATCGTGCATGAGGAGGTGATCCATGTTTTACTTAAAACTTTCCTTTATTATAGAGTACAATTGACTTCCTCGCTCAATACGATCCTCAGCAACGATTTCCCTGATCAATGGCCCAATTTCGTCAACGAGGTGCAAGGTCTTCTCACTTCCCAAGATCCCCGCATGGTTTATGTTGGATTGTTATCATTGCGTGAAGTTGTCAAGGTCTACCAGTAAGTAAAACAGCATCAATAGAGAGAGAGAGAGAAGAAATGGAAGGACGCTGATGTCAGATATTAGATGGAGCACTCAAGAACGTCGTGATCCTCTCAAGGAAATTGTCAAGCACGTTTTCCCTACTATCCAATCGATTGCCAACAACTTGGTCTCCATGGATACAATTGAGGCTGCAGAGATGCTCAAACTCGCATTGAAAATCTATCATGCTGGTATCCAGGTACGCAATTATATCCATTTTGAAAGAAAACGGTAATCTGATCATGTTGATGATGATAGGTGGATTTGCCAAAATGTCTTCAAGAAACTTCTTCGTTGGTTGGATGGGGTACCATGTTCTTGCAGCTTGTGGATAAAAAGATTCCCTTGGAGGCCTTGCCATCAGATCCCGAGGAACGTGAAAAGTACCCATGGTGGAAGACCAAGAAATGGGCATACCACTGTTTGAATCGTCTTTTCAGCAAGTATGGCAACCCTGCTCTTTTGGCTCCTTATTCTTCAAGCAAATACATGGGCTTTGCAAAGGGATTCATCACCAATTTTGCTCCCAACATCCTCCAAACCTATCTCAAGCAAATTGAAGGATGGATCAAAAAGGAAAACTGGATGACTGCAAAGTGTTTGGCATTGTCGGCCGCATTCTTCGGTGACAGGTAAAATACACGGGATATCATTGTAGCCGTCATCATTGGCTTACCCATATTATCTTATAGTATCAAGCACAAGATCACTTGGCAAATCATCAAGCCATACACTGAGACTTTGGTTGCCCACTTTATTTTCCCTCAGCTTTGTTTCTCGCAGGAGGATGAGTCATTATGGGAAGAGGATCCTGTGGAATATGTGCACAAAAAGATTGACCCATTGATGGATTTCGACTCACCACAAACGAATGCCATCAACTTGTTGATTGACCTTGCACGTGATCGCAAGAAGCACACCTTTATGGGCATCTTGAACTTTATCAACAGCGTATTGACTCGATACTTGGAGACTCCTGATGAGCAAAAGAATGGACGTGAAAAGGATGGTGCTTTGTGTATGATTGGATGTCTTGCCCACCAGGTGCTTCGCCAAAAGTCTCCAGTTGCCAACATGATGGAGCCTTTCTTTGTGACGCACGTATTCCCCGAGTTCAAGAGTCGATTCCCCTATCTCCGTGCTCGTGCGTGTGACATGACCCGCCACTTTAGCGATCTTGACTTTGCCAACGAACAAAACTTGGCCACATTGTACCAAAACGTCCTTGACTCGTTGCGTGATCCCGAACTTCCTGTCAAGGTGCAAGCTGCATTGGCACTTCAACCCATGATTCGTCACGAGAGCGTGCGTAACGCCATGGCACCCAACTTGCCATTTATCATGCAAGAACTCCTCAACTTGACCAACGAGATCGATATTGATACTTTGGCCAACGTCATGGAAGAATTTGTCGAAGTGTTTGCTGAACAATTGACTCCCTTTGCTGTTCAATTATGTACTCAACTTCGTGACACTTTCCTTCGTATCATGGAAGAGCTTGCACAAGCCAACCAACAAGCTATGGGCGATGATGGATCCTTCAATGGTGATGTGGATGAGATGAGCGACAAGACCATGGCTGCAATGGGTGTTCTCAAGACCATTGGTACCTTGATTCTCAGCTTGGAAAGCACCCCTGATGTCCTTCAGCAACTTGAAAATGCCTTGTTGCCTGTTATCACTTATACGCTCGAGAACAAGGTGATGGATCTCTTTGATGAAATCTTTGAAATCATTGATTCTTGCACTTTCTCCGCCAAGCGTGTCACTCCTACCATGTGGAGCGTGTTTGAACTCATCTACAAGGCATTCAAGGATTCCGGTATTGATTACATGGATGAAATGTTACCACCCTTGGACAACTACATTTCTTATGGCCGAGACGTCTTTGTATCCAATGAACAAATTCAGCACATGGTCTATGATATCATTGATACCGTCATGAAGAGCGACCGTCTTGGAGAGCACGATCGTGTTTGTGCATGCAAATTGATGGAGTCGGTGTTGCTTAACTGCCGTGGTCATGTTGATAACGTAAGTTGAATGCGTTTGGATGTGATGATTTGGTTTTAACATATGACAATTTTGTTAGTGCATTGGTCCTTTCCTCAACTTGGCATTCCAATATATCTTTACTGGTTCCATGAAGACAACCGAGTTCCGTGTGCACTGCTTGGAAGTGGTTATCAACTGCCTTTACTATAACCCTGGTTTGACATTGCGCTTGCTTGAAGAAAACCAATGGACCCAAGGCTTCTTCACTTTATGGTTCAATGAATTGGAAAAGTTCTCCCGTGTCCACGACAAGAAGTTGGTCATTGTTGCCTTGTGTGCCCTTTTGGAGCTTCCTGCTGATCACATTCCTGCATCATTACAAGCTGGTTGGTCCCAAGTGTTGACCGGCGTCCTCAATGTTTTCAAGAGCTTGCCCAAGGCCATTGAAAGTAAGTATTTTATGATATGGATAAACAGCATGTGCCTAATCAAAGCATTTTGCAGATCGCGAGCAAATGGAAAAGTTGTATAGTGATGGTTTTGATGATGAAGAATTTGATGGCGAAGATTTGAGCGGTGCTGAAGGAGGTAGCGTGGATGGTGACGACGACGACAACGGTGATGAAGATGTGGTGGATGAGGATGCCGAGTATCTTGAATTCCTTGCACAACAAGCTGCCAGCAATAACAGCGAGTCCGAGTTTGACGACTTTGAAAGTGAGATCGAGGAAGAATTATTGTTCGAGTCGCCTTTGGATGAGATTGATCCTTATATCCGCTTTGGCGAGGTCTTTAAGAGTAAGTTGTATAGAGGAAAATGATGGATGACAATGGGAAGGCTTACCAAAAGTTCTTCCTTTGATAGATATGCAGCACAACAACCCTGCATCCTACACTCTGTTAACCAAGGACTTGGATGCTGAACAACAACAAGTCATTATGGGCATCATGTCAACAGCTGATCAGCATGCTCAACAACAACAACAACATCCTACCGCTTAGATCACATACGTACACACGCACTCAAACACACTCACACACACCATCTTCGTTCACAATGTCTATTTTTTATCAATCAATGCTTTCTTCCTTTTTTTTACCCTTGCCCTGTTCCTTTTGCATTTGAAACATAGTATAGCAATCACACAACTCACCATTAACACACACACACACACAACACGCTCACCACTCACACCACTCAATATTCTCTCAACAACAACCCAAAATATTCACTTTCCCCGTATCGTTTCTGCCCCTAGAATCAACAAAGAGTATACATGTAATAACTTGCTCCGCTGCAAAAAAAGTCCTAAATCAAACCATAACGCCGAGTGATGATAAAATGAGAAATGCAATGTCTCCTTTACAGTATGCCTGGTATAACATCCATCGTTTTGTGCCATTACCACCTCCTGGCTCGACTATAGTGGTTATGTATTGATGCAGGATTGTATCATCCATGTGCTTCGTCTATACACCATCAATGCATCGTCCCACAGACAAGTTGTTATCATGCACACACCAACAACCTTGAAGTTTAAGACATGGCACGGTTACATACAGGGAAAAGGAACAAGTGAATGGTGTACATACAACTTCTTGTAGGGTGGCGTTTAGGTTTTGGCGCGAACGATCACGGTGCTATGTACGTCGCGATTTGCTTGCCCTTGTCTCCTAGTTTTACGCGATCCATATATTGAAAGTAAACCCCCTTGAATCGGAGGCCGGTATTCAAAATGCCAAGGTTGTTCGACAAGCAATTCTTTCGAAGAATGTTTTTCTTTTCATTCACCTTGTATGAAAAAGGAATCAATTATCTATCTCCTTTCCTACTCGACCTTGATTCTTTGTTTACCTATATTTCTTTGTTTGATTCAACGTGTGTCATTGTAGGAGCCAAGAATGCTTTTAGGGAATCCATGTATGTACACTAGTTTTGTTGTTGCTGCAGTAGTATGTACGTAGCTGCTCGTTCTAATGCTTTACCGCAAGCCTGGGTATTGAATAAAAGAAGAAGAAACAAGGTTTTGGGTCGTCATGTATGCATGTATCAAGCTTTGTCAGTTGGATCTTGGTGTGGTCAGGGATTTCAGGGGGTTGGATTTCTCGGATGGCCCAATGTATCAAGGGGGTTGGGAGTAAGGTTCGATTCGATAGCTTTTTGCCACCTACTACTAGCACCGGCACATCAGGATCATGATGCTTATAAAAGGAATGGATATACATAGCATTTGTACGTTATTTCACATTTACTTCAACACATAACGTCATGGTCAAGTCAAGTCTTTTCTTTACTCTTTGCGCATCCATGCTTCTTTCCAGCCTTGTTCAAGCCATCCCTGCCGGAACTGATATTTGCTCCTGTCAAGATGAAGATCACACAGCTCAATGTTGTCCTTCACTATCAAACTCAGCTCAAAGCAGCAACGAATGTGTTGTTGATGTACGTCTCAATAAGTCATTTTTCCAACTATGCTGCTCTTTGAAGGGTGACCATGCTTCTTGCAAAGACGAGGATAAAAATTAGGTATGTGAAAGGTCCTTCTTCTGATTCATCATTGACAATACACTCAACATGGAGAATGCCAGCTCTTTTTCATTTAGCATCATATAATAATCGATCATCAGCATATAACTTTTTTGCATACTTCATGAATACATTGTTCTTTGCATTTGAATACATATCCAAAAGCTTTCTCGCCTAATGTTATCTTTATTATAATGGTGGTGGCTGGATCCGACGCCATTGTCAAAATTACTAGCCTCACGACTACAGGTTTGCGTACCCAAATCAGCGTTGCAATGGTATGTGTTGGATCCCACTATGTAGCTTCTGGACCTTTGATTGTAACAAGCAATGCAGTAGTAATACCCCCCACCAAATGCGATTTCTGAATTTGGAATGTGGTCAAGCATGAATGAAACATGACCAGTGGAATGCAAGATCAAGGAAAGGCTAATACACGGTTACAGGTCAATTTGAGTGATATAATACAAGTAAACATGAACAAGTGACCTGGCGTCATTATGGTGATAGCGGATATCTAAAAGGCTGTGGTGTGTTTGTGTGTGTGTGTGTGCGTGTGTGTATACGTACATTCCATCCATTGATACATTCTTGCACTCTCTTTCTTTCTTCTCTTCCCGCATCCCTCTCTCTATCCCCCACTTTGCTCTCTCTCTCCCCTTTTCCCTTATCAAGGCGCACCACCCCACAATACCAACATGAGCTTACACGAGGAGTGGCTAATGCAATGGGAATCGCCACCAAGGAATGCTCTTCAGTTACGCAATTCGGATATGGAACGAATCTGCCGAGCATTGACAACTCAACGCGACGTGTATGAATTATGTCTCGTGCATCCAATTTGGCAAAAGGCAGCGACCGACGTACTATGGGAAGCACCTCAATTCCGAACACTTGTGTCATTTGATCGTTTCGTCAAGTCTGCTAGTCAACATAAACGCCTTGCTATGGTTGTCAAGCGACTGAGTCTGATGTTACATGACCAACACGTTGACACGGTCTTTGTCCCACATGTCTATTCCGATCTATCACATCATCGACATTGCCATTATAAGCTCACTGAATCAGACCTCATTCAACATTTGGCACAACAATGCGAACGGATTCAAGCACTACGCATCTATGGATGGTTTCTTCACCCCGTTGACCTTGAATCTCTCGGCAGTCGTCTTCAAGATCTCGAGGATCTTACTTTGGTGGGGTGCAGTTCCGATATTGCTCGTCCCGGTGTTATTCAACGTGGCCTCTTGTCAAAGTTACGTCGCTTGTGTCTCGATGGCCCTTTTATGCTATCCGAATCCTTTATCACTGCTTTGAAGAATCGTGCTCTTTCTCTTCAATCACTACAAATCCCTTTACCAAGGAATCGGGATCACATGATATCATCGTCTGGCAACATCAGCAATAACGACCCATATGCGCGAGCTACTCATGCCCTCATCAAGAGCCTTGCACGTACTGGATTGGAGCTCCGTTCATTGACATTGACGAGTGCCCTTTACATGAATCATGATCATGTACGCACGTTGACCCAGAACTTCCCTGAATTGGAAGAATTGGCCATCGACGGCATCCTTGGCAACAGCACGTATGCAACGATCATGGCATTGACACACAGCTTGGGTCTCAAGAGCTTGGATATTCGTGCTGATGAGAACAGCGTGCCTAATGATCCGAACGAAGATGATGATTCGATTTGCTATCCACATGGTCCTCTTGTATTGGAAAAGTTGCTGCTGACGAATGTTGATATCACTGACAAGCAGCTTATGAAGGCCACTGATGAAGCCCATGAAATCAAAATCCTTGGCTTATCCCATTGTCCTTGGGTGACGAATCTTGGTGTTATTCATCTCGTTGATCATAGCCCTTTGCTTCACACGCTACATTTGATTCATTGCAGCCATATCACTGATTCCTTCTTCGAGTATTTGGGTGACATGAACACGACAGCTACCATCCATGACATTCACGTGGAGCATTGTGGTGCACTTCATCCCCGTGTCTTACACCAAATGTGTTGTCGTGGCGTTTCTCATGGATTAAGACGCATCAAGCTGGTGGGATACGACAACATTATGAGATCAGTGATTGGGAGATACGCAGCAGTCGACCATGACACCAACAGTATTACGCTCGATCAACAAGCCATTATGAGGATCGCTGAGCTGGATGTATATGATCACCGGGATCTCACGCCTACGCTTCAGAATCATTATCTCACAGGCGAGCACATTGTTCTTCTCTCCAAAGAGCTGGGGATCTCTGTTACACGTCTTGTGGAAGCCATTGAACGAGTACAACAGGTAATAGAGTATTTAGGCAAGGGGATCAAAGAACATGGATGACTAATTGTGATCCACATACGTAGTGTGATAGCGACTCTCTTCAACAACATCAAAATAAGGAAGCCTTGACAACACCACCCAGTTATGGTAAGTCGTCATTGTATGCATAAATCACATGCTCATTTTATATATTACAAAAAGAGGAATCACCTACTCGGAGCGAGAAGCCATCTGCTACGAAGTCAATATCCACCACTCCATTTCTATGGGACCCTGCCGATCAATCCAATGCTGAAGAGTACATCCAACAACCAATCTTGCCACCACGCGTTGAAGAATCTTCTCTTGATGATGATCGATCAGACACAAACACGCCTTCATTCAAATCGATAACATCTGATCGAGGAGAATCACCAACTTCAACACATTCAACTATCATCGAGAATTATCGACAGCATGATGAACAGGTTGAGGAAGATGAACCAAGCAGCTTTGGGAATGAGTATAGATCCGACTTTGGGAGCACCAGCCAATCTGATATGGACCTAGGTGGATGGGGCACTGTTGGTTCATGGGATAACACAGCTTCCAAATCAAAGTCAACATCAGTATCACCTACTCACAAGCAACAATCACAAGAAGGATGGGGAGCTGAAAGCGTTACAGAATGGGATCATGTCAAGCAACAACGGCAGCAACATGAACAACATCAACCATCAACCAGTATTGATCCGCCTGCAACACCTTCACTTGTAACAAGCCGAGCGGCAGATGTAGAAGGATGGGGAACACCCAATGATGTTGTGGCATGGAAAGATCTTCGCAAACAAGGATATGCCTATCAAGTGATTGAGGATCAGAGAAAAAGTTTCTCCAGTGAGCGTGATCACACTTGGCCAGCAACGATATCCCACACACCATCACCAAGAAACGACGACGCCATGGCACCACCACGCAATTCACTGTTGAGCCCCGACGACGAATTGATCGATTGGGATGATGATGATGGAGTTACCATTATTACTGAAACACACGCAAGTACTCGAATGGCAGCGACAACCACCACAACCACAACCACAACCACCAGGACCCAATCTCCGGCTACTGGAAGAATGAAAGGTAATAGCTGGATGGTGTGTACCCCAATGCTTCCACCGCCCACACATCCTGGGAATCCAAAGTGGTCGACAGCGCATGAATGGATGAACAAGTCACAAGAGGGTGTCATAATGATTGATGATGACCATCACGTATCACTACAAGAGGGTGATGATGACGATGATGAAGGATGGTTTGCAGGATGGTCCGTCGTCATGGAAGCAGAGTTGCTATGTGTGGAAATGAGAGGGAGGGGGATAAACACAATGAATTATCTTTTATGATTTCCTTTATTCATACTCTTGTACTTTTATGTAGGTCCCCCAACGACGCCCAAGCCGCATGGGACTTCCACACGAAGCAGAGGAGCACAACGGGGTACATCAATGAGTCGTGGGGAGATTCCTACACACGAACGTGCTGGTCGTGGATGGGGTGATTTCATTGACGCTTCTCGACACTCTGCTGGTGGTACTTTGACTGAAAGCAGCAATACAACAATGACACATACTCCTCCTCAACAACCACCACCACCACCATCATCATCATCATCAGGTGGGCTTTTAATCGATACCAGCGATACCAGCACCAACATCGGAATGAAGCATTCTCCAACATCAACAACGCCAATCATGGATTCAGCTGTATGGCGAGATGTATCTTCTTTGGCTGATCAATCAAGTACCAGTACATCCACCAATGACCAACAAATATTGCATTCGTCTGATAACACCACCACAACCACAACAACAACAAAATCATCCCCTTTGACGCCATTCGCCACCACTGAAGCAGTAAGCATCATTCATCACTCTGCATCACCATCATCATTATCACAACAACAAACCATATCGACTGGTTCACCTAGGAACAGTAGCCGTATGTCTAAAAATGTCCCAAGAGACGGAAGAAAGCTTTTGGCCAAGTGCTCCTTTGTTCCCCAAGACGACCTTCCTCCTATTGAAATCTACGATGTATGTGTATTACACCACCACGACATTGCTGTATACAAGTATTGATGGAGATTGGGTATAGGGCGAGGATCTCAAGGCCACGGTTGAAAAGTTTTGTCAACAAAACAACATCATGGATAAGGTAGATCTCCTTTATATGCGCTTGAATACGTGGTATATGGGTCATCGTACGGAGCAGACTTTGAGCAGCTATGCAAAGAAAAAAAGAAGCTTGTGAAGAGACCTGCGCATGAGACCAGAATCCCCTGTCTGTTATAGTCACATCCTCACACATCTATTGCTTTTCAACATGTTGTATCAAAAATCATCATTGTGGTCAATGTCATCAAATGTATTCCCTTTATTTGTTTCGAGTAAATATCAATGACGATCCCCCTTTTCATCCATAAGCATTGTTGGCTATGAAAAACATGCAAAAAGTGATACGATCTTCAGCATTGGATATGTACATCGTATCAATGTGTGCATCAATAAAAAGAAAAGAGCAGCGGTCGCTATTGTATTCAGGATCAATGGGATTGTGCAAGAAGAATGGATGGACCAATGGTCTGTGCACGATACGTTTAACCACCGAAAATAGTTAGGGTGACTCGCTGATCTCTAATGATCTCATCATGTCAATCGAAAGATGCTCCTCGAACATGTCATGAAGAACATGGAAAGACATGTACCGCTCGCTTAAAAGTAGTTCATCTATGATACGATCAATAAAAGTAAATCATTTTGAAGAAAGCACAGCCACAATAAAAAACACTTTCAGGTGCTGCGTGCGATGATAGTAGTCATTGCTCTCACAAAGACACATACCATTTGGTTACATTGCATATTTGTGACTCTCCATGTAGGCAGCTGATACAATGATAACGATGAAAAGATGCTCAAATTTTTTTACAAGTGAGATATCGGTGATCAGCGAACAAAGAAGTAAATGGGGGGGTTGTTGTGATGGATGGACATCACATGCTGCTGGTATATGAAGGTAATACAGCAATCGCCGACGATCTCCTTTATCAACGTAAACACACACATTCATCTTTTACAAAGAGAAGCGAATTGAACATTCTCGCAATAGCAGTGCTGAATTATCCTCATTCAAAAACTTGCTTGTCGACATACATACGTAGATCACAGCTTTCGACGTGTTGTGTCAAAAAAGACACGAACATCATTACGTCACTTGACCAAGCAACACAAAACCCCCTTTAGCAGCACGCAACACATACGTCTCTTGCATGTTGGGCAAAAGAAAAGAAAAACTTCAGTTGGGTTATACGAGGACATGCATGTGATAATGTGGAACAATGCGAAGATGCACAAACAAAAGATTTATTGAGGAGGAGTAGGAGTAGGAGTAGGAGAATAATGATGCATGAGTTTATACAAGACCTTTTTTTTGGGTTGCTATGTGATACATGGATTATATACAAAAGGGTATGAGGATGATTTTGATGATGAAAAAAGATGGGTGAAGGGGAGATGGGGGGAGAAGATGGTGGGGATGATAGGGAAAGGGAAGGAGGAAGGTTTGAACAAATGGACTTTTTAGTGGTGGTTTTCAACGTGTTTGACAAGAGCATCACGACGTGAAAAGGTGGTTGGGCAAAATTCACAAGCAAAAGTGCGTTTGCCAGTATGAAGAGCAGAGATATGACGATGAAGATCATGTTTACGATCAAAAGATTTGGGACAAGCGTTGCATGGGAAGCGCTTTACACGATCCTTAAAGTGAGTGAGTTCATGCGTGCGCTTGTTGTAGGCTCGAGAGAACTGCGCACCACACACAGAGCACACTTTGGACTTGTTGCTGTTGCTGTTGTTGTTTGACAAACGACGCTTCTTATTGTGAGGTTGAGATGGCATCACCTGTTGCTCTTGTTCTTCTTCTTCTTGATCGTCTTCTTCATAAGAGGGCCGTGGTCGCTTGTTGTTGTTACCTCCTTCGCATGTGTCGCTAGGAAGTGGAGGGAACAGCTGTGCTGCTGTTAAAGTGGGTGTCACAATAGCATTGTCTTCTTCATTGCTGCTGGCAGGTGTATCCGTAGCATCGTGTTCCAATAGTGGAGTGGGTGCCAAAGGAACAACCGATGAGGCATTTACAGCACGCACAGAAAGACGAGATGGATTGCCATCAAACTCTTCAATAGGGTCGAACATCTCTGGATTGTAAACACTTTGCATGCCATAAAACGAAAGGGCTTGAGCGAGGCCTTCCATTGTTTGGCATGGCACGTTGTAAGGGTTGTTGGAGTGGATGTCAAGATCGTATGTGAATAAAAGTGAAGTGGGCATGTCGTTCATGGTGATAAATGATGTGGCTGAAGATGATGTAGAAGCACAAAATGAAGATGTTGAGGCACGTGAAGAAGCTGAAAGAGGTCAAGAACAAGTGGAAGAGAGGAGCGATGTGATAAAGGGGGCATGCATCAGCGTTTCTTTTATACTTGTACTTCGGAAACCCAATACTGGCAACACACGGGTGGTGGGTGACTCAATCGGGAACTGGCTTTCCCCGAAAAAGCACTGGGGTGCGTCAAGATTTGACTAGTGTTGCCATGGCAACGAACCGCAGTTACCAAGTCACGCCAAATATGCACGCGGTTCCCGTTCCCGAAAAAAAAAGAACGCGTTTCGGAGAAACATGCTTATCAACCATTCATCGTTTGGCACCACCACTTTAACGTTGCACTATTATCCCTCTCCTATCTCCCATTCATTGTGCAAACCACGCGCTCCCAAACAATGCTAATGTTACAAACTTTCCCCCCCAAAACATTCGTATGCACGCTCAACGTTTATGATGGTTACTTTTCCCTTTCATTACAACGTATATCAATCGACTGCTACTAGTAGTTGCCATAGAGATGATGTACGCCCATGTGCTTGTCAAGCGCGTCCCAAAACTTGGCTGCACTGAGTTTGTCATTGTGTCGTTGGGATCTTGAAATCTAGCGTGTTCGTGTATCGGACGTGATCAGCTACCCCACACAAGATTGTGATTGTAACTCTCTCTCTCTCTCTGAATACTTACATCCAATGGTGTAACATTCCAACCAGAAGCAGGACCCTTGATACTTTCATCTGCCCACTTTGCATAAAAGCCTTTGACTGCAAAAGGAGATAAATAAAACGTGACATTTTGACACCGCCATCATCAGCACTTACCATGTGAAAACAAATCGATGGGTCTTTCATATTTCCAGCCTTTGAATTGCCATTGTTGACCTGATGCAAACACACAACATACGCGATCCCTTTCAACACCTGTCAGCTCTTGGATCTTGTGACACCTCGGTTCTTTTCCTTACCAGTCATTTTGCTTAAGATGTGCCACATTGTCAATGACATGGTATACCGTCACTTGACCATCTCGTCGATAGCGTTCAATCGATACACGATCCGGCTTCTTCATTCCTTGAGCACGTAGCTGTTGTGGATCGACATACCTTGAAACCATGAATATGCATGTTGTATTTACCCATCATGATCGTCCAATACACTTACTCAAAGTTCTCCAAAAACTGCTTAATGTTGAAGAGTGTAAACTTGGCTGTCGGTGCTGCAGGAACAATGATAATGGGAATGCGATCTTTGCTTGTTGGTTTGCTTGGTTTTGCTGTATAGAAGAGTACATTAATATCATGTTGAACACTCCCTCCCATATCAAACTACTCACATGATGACTTTTGGATCGTGCTGCTTGCACCATTTTTGCCAAAGGTTGGATTCATTGCTTTGACGATCGTATAAAAATCCTTGTCGCCTTGTAAAATGGATGCTGATGATTGCAAGACCTTTTCACGCTCCCGTAACTTTTCAATGGATACATGCGATTGCTTATCATCAAACTTGACTCGTTTGGACGCAGGCTCGTTCTCGTTGTTGCTGTCAGCTTTGCCCTTAATCTCATCCACATCCTCCCGTTGCTTCCGAACACCTAAACCATCATCGTCTTAGTGACTTGAAGCAATGTCGCATAGGATCCTCTTTTTCTTTTACCTGCTGTGGAGCTGCTTTGTTTGGTGGGTTGGGTGTCTACCTTGCCGGTAAGGTAATCAAGGACCTTTTTCCGATCCACAATAGAAACGTGCTCAATGTCTCGTTGTCGGCATTCTTTGAAATAGGCACTGTTGTCGAGATGTTCATTCTGCACAAGGAATATAAGGGTATCAAGCGTATACGTGTCGTCGCTGGAGTTCTTTGGGAAGGTTGTGGGCGTGTTGCGTGCAAAAGACTCATCATCGAACCACACTGTGGACGCATCGGCTACACTGGTCACAACATTGTCGCTTGCATCTTTGAGTATGACGGGTTTCTTGTTGCATGTGTGGTTGCGCAGGAGTTGCAGAGGTTGCATTGCTGTGTGTATAGGTCAGATCGGTAGAGAACAAGAAGTTGCTGCTGCTGTTCAAGGACAACCACGAAATTTGGCAGCTCTTGAATTTGGCCCCGATAAGCTTCCCCACCCCCAACTAGTTTTCTCTTTTTGCATAATATACAATTGATTCTTATTGTCATTGTTATGGGACGTATTGTTCGGATATGGAATGAGTCATCGTTTGCGCTTGTAAATACATTCACCCAAGTTGGTGTTCATCGTCACCCTATTTGAGTCATAGATACCCTGTTACCAATGACACATCCCCACCCGCTCCGATTTGACTAAACACTTGGATGATCGTAGGAAACGTGTAGCTATAGCCTTTGTGAATAAAGGCTGCATCCTATGTTAAGGAATAGTAATTGGATCATCATCTTTAACATGAGGATTATGACTCTTGCTTGCAAGCATCCTACGTTACTTGTATGTAGATCTAGTTCCTGTGCACACAAATTACAACATCTTCTGTCAATGTACAGCATCCTAGTTGATTGTAATGTCAAGGACAACGACTGAATTTATTCACTATGACTATCAAAACGTACATGATACCGATATCGACATGAAGGATGTGGATGGATCCGTCACCTTTACTTAGATACGAGTTGCCATTTTAATAAATGCTTTGGTAATAATTCCTTATCCCAAGATGCTGTTAGCAACCCATGCCGCATTATTACATGTGCAGATCGACATAATAGATGATAAATGGTAATGAATGTCTATTAAGAAACAACAAATCACATGTCGAGTATAAAGGTATTTGGTTGATGGGATGTTGTTTAAGCGGCAGCAGTCTTCTTGAGCTTGCTGAAATCCATGTGGTAAATGTATGCATCGACAAGCTGATCTGGGCTGTTCTTCAATCTGGGTATATCCGGAAAGATTTTGAGTCAATCATTTTCCCCATCTTTGAGAGTGTTCAACATGTCACATTACCTCGCAGCCTGTGGAATGCAACCTACACGGCTAAAGCCAAGTCGTTCCCAAATACGAATCGAAGCTTCATTGTTTGCGAACACAAGATTGAAAACGGATGCCTTGTATCCAAGAGCAGGGGCGGTGATAAGGAATGTTTCAGCCATAGCAACACCAGCTCCGTAACCTCGGTGCATGGGCGATGTAAAGAAACCACCATTGCAAATCTAAACAATACTATCAGCACATACACATAAAAGGTAGATGAGAGAACTTACGTGAGAGCAACGGCCTGGATAATTGGGCTTCACATAGTACATGCCAAGTACCTTATCCTCAAAATCATACTCCTTGTCAGCTTCAATGGGGCCACCCTTGACTAGAACAAAGGCATCGTAACTGAAGAATGGCGGACAATTAGATCTCGATAAGCATGCATCATTTGATCCCCCTCCCCTTGTCACATGGATAATACTTACGCCAAAAAATAGTCCTCAAACTGCTTAGCATCCAATGGTTCTTCTTGAGGATATGTGGATCTTTTATCACCCATATATGAGTATTTTCACTACCTCGGCAAAAAGTGCTAACCTTCTTACCCACGCTCAAGTTCGCCATTGAACAAGGAATGCAAATGCTTGACGAGATTGGGATTGGTGGGATCGACAGCTTGCAGTGTTGCTTCTTCACCGTTTCGCAAGGTCTTGCGTAGGGGCAGCAACTCGTTCAACGAGCCAGCGTTTACTGGTTTGGGGATTTTACCGTAAGCAGACGACATGTAATACGAAACAAAAGCGAAAAAAAAGGAACGTTTTCCCGAATGATATCTCTTTTATAGTACACACAAAACACAACATCTACACACTCTTACACACTCTTCTCTCTCTCTTTCTCAGATATCCCAGACATGATCTCGAATAAACCCGCCAATTGCTTCAAAATAGCCGGGCTATACATATACAAAATGCTGTTAATGAATCATCTCTTTCATTCATTCATCCTCTTCCTTCTTACCTGCATGCAAGCATCATTATGCGTGCCATTTTCAAAGCTACGCCATACTTTTGCACCACGAGTTTCCGCTGCTTTGTATAGTTTGGTCATATGGAAGGGTGGAACCAGCTCATCCTTCATACTTGTTAGAAACAGGATAGGCACATGGCGGATGAATTGAATGGTGTTGTAAGATCGCCATTTTTGATGACAGAGATAAACCAGATGCCGCATGGGCGGGAAGATGTGGGGTATTAACAATGGCTACACAAGGTAACACACACGTCAAATAAGCATTGGATGCTTTCATCTCCTCCAACAACAACAACCCCGTTTCAATGCCTTACAATACTGAGGAATGTGTTTTCAATAATGATCCCATTGAATTGTTCTTCATGCTTGGCAACCAAATTAATGGCAACTGCTCCGCCTAACGACTGTCCAAAAGCAACAAGCTTGGTGTGCTTCAAAATTGGATGATGTTGGATATACTCGAGCGCTGTCTGTCAAACCAAACATGTCAATAAATACCCCACCATCTCAATCCATGGATGTAAAAGACGTACTTGTGCATCAATTTGAAGGCCTTTTTCTGTTGCATTGCCTTCACTTAGCCCATACCTTTTTTTAAAATAGGTGCATAAGATCCCCATTGTCTCATCCTTCTTCCATCTTGTAGATCTACTTACCCCCGATATGATAACATGACAATGTTATATCCTAACCTTGAATAGAGCACCTGAGCAATTGGCAAACGATGTCCCTGAAAAGAATTGAGGGTGTGCTTGAATATCCCTTTCCTTGTAGCTCTCTCTCTCTCTCTCTCTGAGTCCTTGAATGCTTACCATGTTGCCTGTATGTGACTTTATGACGATGTGTATATGAGGATCAAGGAACTTTTGGACAAGAGCAGTGAGTAACTTACATGCAGCCAAAGGAGTGTTGGTGATTGAATGGCCACGTCGTCTCCTTCTTGTAAAAGTACATAACACCTTAACTGCAAGCCATCGCGTGTTGTCAGAATCTCTTCCTTATCTGGTAGCCCATACTTTGAAGGTCGTGCCACCTATGTATGCAAAAAGACCACGAGGTTAATAGTCGTTTGGATCATTTGACTTTGGAATAAGAGGAGGGGTGGGACAAGAGCAACACGAGGGGATGCGACAAGGTACCAATGATCTCGAGCCTGGTGGGAAGAATGCCGGGTATAAAAGTGCACATTGGTACTTGTACAGTAACGCTGAGATTGCGACAGTGGCGATGGCAATAAAGTAAGCAAAGTACGGCCAGTACTGTAGCATGCGGGGAATAATATGGCACTTTAATGTGTGAGAAAAAGGGCTTGTTCCAAGATAATGAAATAGAAAGAAAAGAGAGATAACTGTCGTTCACACACAAAACAAGCGGAATATGCGGGGGAGAGAGAGCGAGAGTCTACCAACTTGATATAGACTTGAACCCCACCATTCAACCCATTTATGGTGCTCGGATGTTCGGGCATTAGCATGCGTGTCACCATTCACACTCATAAGCGTTGATTACCAAAATGTACAAAAGATGTGTTATATTATAGCCATGACATGATCAAATAAACAATGAGAGGGGGGTTGCTTAGTAACTAGCGTTGCCTAGGTAGGTTGCTACTTTTTCGATTTGGGTGATTTGGATGATTTGGGTGATTTGGGTGCGTCTGGGTGCTTAACAATGACCACTGCGCATGGTGCATGATGTACACAATGGTCACTCACACTGCCAAGGAAAGCTCTGTGGATACAAAAATGTTAATGTTAAACCCTGCAATACATGAATCCACTTTTACCTCTTGAAAGCTCCTAAACCACGTGCACCCATGATGAGAACATCAGCCTTGATATCCTTCACCTTTCGCATAAGCTCTTCTTTGGGATCACCCATCATGGATACTGCCTTGCAATCGATGCCATTGTGCCAAAATTGAGTAGCGCATGCCTTGAGGAAACGATGACTCTCATCACGGTCTTCCTGCATTTCTGTTATATATCCGGTGGTATCGACATAAGGAGCCACAGGCATATCGAAGGGTCGCACATGCATCAACACAATCTGTAACACAAAAAAAAAAGATCAGCCACCCCAATTCAAATAGTTTTCATGCATAAAGCGACTTACTTGGTCTTGATCAGCTCGCACAAAGTTAGCCAATATCCAATTGATAACGTAACCAGCTGATGTGGGATCGACAGAACATGCAATGATACGCTTGTTGGTTTGCTCTTGCTTTGGAGCTTCAGGCGCAGCTTTCTGTTCAATCACAGAATCACGTCTAAGGTCTTGCATAGCTGACATTATGTATGTATGTTTGTGTGTGTGTAAGAGAAAAAAAGTAAAAGTAAAGAGAGAGATGGGACAACGGCGAATTTGTTCTTTTTTCTTTTATTGTTGATCTGATGGGAAAAAAAGAAAGCTACATGTTTCGCGTTTGGCTCACGCAGCTCGCTCTCTCGGCCAATCACGCCACATCGGGTGCATACAACGGAAAGGTGTGTCCCATTCAAACAGCGACATCTGAAGGTAGATCAATGAACTCTTGAATATCCTTTGTGAGGGTTTTTTGCATCTTGTCCGGCAAGCTAGCCATTCTCGGTATGAGAGCTATCAAGGAATAGCGTAAATATCACGTAACAACCAACAATCATGCCACCACTGTCAGCCAGCTCCGATTACTTTACCTGTGATACATCGGGTGTGATCGAGTTTTTTGTAAAGTCGCATCCGTACATCCACTTGCACCCGTCGATCCGCTGGTAGTACTTCGCCAAGCATATTGTACATGTCCACTGATTCATCTGGAGAAACAATGCTGTCCTTGTCACCATGCACAAATAATATCCTCGGGAAAAAGTCAATCAGGTCACACGATGTCTCAAACAATTCATGATGCTTCTTGACCAACCGCAGTGCCTCGTCTTGGTATACTCCCGCAAAGCTGAAAATCATAGGATTAGGGAAGAGGACATTGTATAAAAGGATCTATACTCACAGCAATAATCCCTCGATGCCTGGTAGAAAATCGGTGGATGCTTCTTCTTCGTCATCATAATCATAACCATCCGCTGATGGGTCGTGCTTTTCATTCGACATGTCCGATCCTTGGCTACTGGAAGGCAAGTTGTGGCATTTGGCCTTGTTAAAGATATCTTCCAACACGACTTCAAAAGCTAGTTTGGCTCCGGTTCCATGACCCTACAAGAAAAAGGATAATGAATGAACCACCCAACCCCCTTATACTCATTCCTTATCCTTCCCCTCCCTTTTGATATAGAAACATACCATGACGTAAATCATCTCGGTTTCGTAACTTGATGCACACACATGACGGTACACCCATCGGATAGCTTCTTTGATATCTTGATGCGCATGATGATTGTTGGGGCGATAATCGAGCACAGCCACAATATAACCCAACTCGCGTAAGGTGTTTGCGTAAGGGGTGTAAAAGATGCGATGATTTGGTAATCGAGGATCCTCGTGTCCATGAAGGAATAGAATGATTGGTGTGCTTGTTGTTGTTGAGCCATCGGCAATGGATGTGGTGGTAACATTGACGTCGGGGTAGTACATGTCAAGTTTGCAGGTGCTTTGATCATCATTCGAATAGACCAGATTACGTCTGAAATAGGCATAGCGTGAATAAAAAACAGTCGGCATGAGAGAGGTGAAATCAAAGATAATTTACTTGATGATGTGTGAGAATCGGCCACGACCCACAGTCCAATATCGCCATTTGACGTATATTATAAGCGATGGGATGAGTGTAATCCATGCCAATATCAATCGGGATGCATTCAAGTTGATGTCAATGATGGAAAGTGGGCGAGTTGGTAGTTGGTGTATCAAATGTTTCCATGAAGATGTATTCGATGCATGTTGTCCAATATGAATTGCCCATGCTGAGATATACAGGCTCACTATAATAATACTATATCAATAACAGCAAGGAGGAGGTGGATGTAGGGGTTTCCCTTTCATACCTGTGGCAAGAATGACTAGTGGCAAACAAAGAACAGCACAAAGAGCCAATACTGGAAGACAAAAGAGTGATGTTGAGACAAAGACCGTTTTTGATTCTAACCACGCCATAATGATAAGGATTGAAAAGAGGAAAAAGAAACGTGGAGTGGGTTAACACATACACCAAGAAAGAAAAGGAAAGAGAAATACAAACTTGAAACGCATCCTTGTCCTTTATAAACAGAGTTTCGGGTTCAAATGTGGAAAGGGGAGGACCTTGTGTTGCCTTGTCGTGTGGTCGTGTGCACGTTAGCCACTGGTCGAGACAACGCCTGAATATCCATATCCGTTTCGGCCGTGATTGGACTCCACTGAATGCACATGCTGCGATCAATGAACCTCATTGCGTCCATAATGGGGCATTGGAAGCTGCTTACGATCGAACCGAAGAGGTAGTTGACGATCAGGAAGAAAAGGTTGGTGGAGAAGGTGAAGGTTCATGCAACATTTTCTAAGCCTGACTCCCCCTTTTTTCTTTATGCAACCCCAGCTCTGCTCTCTTTTCTCACATAGTAGATTAGAAAAAGGGGTAATAGCATATGCTTGCAGTGACATTATTACGCCACACATGATGATGACGAGGATGATGCTCGGCGTATAGACCTCTCCATGTACCTCTGCTTCAATAAGGCGGCATCATCACACGTAGTAGGTATGTAGTACGACGACATCAAATATCCTAACGTTCTCCTGCCTAATATTGGTGATCCGATCAAACATTCAAATACACTTTAGCAAGGCAAATGACAATCATATGGCCTTTGCTGCATATGCAGCATTCATTAGTCATGGGCGGCCGCCAAAGACGGCAACTCTAACAGCTGGTGCTTTGATGTACTTAATGTCTTTTTGCTGTTTCATTGAATGAAGCTTCTGGAATCCCATGTGCTATGTACCACAATAACGAGATGGCCAACGCAATTCAAGATGTAGATGGAATAACAATTATACATGTCCTGTGCATATACATATCATACCCAACATTCCCACAACTATTGTAAAAGTAAACATGTATGGTACAAACATAGATTAGATCACGCTGTTTACAAAAGAGCGGGCAACCTGCTGATTATGTACTCTTCTTCTGACATTACAAACAAACGCCACTTTGGTATGCACACGCGTTTGAAGATGCTATCCCCAACAATTCATTTCATCCAATTCCAGTATAATTAAAAGAGCAAAGTATAATGATATGTGTATTCAAAGCAGTACATCTATATATGCGTGGGATAAAATGAAGCGGACGTATTATGGTTCGAAGCCACCAGGCACCGGTTTCCTGGGTGCATTGATTTCTGGAATGATTTCCCACATTTGTTCTGCAATCTTAATCTGGCTTTGTTGATCTTGAGCAGCGCGAATGGCCAAGTATTTTCTACCAAAGATGTTGACGGGATTCAAATCACGCTTGTTGTCGCCTGATACTACAATGCCACCCGCTTCACGAACAATCACCACGGCTGCAGCAACGTCCCATTCCCAACATCCCACTTCCCAGTAAACGTCAACGACACCTTTGGCGATAGTGCACATGTTGATGGCTGCCGATCCGGTACATCGAATACTATGGGCTTGTTTGCCATCACATTGCTTTTGTCCAAGGAGAGTACGAATGAAATCAATCTTTTTGTCAAACACTTCGGGTGTGCGGTCCGATCCAGCTTCAGTAGCAACAAGGCATTGTGATAGGTCTTCCAAAGGGGAACGCACCATGGGTAATGAAATGGTCTCATTCAAATAAGCACCCAAGCCTTTGGCAGCCGAATAAAGTTCATCCATCAAAGGACAATATACCACGCCCACCACTGGTTCCTTGCCAATTGTCAATCCAATTGATACAGCAACATAGGGATGGCTGTGCACAAAGTTGGTAGTACCATCTATGGGGAGGGGGAGATATACATAACATTAACAATAGCCCTATCATGCTCCACGTGCCTGACACACTTACCGATAGGATCAACAATCCATGTAGGCGCATCCGTGAATTCGGATTGAACGCCTTCAGCCATCGTCTCCTCTCCAATGAATCTGAGATATGGTATATCAACATCGGCTTTTATCCATTGGCTACCATAGGATCTTACTTGTGCTCGGGAAAAGTGGATGATAATCGCTCCTTGATAAACTTCTCAACAGCTTGATCGGTTTCAGTCACGAGGTCGGTGGGGTTGTCATACTTGACCACAAACTGGCTACTGGTGCTGGATAGGCGCTTTTGTGTGGCATCTCGAATCATTTGTCCTGCATCCTTGGCAAGGCTAATGGCGAATTCAAGGTACTGTTTCAGTTCAGCTGCTTGGAAATGAGTCTTACACGCAATGAAGAAACGTCATGGACCTATGTTGTTGCAAGTACCTTGGCTACTCATATTGCGGTTCAAGGAAAAGACACGCTGTATTCAACTCAGGCTTTCCCTCTACCACTTCAATCCCCTACTTCCAATACGATGGAGCATTGAAGCGGCGAGATCCCTTCCCCCACCCATTTCCAGCAGATTGGATCCATCATCTCCTGTGTAACATGAATGCTTTCATAAGCAAATATCTCGAGCTGATACGCCAATATTCACGCTAATACGCTACTCCTCAGCGACGTCGTAAAGATGACATGTGGATTAGCAATGACTAAAATACCAAGAGATACCGTATCTATTGTACATAAATCATAATGTAAAAACTTGTCAAGTGGCGTGTATTACAATTAGAGCTCATCTCGCTTTGTATCACTGTTTCTCTTGAAAGACTCCATTACCATCAAGATGTCTTATACATTTCTCGTATCTTTCCATGTGTAATTAAAAAGCTCTTTTGCCAACTCATCTTAGTCACTTTGTTGCTTATTTACATGTACCTATTATCTATCATGAAGATGATGATGGGTGTGTTGGGTGCGTGGGTTGAGTGAATGGGCTCAATGTACTCGTAGTGAGGGATTCAACTTGGCACCCAGTGTAAGATTTAACTTGTCGCCATGGAAATCAAATTTGGGACCCGCAGCTCCACGACTTGAGACACCACTACTGTCATTGCCAACTGCAAAGGCTTAAATCGTCTCCAATAAAAAGCTTCGGGATGCCAATATGACATGCAACGCGTGCAGTGAAAAGAAGGGTTGGGTTGTCAATAATGTTGAGATCACGTTGGGATAAGCTGTATTGGTACCGTAAGGATGACGTCCAGCAAAACCAAGGTGATACCGCAAACCCCGCTTACGAGGTATCAAAGCTTGTTCATATCACCTACAACGAGGTAGTATTCAGGTAAGCCAGCCTATTCGGTACTCTGTAACATAGGTAACAACGAGGTATCATCGAGGTATCATGGCTGTGTTTCCTCACTGATACCATGATCGAGTGGGTGCACATTTCTCATTTCCTACAGGTACACGCCAAGGTCATTTTATCATGCTATTTAAACACACCTCATGGCTAACAACGAGGTATTCAGGTAAGCAAGTCTATGCAACGTAGGTATGCATCGAGGTATCAACGAGGTATCATGATGTGTTTCCTCGCTGATACCACCCTTGTTTGCCACCCTACAGTCCCATGGTTCGCGTGAAAGCGACATTAGCCAATATACCATCCTTTCGCTTAGAGTATCAAGATGAAAGCACAATTGTATTATGGGTATTGGAGATTTCAAACTATGTACATAAAGTGAATAAAGTATATCGAAAAGCTAATGTTTTTGCTTCTTTTGACGATAGTACGCCGACTTGGCGCTTGCCCACTTTTTTTAGTTCTTGAACAAGTTTTTTGCTTTTCCTAGTTCAAGGTTGGATACAAGGAAGAAATGTGTAGGAGAGTACTGTATATACAACCAGGTAAACTTCACGCTCGCTTCCTAATGACAATCATAGCTACCATTAATAAAATGTCTTACATGTTGTTGGGTTCTTTGATAGTCTTCTTTTCGACCGACTTGATCGCAGAGCTGAGAATGTTGTAGGTCTTCATTGCTGTTTCCTTGTGCTTCGTCTTATTGAGCGATTGTGGTTGTTGTATACAATGTATCAATCTCACCAAAAATCGTAAGAATCTTTTGCAGGCGGTCATTCTCAACATGTTTGAATGTAGCTGTATACCGGCGGAAGGGTTACAAGATCACGAAACTCCTTCATACTCGTCAATACCCATAGAACTCTTTCTGTTACTCAGCTCCATATGACCCTTGCTCCATAATTCGCAAAGCCAAACTAGCCAGGCTGGTGTAATCTTTTGTTCGCAAGCCGTTAAATCACCACCATGGGAGTTGCGGTGGTTCCCTTGCTACTTGATGCACCATGTCAATTTCAGCACCCGGCGTAGACCATGGCACCAAACCAACTTTTTGCATATGAGTCACGGAGAGATAGCTATATCGAAAGTAATAGGGTAGCGTGTATCAGTAATGACTCATCAAGCAACATGATCAAGCTTTACCTCGTTACAAGAATACAATATCACAATACAGACAATCACGATTTGGAGCAGGATAAACAAAATAAAGCACTATGAAAGACTACAAAAGATCAACGCTTATTCACAAAGCTTGCAAGAAATGGGATACAGAAATTCGACCTTGTAAGTAATCAAAGGAGTATGACAGGATAAAGAGACGTGTAGGGGTATGATGGGCGACGACAACATCATTCTTTTATTGTGCATGGTGGGCGTGGGTATTTTTATGTTGGGGATGCTGCGTTGATAAATGGATGCATGAGCTGATAAAGTGATGGGGCGCATATACCAGGACTAAGCCTGAAGAAACTAGTGCAATGTCGTCTATGCATACCTACTCATAATTTGGTATGCGTGTTCAGGTAATCAGCGAGAATGATCGGATCACGAGAACATGGCAAATCCAAGACCGTTGGGATAATATACAAAGAGTGCAAGTACTCAACCTCGACCAAGCGTGCCCACCTTCCAATTTTTTTCAGTTTCGATGGCGGCAGAAGGGCTTCCTTGAGTGGCCACAGTGTACAGCAGTGGGAGATTAAAAGTTGGGGACGGCAGCTCCAAGACTTGACACAACGCTTCTCTTCTCTTTCTCCCTCCTCTGCTTTTATCCCATTCAACGACATCTCGATCAAGGTAATGTGTTACAAAGGGTTCTCTTGTTGGTTTAATATAGTTATGAACATCCATTGTCAGGGAGAGAGCGTATCCAAGCGCTGAGGAATGAGGGTGGTAGCCATGGCGATATCGTTGCTTCCTCTTGTTCGTTGCTATTCCCGCTCTAGGCTTGGTGTCAACAGGTACATTCAGAGTCCAATGTTGCAGCCGACCTGGTCCCATTGACGTGCTATCTTGTATAGAGGGCAAGTTTGGTCTCAAGACGTTGACTGGTTTGGCGTTTTGTTTCGGCTCAACTACACTACTACATCATGGTTTTCGGTTTCCAGTAACCAACAACAAAGGGGTTTTTTGTGTATATGGAAAAGGCAAGTGCAATGAAACAAACAATGAAAAGGGTGTTTATTGTCTGTGTGCTAATAATGAATTGAATATGTAGGTTTTTGGTCAGGCAATGCAACTTGGGGCATCATCATCTCTTTGGACTCGACTCCCAGCCTGTATCAAGTGGCCGCTGCGTCGCTCTGCACTAGCCAAGTGTGCTGGAAAAGCTTCTTGGAACGCGTCCAGGGCTCTATAGGCCTGCGTTTGAGTTGATGGGTCGATGACGATGGATTTTTGGAAGAGCATGGTCACCGTGTTGAGGTAAAAGGGGATTTGCAACAGCTGTGAATGTGTTGACCAACACGATCTTCTCGTGATAGGCTCATTCTTTCCCTTCAGGATTTCTTTTCATGAGGCGGGAAATGATTGGAAGGATTGGGGATCATTCTTTCTTTGGAGAGGATGAATGAGAACAACTATGAGCCTGGACTCTACGTAAGTGAGACCTTCCTTGCCATGGATCGAACTGGCCTTGTGTGATTCGTGCAGTGCTTTCTCAAAGACAAGGGATTGCCCGACGTTGCTCATATGGTGGGTGATTTGGTTTGTGAATTCCTTCTGATTTGCTTTCTTCCTTTGAGAGGATCGTCTAACGGTATACCAAATCGTCATCATTCTGATACCAGATTGTCTAACTTGCGTGTTTTTACTTAATAGAGACGACGATCACGATAATTACCACATTCACAACAATGAGGATTACGATGATCACCCCATCTACAACAATGACAATGATGACGACAACGAGATTCAAAAGGAAGCCTGCAAGATCCCACTCTTTTCAACTTGCGTATTTTTGGATGTTGGTGACGGATGAGATTGACAACTGGTGACGAGTACGAGTACGAATACGAATACGAATGATGACGGAGGACGACTACGACGATGGTGGTGGCAAGGTACAGTAGCAAGATAGCTAGATGAAATAAAGCATTGTTTTATTTATTACACGCTTGTTGGAGGTTGCTAGCTTGTGGATTACATACTATTGCTCGAAGATGGAATAATAAAGGTGGTCCGGTTATCGGTCATGCAAGAAGTACATGGATTTTGCGATACAATAAGGAGGAGTGGGAAGTGGGATTAGCTTGAGAAGAGAAAAAGTGAAGAGATCCCTCCATTGAGTTTCAGGATGAGTGACTCATTCAATATGTATACGTATCTTTTTACATATACAAATTGGTTTATGCAGCTCGACCTTCTCCTACATGCAAATGTGATACATACCTTGACACACCTTCATCGTTGGATGCTGTTTACTTACGTACCTTCACAAAAGGCAATCATCATCATCATCCATTTGTGATAGCAACCTGTCAAGTACGTGTCTGTGTAACCACCACGTGCCGTTTCACTCAGCTCTTCATCTTTCCGTTAATGCAGCTGACACCATCCATTAGGAAAAAGCAACTCCATCACCCTTACAGCATATGTAAAACATAAAGGTGCCTGTACCTCCAAACTTTACAATCAAACGTGGGCTCTTTAATAGATCAACGTGCTTGTCGGGGTCAAACGAATCTAGTGTCAAAGTATGAAGTTGATCGTGGCCAATCCCAGATTTCGCAATGTCGCTACCAGCCAAACTGGATCTGGGGGTCGACCTCTTCGACGGCGACGACCAAAAAAATATTTTTTGGGCTGATTGCGACATTGAACGCGAAACTTTCACACAAGGTGCTGTTGGCCAAGCCGAGCCCATTGCTCTATTCAAAACCTCACGTTTGATTGTAAAGTTTGGAAATACAGGCACCTTTATGTTTTTAAGCCTGATGCTATATGAGAAGTGGTCTTTGTTTAATGTAAAGTAGCTAGACCCTGACAGAGCAAAAGATGCAGAGGGTCGTGTTGTGTAACACAGCTACGTTTGCATGAATGAAAGGGTCAATGTATAATTACTTTATGGATCATCTAGGAACAGGCAT